AACGTTGGCACGATAAAGAAAATGTTTTTCTAAAACCTACATCACACCAGACCGCATCTCACGATCCCCAAATAATCATTAACTGACGGTCACTAAACACCACACACTTATTTATAATGATGAAAAACATTCCGCTTGACATTCTGGCATCGTTTTGTTTGTTTTCTTTACTTCCATTCCATTTGATGTGTTTTATTACATTTTCGAATTTCCTATAACAAATTATGTATTTGAGACCACCCAAGATCCTAAAATGTGTATTTCACCTTCGGTTTGCAGAACCTCCTAGTCTAAAAGCTCTTCCCCTAATTGTTCAAGGTGCTTTTAAGGGTTCCGCTAATCAAACTGTGCTCGACTCGAGTTTCTGGGTTGAAACTCTTTGAATAATCTATAGGAAAAAGGGAGCAAATAGTTCCGATGTACGCTCGAAATTACCGTTTCGGCGGCCAAGTGAATACACGTTCAAGACACCGCCAGCAGACTAAATAGTCACTACGGCGGCAGGGTAGTTTGCGAATAATGCGATTATGTAGTTTACCTCCTAATTGGCTTTCGAGTGAAGCTTGGTTTCGTTAAGTTTAACCACTTCAAGGGTAAATTTTAGTACAAGAGGGAGAAAACTAAATTTCCACAATTATTGCTTCAAACTTGTTTTTATAGAACTTTAGTACTAACTAAACAAAAGTAAATTAGTAAAATCTTAATATTAAATTAGATTTGTTTATATTTACACCTAAAATGTCCATACTAAATCAAATTCGAATCATATTTTTGTATGGAATTCGTATCAAGTTTGAAAATCTCCATCAACGTAGTTTTTCAATCGTTAGTTTCTACTAATAAACTGAACTTTTACTTCAACAATAACTGGACGCTTAACGTCAAATAGTGATTTTATAGCTGTATCCTCACAGTATTGGACTATATGATTGGGTATGAACAAACTACAAGTATATCAACTTGCAGTCTCCTCACAATATTTAAATAGCGAAAGGTATTTCGCATTCTTGAAGAAGACGGTACAAATTTGATGAAGTTCAAGTGGAAATAAATGTCGAAATTATATTAAGCAAACGGCGAAATTCGAATCCTCTTATAAAAGGCTTCCGAGTCTATTTGTGTTTGTTAACTTCGAGAAAATCACAGACAACCTGCTCATTTTACGTGGACTGAGGGTCTTCCGTAGATATATAATGATGAGGTTTTTTTTCCCCATGGTGGGGTACATTCCTATTCAATTTATTTCCCTACAGCGGTCCAGGACAAAACACAAATGATCATCGTGACCGTTCAAATGCAAAGATGCGGTCGTGGAAAACATCCGGTGTGCGATTCGAATATAAATTGGAAATATTGCTGACGTTGATTTTCTTTATTTTTTTATTTTTTTTTTTAATTGTTCGTCTTTTTTTGGTAAGTCGAGGTCTGTTGATCTATTGACCATTTTTTTAAATTAGTATACTTTTCTTTAAAATTCGTCTACCTAGGCCAATCGTTAATTTTACAATGACATAAATGTTCAATGAATATTCTTATAAACCCATTGGTACAATAAGATTTATATGAATATCTTTAATTATTAAATTATTTTATTATACGGATTGAAATGGCTTTGTCCTTTTCAAACTTATGACGTGCTACAATTGTATAATTGTGCAAATCAATTTTGTCCACGTTCTTGCGTACTCAGACATATACTTGTTTAATTAATTTCCACCAAGAACTTAAGGTCCCTATGTAAGTCCTCTTTCCTCAAGTTCCATGGTGCATTGACCATGTTACATACAATTTTATTTTGAAGTGTTAGAATAATTTTTTTATTCCTTAGTTTGGTACAGCCCCATAGTTATATACCACATAGATTTTAAGACGATTTTTTCTTCCTGTAATAACTCTACAGAAAGGGAGCTTATTTACATTTTTCTTACATTTTCCTGTTTTATATTACATGTGTTTATAAATTTATTCAATTTTTATATACATAATTTGATTATCCTTTATTTATGTTTCAAAAATTACAAAATATTTAAGAAGATTGCTTTATTCTGCAAATTGATTATTGATTTTTTTAAATCTATTTTACAATGGATTCAATTTTAATGAAAGTGTGTAATATCACGGTTTAGTTTTCCTACAAAGAGATTCCTTTATATTTTCAGCTTTAAACAGGCAAGTGGCCAACCATGACCTGAAAACAAAATTTCACAAAATTGTAGCTCTTTCTCTATCCCAATTTGGGCAATAGGAAAATTGTACACTTAAAATTTTGTTTTGTTTTGTTATTCCATGGACGTTGATGATGTTGTGTATTATTATTTTATTTAAATTAATTATACTTTTTATCCTAGGTCATGGTTGAGATGAAAAAGCTAGTGTCATGAACGGGATTCGAACCTAAGACCATCAGCTCAATACGCCACTGCTCTAACCACTTGATCTATCTTTGTGCTAGATGGTTATGTGGTTAGGACAACGAATCCCACTAGTGACACTAGCTTTTTCATCTCAACCTAGAAAAAAGTATAATTAATTTAAATAATTAATACAGTCAATTATGACTACTAAATATATACAGGGTGAGTCATTTTTTGACGCACCATTGGAAAATCAACGCGGGTGCATTTAAACTGACTCGAGGCTTATTTCCTTTGAATAATACGTTAATAAAAAAAAGTGAGTCAATTTTTGGTGCACCATAGGAAAATCAACGTAGGTGCGTTTAATTATGACTCGGCACATTTTATTTTGTAAGCCTCTTACCAAAAAAATAGCGAGTCACTTTTCGACGCACCATTCGTTACAAATTAATTTTAGTATTGGGTTGTCCGGAAAATAATGCAGGATTTTGGTATTAAAAAAAAAAAAAGAAACTAGTTACTTTAAAGCAATGTTCTTTAATCAAAATAATTTCCCATACTCTCAATACATTTCTCCCAACGTGTTGGTAACTTATTAATTCCGTCTGAGTAGAATTCAGAATTTTTAGAATTGATAAAGTCAATAAATGCATTTTCCAGTTCCGTTTGATTTTTGAATATTATGTGTTGTAAGTAGTGGTCCAGGTGTCTAAAAAAATGGTAGTCAGTAGGCGAGAGGTCCGGAGAGTAGGGTGGGTGAGGCAAAGTTTCATAGCCAAGCTCCAATAATTTTTGTGACGTTACACGTGACACATGTGGTCGAGCGTTGTCATGCAACAAAATGGGCCCTTTCCGATTGACCAAAGAGGGCTTCATTACTGCCAATTTCTGATGCATGGTATTAATTTGGTTACAGTATGATTCAGCATTGATGGTTTCGCCAGGATTTAAGAAGCTGTAGTGTATTAAACCAAATGAAGCCCACCATACCGTAACCATTACCTTTTTTTGATGAGTTGGGGGCTTTGGAAAATGTATTGGAGCTTCTCCTTTGTCGAGCCACTGTCCAGAACGTCTAGTGTTATCGTAGAGAATCCACTTTTCGTCACATGTAACAATTCTGGCCAGAAATGGGTCATTTTTGTTTCGACAAAGAAGTGATGCACAAACATCAAAGCGCTGATTTTTTTGGCGATCGTTTAATGAGTGTGGAACCCAATTTTCGAGTTTTTTCACTTTTCCAATCGCCTTGAGGTGGTCAGCGACGGTCGTTTTACTGACTTTGAGTTGCTCTGCACCCACCACTGATCGCAGAACATCATCATTAAGAGAGGAAGGCCTTCCACGACCTTCTTCATCTTCAAGGCTGAAATCTCCCTCCCGAAATTTTTTAAACCACCTTTGCACAGTGCACTCATTAACACAACCCTCGCCCCAGACTTGGTTAATGTTTCTAGCCGTTTGGGCTCCGCTTCGGCCGAGTTTAAACTCGTAAAAGAAAATCGTACGAAATTCTCGCTTTGACATTATAAGGATGACTGAATTATTTCCAAGTAGCGGAATGCTACAGAGGTAAACAAACAATATCATTTGGAAGAGGATTAATAAGTGTTGACATTCATACAAATGAGTAATCCTGTAAACGTAAACAGAATATTTTATATAGATTTTTTTTAATGAAAACTTAAAATCCTGCATTATTTTCCGGACAACCCAATAGGTTGGAAGGAAATTAAACAAAACCAATATTATTAAAACATTATTGAAACATGTAAAAATTTTAAAAAAAATTCTTCACAAATTAATTTGATTAAGGTTTAAGAGTATTTTTTTCTGGTAAAGTAAAAAAATTAAATAAATATAACAATCTCCTTTGTTAGCAAATCAAAAATGTTCAAAATCATTACAATAATTGTTCGAACAGACCTCCATTTGCTGTAACACAGTAGCCTAGTCTATCGTAAAACGATAATCGGACGAAAAAAATACTCTCTACTACTGACGAAATTTGACTCACTTCCTTTTTTTAATGTTAAAATCAAAAGAAATAAGCCTTGAGTCAGATTTAAACGCACCAACGTTGATTTTTCTATGGTGCACCGAAAATTGACTCACCCTGTATATGGATTAGTAATTTATTTTGTATTGTAAGGTTAGAGCCCTAACATTATAGTCTATCATAAATGGCCAGGCCAGTGAGGAGAAGTAGACCAGGATGATTAGTTATTATCAAATTACTGTTTTATCATCATGTTTGAATGTTGTATGTCCATGTACATTGAAAATTTAAATAATTCATCAAATTCATTTTATGAAAATGATGTTGAGTCAATGAACAATCCTTCTACAGAATTTGCACAATATTTTTGTTTTGTTGGTTTGTAAATTGATATACCCAATATTGGTCTTTAATGATATGTTTATTAGAATTTTATCCCTAAAACAAAAAAACGTGAAACATAATCCTGAGGTAAGTAAAGTAATGAAAGATAGGTAGACTGATTAAACTAGAAATACATTTTTTTTAAACAGATTTGGCCAAAGCTTCAAGGATTTTTTTAAGCAAAAACGTGAATGTCAGATGCCTTGCAATCCGAAACAGAACATATATTGCTGTATATTGACAAGTGTTTGGTGTTTCAGGCTAGATCGAAACTTCCTAAAAGAAGACGAAGGGTGCTTCCGGTGGAACAGCCGAGACCAAAAAGAGGTGAAGTAGTGAATCCAGCTGCAGTTGCTAATCGCCGTATGAATGCAATTAAACATCATCCGCATCCTATATTTAAAGACGCTTTTCCTAACCCAAAATTAGGTAAAATGATTTTGCTCTTTAGCCTCTCTCATACCATAGTTCACAAAACGTCTTGTCATAGAATTTGTAGATTTGAATGAGGGTTTGCTACTGTCATGCTTATATGACAAAACAGTAGTGATTAGTGCTAGCAGAGAAGTTAATTTTGACAAACACTGTTTCCTCATGATGTTCTTGATTCTTTTTTTTATACTAATTTTCCCTATATTGCCCAGGGACAGTGAATGGAGTAAATATGATAGGTCTTGCACTACAGGGTCAATCAATCCCTGGCCTCAATGTTCCTTCATCAAGCTCAGAATCTTCACCGAAAAAAGGTATACAAATGAGTTCAAATTGTTTAATGACTAAACAATATTAAATTACATGACTAGAATCTATGTAATGATTATGACTTTTAATATTGAAACTGTTCCTTGTATTTGTTTTTTATTGTAAAGTAATCAACATTAATAACAATTTATTAAATAATAAATGGCAAAGAAGTTCTGAGAAGTTAACCCTACTAAATAAACAGTGGTTGTCTCTTGAATATGATTTCTACCGCTTGCCAATAGAACCAATAGACATTTCTCATGTCGCTTAAAATGGATTTGCAATTATGACAGCATCTCGAATTATTATTTGAAATAATTAATACTAAAAAATGGCCATTAATTGTTCTGTGCATGTATTATGAATGTTTAGAATGATTTGGTAGTTTTAGCTACTTTCTAGTCTTGAGAACATTCGTGATTTTAAATTAAAATTTGTCTGTACAAAAGTAGTAAGGAAATTGAAAAATATTATGTATGCGTTAAACAACAGCAAAAGTAGTGATATTTTTTCATGGTAGCTAAAAGCTTAACCAAATGACATATAATTTTTATTTATAGAGCTGCATAGACTTGCAGAAAAATGATTTTTCAATCATAAAACATCTTAAAACATTTCAGTTATTTTATGGCTGTGTTTTATAGATAATGATGGAGCATGTAGCAGTTTAGCAGTTGTATCGCGGGTTGGAGGTGGAGCCATGGTTGCCCCAGCGCCGTTAGAGCCCCGAGCAGCAACAATCGGTAGTGTCAGCCTTCTTCTGCCACTCCAGGTAAAACTTATTCTGTTCAACGTCTGAACATGAAATCAATAGACATCCGATTAACCATATTTTCATGTTACAGCCTCGGCTGTTAACATCAGCTTCTGACATGATGGCACGAAGGACAGTTTTACAAGCTCAGAACATGCCAGGGCCAACTGGTGACTCTTCAGTTAATCCATCTTCAATCGATTAAATACCAGAATTAATATTTACGGATGATTTTCATTTCTTATATTCATTTCTAAAAGAGTTTAATAATTTTAAAAAATGAAATGATTATTAGTTAATGCTTTTTAACTATTTTACCAACAAAAGTAATGAATGAGACTTCAAATATCATTTTTTTGAACACCACCTTCAAAAAGCTGCTTCATCTTAATATAACAATACATTAAATAAATTAATGCTAAATTTTGAGGACAAGTTCAATTTAAGTTCCTTAAAATTGTATGTAATTAGCCATTCATATGTGCTAAAATAAAATTTAAAATAAACTTTTAGACCAACTAATAAAAAATTATTATTTTATTTAATCTAAATTTTAATTACCATTAATAATTCATTACAGAACTGTTGAAATGTTTGTAAAATTTAAATCTAAATGGCAAATGTCTTCAAATTATTATACTATGCAAACATTGGCATCATTAACGCTAGTTATCTTTAGATTAAAAGCTCAATGTGATTTTTAAATTTAATAATTCTAGTTTTTCTCTTATCAAATATTGCAATGCTTTAACTTTTTGGAGGTAATTTATTTAAAATAGCCAATTACCTCTTCTATCTTTGATCTTTATTAAAATTATACGATTACACTGGGTGTTCTGTAAGTTAATCTGCGGTCAGCACAATTATCTCTGGTTTGTGCATTCTTGCTGTTTGTCTTCAGTAGATCAAATGAACTTTTCAACTGTTGAAAAGTAGACCAACAGGAAAAATAAATACACTAGAAAAAGTATGTTTTAAGGATGGGCCGGCTAATATTTTAAAATTTTAGATTTAAAAAATTAGTTATTTAGGATTACGATGATTCTTTATTTTGTTATAATGTTCTTTATATCTTCTTGAGTACAACAAAGTTGAATGTGAAAAAAAAATTGTATTTAACTTTTTAAAAAAACATTAGATTAGACTATTTTAGCTGCCAATTGTAGATAAATGTGTTAAATAAAAATATTTTTCTAAGAAACCTTTTCTCCTTTCTGCCATTTTACAGACCCAGTGCTGTGGGTTTTTTAATCTATTAAAAAAATCTTCCTCCTTTTTTCCATTTCTACAGACTGCCAGGTATATCTAACATTGCAATCTAACATATGTATTATTTTCTCACTGCCACCATTATGTTTTATCAGTTGTTTTTTAAATTCCAACATTGAAAAATAAAATTAAGAACCATTATTAGTATTATTTTGGCTGTGCTAGGTTGAATAACTGACTTATCAAATATCATTTTAATAAATTAGTTTAAATTAAAATCATTAATTTATATTCTTAATATTTCCGCTTGTTCAATGTTACAACTATAATGTTACAAACTCTATGATACAACAGATGTACAGATTATTTTTAGTGTTTTTACATTTAGGTGCATAGTTATAACAAATATAATTGTTTATAATGTGTCAAATTTTAATAATGAAAATTTTGTAGTCAACACATCAAATTGCATATCGTCTTACTTTTAATATTATAATTTGTATTAATAATTCAACAATGATTCTTTTGTAAAATCAAAATAAATAAAATTGCCAAGCAAAAAATTGTTCTTAAGCAACAGAATATGTGTAAATGACTGGTTTACATTTAAACTAAGAATGAAAATGCCATTAAAGTAAGGGTAGAATTCTTTTATAGAGTGCCAATTACTGTGTTGACTGATAAGTATTCCATTAGCACTAGAAGTAGTTTATAAATATTTTTGTAAAAAAAAAAAAAAAAAAAAAAAAAAACAGCATATTAATGTTTAAAGTGAAATTTTGAAAATAAATGTTTAAATTAAATATTTAAATGTTTAGAAAAACAGGGTTTTTTTCTACTCCCTTGTGGTTGTTTGATTACATAGTCAGCAATATATTCAATTATATTATCATACATGAGTGCTTAACATCCAATTGTCCGTTGAATGTCGTGGAAGAGGGGACAAAGCACTTCACAGCATTTTTTATATATTATTACCAATCGAAATTCCAGCGTGCCAGGATTTGAACTCGGAAACACTAGTAGGGCAAAACAAGTAGGATGTTCTAACCAATCGGTCACACTCATTCCCAAAGCATTTAATTAAATTTGAAGTAAAATGATGGTTGTTGGTTGTCATGCTCTACTTGAACTACAATTACCAGGTTTATAACTAAAGTAATCCATGTTGGTCGTTCTGTTTAGTTTCTTTCATTTTATCTCATTACTTCTAAATTCTCCTTACTTTAGCGGAAAGAACGCTGGTCTTGGAAAGGATGATAATCATTAAACTTAATTTCTATAAACTTAGCCTAGAACTTTCACTATTCTTAAGGTAGTTAAGCACTTTTCGCAGTGCTGTAAACATAAATGTCACCTTTCTTTAGTGGCTGGACAGTTTACAGCGTAATAAACGCTTCCACTATCTCTTCAGATTCCCCAGTGATAATAAAGTGAAAAGTGGTCAGTTTAGAGGACTCGTTACTATCGGCAATTCCTGCCTGCTGAGAGAGAGGTAGATTTTCTTAAAATATTTCGAATTTTTTATCATATGGTGGATTCAGGTGTGCCAATTTACTGTGATCTGGTGCAAAGGGTCATGGCTGCACCTGCTCATGTCATCCTATAAATAAACTAACTACTACTACAAGTAAAAGTTTGATAGAAATAAAGAACAAACTGGAAACATATCATTTCCGTTTTATACATTTATAATAAAAATTGATTGAAAAGATTCCAATCAGTCACATCCACTGGAATCACTACGCAGTAAACTGTTTATGCCAAAGTACGCTAAAGTTGGAAGATCCCGCTCATGACATTAACTTTTTCATCAACCAAGATCTTATATAAAAAGAATAATTTATGTATAGTTTTGAGTTCATAAGCTCTAAGATGTTATCAAATTTACTTAAGCACAGCAATTGGTGCAGGTGTAAAAATAATAAATATAAAAAATAAACAAAAATTGCACCAAATGTCCAAGAAATTTTTTAATGATAAGATTGGAAGTTTCTTTTGTTTACTAAACTTCAATAAAAGTCTAAATTCAAGCAAATGAGGGACTTTAACAATTGGTATTTAATTGAAATAATTAATATGGTAATTAGACCACTAAACATAAATGAGAAAAGAGAACAACCACTCAGTGATAATAAAGTGCTGCTTCAACTGTCGGGTAGGATTACTTGGAAGAGTGCTGGATGAAAGGTTTCTGACATGATGGTTTGAGTGACTGAAAATTCTTGTTGCAGCGATTTTTTGGTAATCCAAGGTTATTCTGAAAGGTAAGAGGGATAATAGAAAGGAGCATTGATGATGGTTCGGAACGATTTGGCCGCGTTAGAAATTGGAATGTTTTGTAAGACCCCCAAAGTTTGATGCCATATGTCCATATGTCTAAAAATAGTAGTATAAATGAGCCTTTTGTTTTATAGTCAGTTTTGAACCTTGAATCTTTTAAGTTTAAGATATCTGAAACCGTCTTTTGAGCCATATGTAGGGTGGTTCCCAGTCATTTGTAAATATATAGCCAAAGATAGCAGACTACATAAGCTGGTGGAAAGGGTATACCGGTATACCATTAGTGACTGTTAACATTTTTGTGATTTTGGGGCTGTAAACATGGGTTTGCAGGTTTATGGTTGAGATGACAGGTTCTTTACAATAGCAAAGGATGGTGGTATCATCTACATAGGTGGTAATTATAGTTTCAAGAAGAATAGGAAGGTCTGCAGTATATACTGAGTAGAAATGGGTCCTAAGATATATCCTTGTGGTGCCACTCCATCTGCAATTAAATCTGAAAAGCAAGTAGTCTAAACTCAGAATCGCTGTCAAGTTATAGAGGCTAAAGGCACAGTGAGGATAAGCAGACTAAAATGATCACTAATGACTAAATTATAGGTAAAATACGTAAAGATAAAATAATATGAAGGGAAAAAGGAAAAGTTGGAATTTCAAACATGACAGTGATTAAAATAAATAGTGAACTTTGTAAGTTGTATTTTGTTCTGCTCATGACAACAGTTTTGTAATTAATTTTGATGTAATTTTTTTTACAAGACTCAATACTTTTATAAAAAGTTCATTACTGATATTTTATCATTTCAATACTTTGGTTACAAAAAAAATCAATATTATCTTTTTAAAACATTTCTCCACCTTTAAAATATAAAAAGAAAAACATTGGTACAATAAGTTAATAAAAATCACATAATTACAAAATACAAAACCACAACTCAAGATTATATCGTGTAACTCAATAGCCTGCAATACTGCTACGAATATAACAAGAATATAAGTTTCAATACAAAATGCACACAATACATACGTAAAAGTTATTAAGATATGTAGCTATAAATTATTTACTTTCATTTTAATATAGTTTCTTTTTATTTTTGTCAATTTCATTACCCGTTGTCTACATATAAAAAAGGTTCCAAGGCTTCCGTTGGTTCAAACTATCACTTCTTCTTAATTTTAGTGCAAAAAAATAATGCCCAACTATTAGAATATTAGAATACTTTCATATATATATAATTTATATTTACCATATAAATGTCTCTATGTTTCTTGTACATTTTTTCTTTTTAAAATCTTTTTTTTTTTTTTTCTCAATTAGAATATTTTATTGGAAGTACCTCAAGAATGCCTAATGTCTAGAAACTAATCAAGCTCTTAAAGTACGAAACGTAAATAATTACATTACCTCTGGAACTTATTCTATTACGATTTATAAAGCAAAATCATATTTTTTTTATTGAATAAACACAATAAGCGATTTGAAACAAAATTTTACACAATAGCATTATATTATATTTAACCGAGCCAAAGGATTTTCCCCTTAGCACATATGTAATAAATTATCTATACACATTATAAAAGTTGTTAATCAAAAAAGAAATGTCCAATAAACACAAAATAATTTTTATTATTTACATTTAATAGGAGATCAAACCTGACATCCATACTTAGGATAGTTTTGGATCACAATAAACTACTTAAAACTAATGCCTCATTTATATTCCTTAATAAAGAATAGCATATGGAAATACACCATTCTGCCATTGTTAATTTTATTTACATATTGTGTATTTTAAAAACCAAATACACTAATAAATATCTAAAATGTGCCAACTATACAAAAAATAAGATAATAAAATATAAGATCATAAAGCTTAATGTAAACACTTGATGAGCCGATCACAATATCATTTTAAATTGTAATTAATTACGCATAGTAAATTTGTGAGAGCTTCCTGAAGGTCATTTATCACTCAAGTTGATTTGTCATTATAATTGCTGTATTACCATGAGATAACAAATTAATTTAGTAATAACTCATATTCAAAACAACGGTTCCTACAAATTGATTCAAACTATCCAATCCGATAAATGATTGCGATTAATAACAATTTGCAACACTTTCTCATCTCAGCATCTTTTTTCAGCGTTGCACATATTTGACGTACAGACGAAATGCAATCATCAGTCTGGTGCTCTTAATTTTTTCCATTATATTCTTTGGTGTCCAGATAAAAGTCTTTGATAATATTACATAACGCTAGTTCTCACTTAAATCCTGTTGGGGAAAAAAAAATGCATAACAGTTAATATCAATGATAGCAATGTAATAAAACAAAATTAAGAAAATATACCTTTAAAAAAATAATAAACTAGAAGAAATAAATTTATGGTCGAGCTCCTCTTGCAGCTTCCTCTAAGGCTCTGACTTTTAGTTCCCTTTCTCTTTGTTGTCTAACAAAAATAAATATTGTTTATTAATCATTTCTATCTATTGCAAACAGAATTAATTTTTTTGTACCTAATATACTCCTCATGATGTGCAACCAACGGATGTGGGAATCTTTCTCTCTCCATTAACATATGTCTTTGTAAGTGTTCATGGGCAGCAGCCTGTAGTAAAAACGTACAATACAGAATAATTAAATATTTTTTAAGCTTTCAACACAATAATAATAAAAATACACACTTGATGGACAAGTTGCTCAGTGTAAGGTCTTGTTAGAAGTTCAGAAGGATGATGAAGACCTAATATTGCTTCTCTAGGAGGCAAAAGATTTGGTCTTGGGTATCCTCCTGCTCCACCTGTTTAATACGCTTATTTAGAAAATATGCATTTAAAGGTTTTTCCATTACATCACTGTCTTACAATGGTGAACTCAATATTATCAAAGTCTATAATAAATTCTTGTTGAATTTCATGTTCTGAAAAAATTTGCGTTCAAAAATAAAGTGAAGGAAGAAGGGATGAGGAAAAGTTGAAAATGAGGATTTAGAAGATATTTAATAAAACAGGTACCTGGAAGAGAAAATGGAGAAGCCGGTTCTTGCGCTGGGGCCGGAGCAGGCTGTGGTGTCGTTTGGGAAGGTTGCGGAGGTTGACTTGAGCCAGGGGCCTGTTGTCCCGGATGTAGGTGTAGATGAGTGTGCGCGTGAGTATGGGCATGGGTGTGAGCGTGATACTCGGGCGAGATGCCGGCCATTTGGAGTCGTACCATCGGATCTGTAGCCAGAGCGAGTCTTTCAGCCGCTTCAGCGCTGCTTGCATTTGAACTTGGGCCAGAACTAGCTGCGGCCGCTCCTGCTGCTGCATTACCTGGAATGCCTGCAATAAAAATTTCATTTTACCGCTTGAACAGCCAAAAATTGATGGAAAGAAATACAGACCTAGGCGTTCTAAGCGATCTCTATCAAGCTGAGAAATGCCAGGTGGTGGCTGACCAGCTGTAGGAGGTGGATAATTCCCATACTGATGAACCCCACCAGGAAATCTAAATAAAAATAAAAATATAATACCCCATATAATTAAATCTAAACCAATAATTAATTCAAGAGTAATTATTTTTGATCTGTTTGTGCAATATGAGAATAATTGCTTTTACATGTTCATATATTTTAATTTCACGTGAAAAAGATATATGAAAATATTAGGCATCCTTACAAGGCACGTACACACTAAGCAAATCTCGGCCAACAAATGATGACCAATACAACAGACCGAATGTTGGACATCAAAACATTAGCCACCCTCATCAAACCAAGGGGTTGGGGCCAACAGAGTCGGCCATGTGGAATCACAGTCAACAACGCCAGAAGTCCAAACCTTGACCGAGGCAAATCGTTTTGTTGGCTCTGATTACCTCCCAAACAGAATAGCAAATTATGACCAACAAAGTGGCTGGTTGTCTTTCGTGGCCGAGATTTGTTTAGTATGTATGCGCCAATAGAGAAAATAAACATATTCATTACAGTTGTCCTTCTGCAATAATTCACATTTTTTGGAACCCCACTTTTCAAAACCTTTTGTAAGGATTTTCGGGTTTTTTCGAATCGAAGCAGTTCACAAGCCAGGCGTTTAGTATCACTTTGTCAATGTTACTGTGAAGAACATCTTTCAATTGATCTTTTGGATATTTTTTTAAATTTTTTAAAAGCAAATTAAAAATTCCCCCTTAATAGGTTGTAGTTAAATACATTTCTCTTGGTGGTAAATCTTTTTCTTTCACAAAAATACTTTCACTTGAAGGTATAATCAAGGAAGTTTTGGCCTTTTGCTCCCTCGCCTTTTTTTTCTTTTTTTTAATGTTTATTTATTAATTGTAAAATAATTAGTAATATGTAATTTTTAAATAATTTAGTAAATAATAATTAACTTTAAAAGCATATTTTGTATACAAATATATATAACAATTGTTTTGCAATTGTGGTTAATTTGTAATTATCGTCTTTTTTTAACTACAAGGTTATTGAACCTCAGAAAGCCTCCATTTTTCATTTTTTTTCTTTTTTGCCTAAACAGTTCCGGCCAACGACATCCCTATTTGTAATTATCACAAATAAATTTGATACATAAGTAATAAATTTAAAGTAAATAAAATGTAAATTTTATTTTTTATTAACTTATTTACTACGTCCTCATATTTTGTAAAATTTATTAAAGGTTATTAAGTAGAAATACACTGTTAGTCAATTTTTTCATAATATACGGGTGGGCGTACATAAATCTTAAGTGGGTAAACTACCCAACCACCATTACTGGTTTGCCCAACAAGACCTCTATATATGGGTATCATTTCAAAAAGATGTGCTCAAAAATTTTAAAAATACAGTTTTTAAAGCAAAATTTTAATTAAGGGTAGATTTCATAAGTGTAAAGAAATTTTATACTTATTCCTCTTTTAAAAAAAATTAATTTAAAAAAAAATTCGGAAGCATCTTTACAAATCAATGCTGTAATGAAGGTGAACAAATATTTTAAAGTTTTAACCTTCTATGCATATCAATCCAGTGAGGTTCAAACGCCGTCAAACGTGCTGAGGCTGGATTGCCAGCTTTCATCAGTTCCTCTTTTAAGCGATCGCTCAACTCCCTTTCTCTCAGTTCCCTCAGCTCCCTCTCCCTCTTCTCCCTTTCAAAATGTTCCAGTTCCATTCTGGATTAAAATACATGTTTACATTGTATACATTTACATTTTAAACGTTGTTTTGTCTAACTGAAAAAACGTTACCTTTCTCTTGCCCCCGGGGCATAAATAGAATTGATCTGATAGTGCAGCATTGGGTCAATGCACTGTGGTGGTAGCCCGAGTGTTGCCGATCTCTGAAGAGTTACAGGAGAAAATCCACCATGTGGTCTTGCATACTCACTACAAATAAGATGATTTTTATATTAAATATTAATTACAGTTTTATTTAATCATTTCGAAAATACCTTAATTGGCGTAGAGCTGGGGTATCTGGATAACCACCACGACCTCCAAATCTGTCGTAAGGAGATGACATTGGTTCAATAGATCCTCTACTAGGAGGCTTGGAAGTTTCAGGCTTTTCTGGAGTTGAAATCTTCCTCTGGAAGTTCACAATGCATTACAACAAAAGCTAAGATAAATTAAAGCATTTCGCACTTACAGCTTGTACTTTTTCTCTTTCCTCCCTTTCTTTTTCGGCCTGCTTTCTTAGCCTTTCTTCTCGCTTCCTAGCAAGTTTTGACTCTGGAACTGGTTTGAAAGTCAAGTCTGTACGACAGCAAGAGTTGTAATCACCACGATTCCAATGCCTCAAAAATCTGTAAAGTTTGATGATCAGTTACGGTGCATATGTACATAAATTAGCAAAACGGCGTACATTGCACTTTGACTCCTGTGACACTCGGTGTCCTCTATCTTGGGTTCAGGGCTTGGCCCTCGAGGCACATGGTGTGATGGTGATGGGACATCATCATCATCTCCAGCCCCACCAGCTTCATCACTGGATAACGTTATTGGTTCTGTTTTAAGCATGTCATTATTGCTTCCCATGTATGAATGCACACCTACAAATTAAAATACAAATAATGAGTTTACTCACGGTGAAAGAACTTTGTTTTAAATTTAATACCATGTGATGGTGGCAGAGATGACTGGAGAGCCGCTGCTTGGGCATGTGCTCTTAGAGCATCGAGAGAATTGTGTGGAGCTAAAGCAAGAGAATGATGTGGATGAAGACTTCCAGGTGGAAAAAGAGGACTTGTATGTGAAGAGATCTGATGTGATTTACTGCTTGTGCTATTTGTCCCACTACTGCTGCTTCGTGGCACACTCACTCCTAAAAATAAAACATTTTATTTACTTTTTTTCTTTTGAATGCTTAAATAGATTTAAAGAATTACCTGATGTGATCATTAAGCTGGAAGGAGATAACCGTTCTCCACTGGAATTTTGATGGTGATGATGGTGGTGGCTATGTTGATGGTGATGAGAGTGGTGTCCTTGCCCATGATTTGTGGAGAGAGTTGATGACGTTGTTTGAGAAAGAGTGGCTGAAACATGGCAACTTGCTGATCCCTGAGGAGGTTGCTGTAACGACGGACTCCCAGTCCTCTTATTTGAATTGATTTTGTGTTGTACACTTGCAGAACTGCTTGATGTCGTTGAATGAGAAATCGTCATTCCCTGGGGTTGATTTGATTTTTCCTGATGATGGAGAAGTGTCGATGACGTCAATTGATGGTGGGTCTGAGTTATCTCTTGAGTAGTGTGATGATTCAATGCTTCGTCTCTTGTCTCCACTTCTCTTATTGAACGAGAAGTAACAGAATGCGTTAGCATGGTTGAGGCTTCAAGGGGTTTTCCATCTCTTGGAGGAGGAATCGGTTGTGGTATGGCATAAGGCCCATAAGGGAATGGATATGAATAATAAGGATGGGGAGTGTGATACTGATGTACAGCAGCTGCATGAGCGGCGGCTGCAGCCAGCAGTGAGTGATGCATTAAAGGATGATGAGGATGATGCATAGGTGGTACGAAAGCATGTGGATGAGATAAATGAGGGGACACTCTGCTTAAAGGAGATGGTTGCTGTGAAGGATGCATTCCGGGTTGGGGCATCGAAGTCGGAGGAGTGGCATGAGTCGGAGACGGAGCAATAAGACTTGGTACAGAAGATGTTGGCGGTTGAGGTGCAGAGAATGGAGAACTTCGTGGTGGATTGGGTGTCGGTGAAGAAGGTTCTGATGGTCTTGAAGGTGATTTAACTGGTGTTGGCGGTCTATTAGTAACAAATTCAGGCTCTTTTTTAATATTGTCAAGTGCTGGACCCAAAAATGGAGATGATGGTGGGTTTGAATCAGATCTATTAGGATCGGTCGACTGCGAAATTGAATTATTCAAGGTAGTTGGTAGTAAAGGTTGAGATATTGATGTACCTGAATAACCAGGGACTTTAACTTCCTTTAATGATTGTAGAGGATCTGTAGCAGGTGGCATTTGATCTGGAGGTATTACTTCTTGTTTGATCTTCAAATTCTGAGGTTCATTTTGCATTGAATATGGAGGAGAAGGATTAACCTTATCAACTCTATGCGAATGAAAATGGGGATGATAAAACTGAGCAAATGGATTATGCTTAGGGCGTACTGAAGGAATATTTATCATATTAGCTGAACTATCATGCTCTAGAGGAGGAGGATAAGCAGGTACTAATATTGACTGAGCCATATTAGGGGAACACTTCTCTTGTTGATCAGGTGGAGCGGGAGATTTAGGAACATGAACTTTTAATCGAATAGGTGGAGATTCTAGCGGTCTCATCGCCTCCGGCGGAGCTGGAGATTTAGGGATATGCACCTTTAATCTAATAGGAGGAGAATCTGGGGGAGCAGGAGATTTAGGAACATGCACTTTAAACCTCAAAGGTGGCGACTCTAGTGGCCTCAACGAGTCAGCCATTTCAGAATTTTGTGAAGGAGGAGTCCTAGAACTTTCATTTTCATTGTTCCTCTCGTTATTAGCTGGCAGTGATTCTTCACTTTCCCCAGGTTCTACTTTTATCGATGTCGCCAAAATAGGATTTGCATTTGGTGAGTTTGAAGTATTTGTGGTATTTGTAGAGTTTGCCGATACAAAAGGTTCAGCTCTAGTCTCAATCAAGGCCTGCGAAGAAGTAGGCGTAGCAGGAGGTTCTTCTTTCAGCACAAAATTCTCCACGGTTGTGGGATGAAAGGGCATAACAACACTTTCAGGATTTTCAAACAGAGTTTCACTCTTCACAATAAGTTTCTCTGTAATACTGATCTCTTCAAATGTTTTGGGACCAGTTTTAAGTGACTTTGGTGTAGCACAAATTGGATCAAATTCTTCTTTGATTTGTATAGCACCTTGCACAATAGGTGAAATTGATTTCTTATCTTCCTCGTCTTGCGGTACTACTGGAGGCACTGTGTAAGCTGATGAAGGTGGAGTAAATTTATCTTCTTCTTTCAAGACTTCTTCTTTTTTAACTGTAACAGAGTTATAAACAGGTTCCTCAGTTTCCACAAAGTTCGATTCAGCTGCCGGTCTGGGAGATCCAATATAAAAAGAGTCTTCCTCAGACAAAGATAAAGACAAACCATAATATTTGGACTTGGGCTCTCCTTCTGGCTTAGATTCTTCTTCTTCTAATTCAGACTGAGGTGAGGGTTGAAGAGGGCCACCACTTGCCAAGGCTGGAGATTCAACGTTATCATTTGTCTCGGGCGGTTCTTGAGATGTAGGCTCAGCTTCATCTGCCACCGATCCACTATCGGTTGTTAAACTCTCAGAAGGACTATCTGCCCCATCACGTTTTCTCTTGAAAATTGAAACTTCTTCTTCAGGTTCAGATTCAACATTCCTCTTTCGATTTTTATTTGAATTAATCTCAGTTTTACCCTGTAAAAAATACAATTTTTAAATTAAATATATTGATAAAATGCTGACGGCTTCATAAGAAAAAATCAAGTTTACCTTCTTTTTAGTTTTCTCAGTGGGCGAATTTGAACAATTGCTTGAAGCTCCAGGAGATTTCGCACCTTTTTTGTCAATCTCATCAGGCGTATTAGTGCCGCTGCTTCTCTTAGGACGAGGGCCGTTATTGCCCTTTGTTGGCTATAAACAAAAAATATAAATTGTCAAACGTAACTAAACAAATCTGAAAATATAAAAATATCTAATTACAGTTTCCTTCGCCTTATTCCGGGTACGCATTCTTCCAGGAGAACCATCTGGGCTGTCTGACTGAACTGGCCTAAATAAATAAGGAGTCTCTCGACCAGATCCACTAGAATTACTTGTGCTGTTATTATTATTGCTGTTTGTGTTGTTGTTATTGTGATTGTTCGGAAGAGTTGGGAGTTCACCATGCTTCTTAAAATGTGTTCTACAGTCAGTGCATAAAAGAACCCTGTCCTTGGGGCCTGAGGGCTGGACATCCCTTGTATCTGAAATTAACAAATTAATAAATTGTTCAATTATATTTCAATCGATATTTTTAATCAGTAAAGACTCACTGGCATAGCAATGTTGACAATGAAAACTTGAATTGTCCCTTGAATCCGAGTCATTTTCTGAATTGTCATCCTCGCTTGGTGAACTGCCTTCGCCTGTAATTTTTTAAAATTTTATAAATATCAATTCATTCACTCCTCAAAAACAAAAATAAAAAGTGTTCATTAAAAATCACCTCTTTCATTAGAGATAGGAGAAGGTCTAGAGCTTCCTCCGGTGGCTGAAATTTCGATTTTTCAAAAAAAAAAAAAAAATCAATCAAGTTCTCTTTTAAGAAGATTTGAAAGGTTCTTTAGGTTTTAAACTATGTGCTATTTGAAATTTACACAGGCAAAATTTCATTTTACATGTGTACAATTAAACATAATAAAAATAAGTGTAATCTTATTATACAAGACCTCTCAAATCCACTAATGGTCAATTTTAAATGTAATACATCACATAAACTGATAGAATATTTGATAAAAATGTATAACAAATTTTGATCGCATTTGCCACAACCAATTAAGGAAAACATTGAAAACTAAGAAAACAAGGGTATTTTATTATTACAGTTTCGTCGCTTAGAAAATAGCATCGTTTTGAAAAGTCCTTTACACTGAAAGCATAAACTAATAATAAAAATAATACCATAACTTATTTCAATTCAGTAAAAAGAAGGTCTAGAACTTCTTCCTGAAATTGTTTGTTAAAAAATGAAAACATCAAATTTATTAGTCAAGTGGGTTTGAAAGGTTTTTTTGATGTTTGATTAAATACCACTTTTTTATTTTCATTACTCATTCAATTTGTACATTTGTTACATGTTCTGACTGCATAATTGTTTAAATGTCAAAATAAAACACCTCTCAAATCCACTCAATTATTTATAATTTGATACTACAGCCCTCCCCCATCAATATTTACAAGTCACTAGAATCCTATTTATTGTGATCAACAGATATTGATGAAACTCTGTTAATTAAAACGATTGAAAAATTTAGACAAATTGTTGAGTTGTTTGTGATGTCCCCAGGGAATGCAGGGTATGAGTTTATAGTGACAAAACCCGCTAGAATACCATGCAGTCCCAATTACCTGGTGGTTCCTCCTTAATCGTGCCAGACCTCGGAGAATTCCGCGTGTTTTTATTCCGCCTCAAGGATCCTTGCCTTCGCCTCCTGTGTGGTCGATTATTGTTTGCTCCAGGTGTCTTTTTCCACAAATAGTAAAATACAACTATCCCATGAAAAAAAAAAAAAAAAAAAAAAAAAAAAAAATCTAATTAATATCACAAAAATTAACCTTTCATTCTCTTTTGAAATAATTAGGTAATGAAATAATTAATATTGTTTAAATGGTACAAAACAACTCACAGTGTCTTTGTGTGGAAGCAAATCCTTCTTAATCCGAAAGAAGTTTTTCCCAAATTGCCTCAACCCTTTAACAAACCGTTTCTGGGAAAAAATCAAACAAACAAGAACTTTAGACACAATTGCAAATGGATACAAAATATATAGAAATCTTGAAATCATATATAATTGTGCATTATTTAAAAAAAATTAACTTACAGTCTCTTCTTCACACCACTTCTTTTCTATTCCTTTAGGAACAGGGCATTTAACCAATGCTTGAAGAGCTTTACTTGGGTCATATCCTGAGTCATGCAGCTTTAAGAAAAAAAATTCAAGTTTAAAAAAAACGTAATTTTCAATCTATATTTCCTGTCGAATACTTACCACATCAAGGGCGTTTAATGTAGTATCATCCCTTGAAGCAGCCACACAGCCGTCGTCAGCAGATCCCCCATCGCACATACCTGCAAATGCGGCCATAGACCGTGCTGCCCTGAGATACATGAGGAGGTCGCCGTCCAGCGCCATAGTTGGAGCCCATCTCAGTTCCTCCCTCTCTCTGCTGAACTCAGGGTCCGGTGGCAGCTCGGTCACAACCCCGGGTCTGTACTCGGGTAGTCGAGCCTTGAAAAAATTCTCTTTAGTATCTTGGAAAACGAAAAGAGACTGAAAACTAATCACCTGGTGAGAAGGGCCCACTCTGATTTCTCCTTGGGTGGATGCCATTGTTAACTATTAACTACACACCTGAAACAAAAAGTTTGTTTATAATTCAAACAACTGTGACAATTAAAATTCACACAATGAAAATTTTAGTTCGGGGAAAGACGATTAAATTAGAAATATTTGTACAGTTAAATTAGTATAATCTTTGTTTAAACTGGAATTGTTTGATTTGGTGAACAGTTGACTGAGCTTGTTCAAATAAAATTTACATTTCTTATTTGGATTTAAGTATTAATTTCAACTTTTTCATGAAAATAAAATCGAACTACAATTCCAATATCTAATAAAACATTAAATTAAACAAAAAATTTAGTAATAATAATAAAAGTTATACATTTGCAATGTGCAACTAAAATAAACTTAATAAATAATTAAGAATTTTTTCCCCAACTTTATCTTGTAAATTAATGCAAATAATCAACAGAAGATAATAGTAAGTATTGGGTTGTCCGGAAAATAATGCAGGATTTTAAGTTTTCATTAAAAAAAATCTATATAAAATATTCTGTTTACGTTTACAGGATTACTCNGTATGGGAAATTATTTTGATTAAAGAACATTGCTTTAAAGTAACTAGTTTCTTTTTTTTTGTTTAATACCAAAATCCTGCATTATTTTCCGGACAACCCAATATTTACACATCATTAATTATTAATTATTTCTATTTCATAGAAATCAGGAGGTAAAATGTACAAAGATAGACCCTGCTTAAGATTACAATCAGAGAGTTAACAGGTGTCAACAATTATGCACAGTTACATTTTTACATTACACGACCTTCGGCTAAATACGCTGCTGCTCTACTACTTGAGCTATCGTGACTTTGATCCAAAAAGAAGGGAAAATTCAAAAGAAGGGGTTGAGATGGGAAGTTAATGTCCGAGTGGATCAAAGTAACGATAGCTCAAGAGGTAGAGCAGCGGCGTATTTAGCTGAAGGTCGTGGGTTCGAATCCCGCTTGTGACACTGACTTTTTTATCTCAACCAAAAACCTTAATTAATTGAAAAGAATTATGCACAGTATTGTTAGATCACAGTTTATAATCTGAGGTAAACTTCTAAACATCATTCAGAGCATTTCATCTCACTCTTCACAACCCAATACAAATAATTATAAAGCTTGATCATCTTCAAAATGCATATTCTGATCAGTTATGACAAATGTGTAACAACATTACACCAACTTCATTGGTTGATCCAATAATTCACCATATTTTATCCAGTTAATACAATCCGGTTTCTCTTAAAGAACCACCTAAAGCTATTTTTTATTTTTAAAACGCTAATTGTATAGCATTTGGATATCTTTAATCACACATTAACCTTATGGTCAGCTTAACAATGTAGCATCTGATAGAAAAAATTTGGTGATCTCATGACTGCGCCACCACAAAGACCATTTTTAGACTTTATCTAGATAATTCAAGATAATACAACGTTAAAAAATTTCACAAATAGAATCAGACGCTTACACTAAAAACATAGATTGCATTCCCTTTCCTTTCAAAATTCTTTTAATATTTTTTCTGAATATTATAAAAGAACTTTCATGAACATGGATGAACATTAGATGAAAATGTACTAGTAGTATAATTTGGACCCTCGGAACTAATAATTGTGGTAAACTTAGAAAATATTCAAAATCTCACAAAGTAGTTCTGTCTGCAATACTCCTATTATATAGCAATAAGCCAGAAGAATATATATATATTTAAATTGAAAGACAATTCCTTCTTTTAAAAAAATGGTCAGTTCCAGCCGTAAGAAATCCTGAAAGTAAGTCATCCAACCTAGCAGAGAAAAGAGAGATTTTGTGATATTTTCCTTCTATTTGGAAAACATTTAAAGTTGTCCTAACCCTCAAGCCACCAAAATCTCTGAACTAGTCAAAATTAGTCCCGCAAGCTCATTTAGTAAAATATTTAAGAGGATATTGTTTCCCTTGACTATCCCACTGCTCAGTTTACAATCAAATAGCAATGGAAGAATAGTTTGGATGTACATTGTAACTAACCAGTTATTGCACAGCTAGACTGGTTGAAGAAGTAATTTTGCATTTAACATAATTCACTGGTACTGATAAATATTCAAAAGGTGTTTCCATGCCCTGGTAAACAGGAATAATCTACATCCTATTATTATTTAAGCAAGGGAAAATGTTGCACCTCCTTTAATCCATATTTCCCCCAACCCTAGAAGTTCTTCAGGGTACAGTAATGGGATCTTTGTTATTTTTCACATACAGTGATCCTGCTGGTTCAAACTGATTGGGACTGAGCTCTGTTCGGATTAGCCGAATAACTTCAATACGGAAGAAGTAAGCAGTAAAACAGGTGTGTCGACCAGACCTGTTTTTTTATTCCTTACTTGTTGAGAAATAGCCTACGAGTTTTAAATTTGGTCTGTCAGACATATTTTGGCTTTTCCTCACCTTCAGTTTTAAATAAAAACTTTGGTTCATGCCCACCGTTGAAGATGAGAAGAAGCCGAAACGTGTCTGACAGAACAAAACAATGATGCTGAACCAGCCGGGTCATTTGCAGGGTGTCTCTACTTGAGGATTTTTTGAGTTATTCAAACGTGTTTTGGCATCGTGCCATCTTCAGGGAGAAATGTTTTAACCAGCTCCTCACTAAAGAAAGTGCAATGCCGAAATACATTTGAATAACTGAAGAAACCATGAGTTCACCAACTCGCAGACCAAAACCCATCATCAACTCAAAACAACAATGGTAGACAGACGAAAACGCCAACAAAAGGCCAAACTACAGTCTCATCACTAGACCTTACAATTTTAGGATGAATGTACAGTGAAAAATCAATAGTTGAGTCTGGACTGGGCAAAGATAGAGTAACTGACTGGCCATTAATACCATTTAAATTTAACTGGCAAATACTGTTAAAAAAAACTGTTAAAACTCTTCTTTGTATTGGATTCTGGATGTTTATATTTATGGATTAAGGTGCAACATCAATAATTACATGCAACAGTATAGGCTGCTCTCTTTTTATCCTAGTGTCCTTCAAAACACAGTCAATGGTGCATTCCATAACAGTTAATTCACTTTTTGTAAATGATGGTTCCGATAACCATAATTTTCAAAAATTGACATTTTTTTACAGTTTACATTCACCCCTTTACTATTCCTACAACAACTAATGTTCTATTATTTGCTTTTTTAATTAACTTTATTTATTTACTTTAATTAAACAATGCCGGGAGCCAAAGTGTTATCGGAGAGTGAAAAGTCAGCAATAAAACATTACAACTTAAAAATTTGAAAAATTGGACAATTTATAAAACTACTCAAAAGTTAAATAGAAGTAGACACCTCATGAATAACTTTGTTAGACTTAGCAACAACTATCCACAAATAGAAAACAACTACTAACTACAATTCGGCAAGTAACTACAAGGAAAATTTGTAAAACAAACATACAAAAGTTCAATGCATTTTGCAAGCAACTTAAGACAAAAAGCCCCTCTTGCAAAAAGCAACAAAGCCAACAGGAAATGATTTGCTGCTGAATATGTCTCTTGGAGATCAGACTTGATTTGGAGCAGTTATCCTACTATTTGTAAATTAAATTTTTAATAGTATCTTCTTAGTCTTGTGGATTAGGGCTTCGGCCTGAAAAACAAACTACATATTTGTAAGTTGTTAAGAATCTGTGATATGTCTATATAATATTGATTGTTGTGCTCTGTAAACACTGAAGAAGACGAAATACATATCGTCAAAAGCTCTGTGTTGGTATAAAAGCACTATTTGTTTTTCTGACCACATCCCAGTCCACGAATCCACTCTATTTAATTTTTAAGTTAAAATACAGGTGTGAACACAGTCAATGAGTTGACTGAATGTTAGAAGATGTGGATCTTACTTAATCATCCAAGTGTCTATATGATCCGGAACACACCAAAAAAATTTGATATACACAAAAACAATTATGATACATACAAAAATTATTATGAAGCCACTACATTAATAGCTTGTTGACATTGTCTAGTGTATCATAAATATGGCATAATGCAGTTTCCCAGTTTTCCCAGTTATCGAAACAGACTTGAAATGTTCATCGATGCTTCGAAACAAAGAAAAGTCACAAAAGATGTGGAAATTTATTTCAAAAGATGTAACAAGATTATTGTTTTAAAAATAGTGTTGGGAGCTAATCTACCTAGGCTTACATTTGTTAAAACAAAACCACATTGCATTTCACCCTTTCAACTGTATGATATACCTCTAAAGCAATGAGTGGAGTCAAGTATTCCAAATGAAGGATAACTTTGCTTTAAAAATTAAATAAATAATATAATAATATGTGTATTGAAGTTAAGTTAATGTCATTTGCCAGAATGTATTTAGACATCTTAGATAATGTCTAATCAAAATTAAAAGTTTTTCATTGCAAGTAAGAAAATGTACATTGTAACAAAAAACAGTTCAAAAAGTAGAGCAAAGATATGCTGTACTGTTAAAGACATACAATTATTTTTAAATCACAAGAGACAAAACTATCCTCTTAAACTCCTAAAAAGGTGTTCCTCAAGAGAGGGTTCATTCCTTTTTACAATGTACACTGAATAGAAATGATAAATGGTGGAGTGAATATGTTGTTTAATCTTTTTAAAAAGACAGTTCCCACTCACATTTTATTATTTTCAACAATCCAGATTTCAAGCTTATAGCACACCATCTGATTGTAAATTCCTTCAACCTGATGATGATGAGGTATAAGCTTGAAATCTGTATCGCTGAAAACAACAAATTGTGAGTAGGAACTATCTCTTTAAAAATATGTACACTGAAAATGTCTATTATTTGTTTGCTGAAAAATCCCATAAATCATTCAGCTCTATACCAATTCAGTAAAACACTTTTCATCCAAACGTTATTTGATAATCTTCAACAAAACTTGAAGAAAAAATGACATTCTCTCCAACAAGAAAGAGTCAAGTTGTCATTGGTCAACTTCTACACAACCGATTTATGCATTTATATTAGTTCAATTGTAATTAGGGGACACATTTTACTTGTAAAATCACTAAAAAACACAAAATTCCAATAAATATGTTTGTTCTTTTCATTTAGTTGATGCCAAATTTATTTATTTATTTTTATTTATTCATTTTTTTTAAATAGAGTCAAACATAACCAGTCAAATCCAAGCAATGTTTCTGAGGAAAATATTAAGTGTAGTTTAGTTACCTTATAAAATGCCTATTTTTTTTCTTAGAATAAAATAGTACATAAACGTCTATTTGCCACCACTGCCATATTGTAGAAAGGGCTTTTTATAATCCTGAAACAAAAACAACAAAAACTCAATAAGCATTTAAAGCAAAATGTTTGTCTTTTGTTTGTTTAATTTTGATTTAATTAACACTTGTTTATGATGAAGATGGGGCACATCTTTATGTATGACACCATTTTAACGAAGACTTAGAAGAGAAATGGCAGATGAACAGATTAACAAGGTTTTGCATAAGATTTAAAATAGTGCAATAATTAAGACGTACAGATTATACCTAGAGTTATAAAAGGATTATTATAACTTACAAATTATAAAAGGAAAAATACAAAATTATGAAAGGAAATTTAATCATATCAAATTACGTGTCGACATAGAGTTGCAGGTCAGTGTAAAGATTGAGATACTTTTTAAGAATGTTGTGAAAAAGGAATATGGCAGTTAAAATGTCCGAGAAATAAACATACCTTAATATGCCATGCAGATAGAGCTAATTTTTGACGATTGGACATTTAGTTTAAAAAATTATCAAAAACAAAGCCATTCGCAGTTTTGTGATATCTAACACGACTGGGACAAGTGCTATGCTCACACAATTGATACGCTTATCTAAATAAGTGTGACTGAGGTCACACTCATGAATCATACAAGTTCTATTAGAATAAAATTAACCCGAATGTTATTAAAGAAATACAAAAACAAAGCAAGCAAAACAATTTCTGGGTGCAATAATTTACAAATTAAAAAAAGATTTAATGTCCATTGTGGGGCGCATACAAACTAAGTAATATTCGCATTATAATATTTGGGGTTTTAATCAAAATTCAGAAAGAGTAATTAAATATACTGAGTAAAGATTAATGTCTAAGTGGTTCTTTGAACAAGCTACTTTTAAAGTATGACTTGGCCAAACAAATCACTTAACAAAACACTTGTCCAAAATTTCCTTACAGATTGTTTATTTATAATTCTCACGTTTTATAATATTTTATAGGATTTCAAAATAATTGTATTTTTGGCAATTGTATACAACGAAAAAATTGTATTTTTGGCAAAATGATTTTCCTCTGGGACAGTCTAGTGTAGTAAAACTAAAAAATTAGTTTGTAAAAATAGAAACAAAAACAAACATTAAAATAAAACGAAACCTGATACAATGGATGATAAGAAAAAGAAGATAAAAATGCAACTAAAAAAAATGTTAAAAAGAAAGCAGGCGGTAAAACTGAATATTCCATACCTACAAATTACAGTTCTTTACACAATTAATGTAAATGTGATAATAATTTTATGATCAAAAGTCTTAATACATTTTTTCTTCATTTTAATCACTTAAAAAAAAACCATTGATGTGTCTAACGACGCATAAAATAGCACAGTACACTGGATTTTAAGACATGAGCTCTTAATAGTATTTAGTATACTAAATTTTATCAAACATTCCAAGAATAAGCCAAATATTTCCTGCAATTTGAATAAGCCATCATTATTTTTAACTTATTACCTAAATCTGTACTTTTTTATTAATCCTTAATTAATATTTCCCTTAAAACTAAAGGAAGTTTGAAAGGTGTTAAGCAAGTGTAACAATTAACCCTAGAACAAAAAATTAATAACATTTTCTTCCACAAATGAAATCTTAAAAATAGAAGCAAAATACCTGCTGTACATTCATTAGAAAGTTGATTGGTAGAATATACCAGGCTTCTTCGCGGTTTATTTTTAGATCTGTGCAACATTTCAGAAATTATTTATGGACTGCTATTGTACAATGAGCAATCCCACTTAATCACTTTCTATCATTTCCGCGTGATACTTGCTATACATTTGTATACATTGTTAAATCGTACACAGCTTTAAACTAATTAGACATTAAATAACATTAAAATTATAAAATTAACAATAAAAAAGATTATATTCAACTTGAGTGAGGATTTTCACATCAGAAAAACTAAGATAACAAATGTTTAATGAGTGCATATACATACACATGTGAATAGAACTTGACTTCTCACATTGGGCTTTAGTAGACCAGGGTCAGAACTTAACCATCCCACCGCCCAAGTTAGGCTCCAAGAGCTGTCATCTGCTAGGTCACTTTACCCCCCCCCCCAATGCATATAGTTTTTAAATCCAAACCCCCTCATAATCAATACACATATGTAAAATAGCCTTTTTTTCTTTAGAAATAAAAACAGGGGATGCAAAGACTCACTGACACTCACAAGCAGAATATCAGGTGGCATTCCTACACTCTCTATATGGAGCCAAAGAATGAGACCCTTCTATTATGTGGGATTGTAAAGCAACCATTCTCTAGATGCCGGACACATGCACAGACTTTGGTCCAAAATTAAGAGTCCTTATGTCTACCTTGCATGGCCTATTCTTAGTCGGGTGATAAATCCTCTTTTTCAATACAGAGCTCTAAGGAACCTATACACCGAGCTCTTGATATACAGAGAGTTTCTCTGCTGATGCTTCTACCCTTTTGATTATGTTTTTAATATCCTTTTTATCGTCATAGGGCTGCATCGTGATGGTTAGACACAGAGGTTGGAACATCCCAGACGGAGCCACCCCATCTGCCTTTTCCCTACCCTCCAGGCCTATGTGTCCCAGATCACCAACATTTTACCAGTTTAGTCTATCTCAATTAGTAATAACTAATTAAATAATTTTTATTTACAAGGAATTAAATAATATTACTTTCTTTTAAATAAGAAATGTGTTTTTCTGAAAATTCTCATTATATTTTTAATGAAATACAAATAGTGGCTCAAAGAAAGATAAATGAATGTCAACTACCCAAAAAGTTCATTATCAATTTGTTTTTCATTTTTTCTCATCACCTTGTTTCTACTAGATTTATTTAATTATTAATTTTTTTGTATGTATCTCTCAAAGGTTGATGAATGTTGTATTATCAAAAACTAACACGTGTTTTTATAAGTTAATAATAAGATATTACAAAACATTGTAGTTAGGCCTGAGAAGTGAACCTTTTGGTAAAAAAAAAAAAAATGTATAAAATGACGATTGAAATTGAAGATAATAATTGAAATTGAGTAAAATAAAACAGACCAAACACTGAATATGGCAAAACACAAACACAATTAGCAAGAATAGGCAGATAGATTGAAGATGACTGAGCAGTAATATTTGCATCAAAACAATTGAAGATAATTAAATAGTGTGAATATTGACAGCATAAAATTATTTTTATTTGCCTTTATATTTCTTAATAAGGTAAATTGTTTTCCAGGTTGAATAGTTTCAACATCATTGCACATTATCTGAAGAGAACTTTCATAATTTCAAAAAACACTGATTATCTTCATGTATTCTTTTAAAAACCTCCAAACAATGGTATATTACAAATTATTGTTTTTTAACTAATTTGATTCTATTATCATATTTATTAATGTAAATATATCCTATACCATTTTTATAAAGTGATTGAAGAAAGATTTATGTATTTACCATTATACTTTTTTTTAATGAATTGTGAAATAAATCATGATATAAGTTCACATAATTTATAAAATTGTGACATCATCAGTAAAATCATCCTGGTTAGCCTATCCTCTGGTCTGGTTGATCTGATGGACCAGGATGATGACAATAGATCTTATTGGTGGTAAATTATAAAATTTCAATATTTAATTAAATATTAAAAGATACAAAAGCATAATTTTCTATTCTGCGATGCTGTTAATCAAGAACCAATCTTTCAGCAATATGACAGATTATGTTATCTCTAATAGGAGAACTGCAACAGAAAAATTGCACTTCATAGAAAAAGATTAAACAATGATTAAAACACCCGATTCCTGCTAAAGATAAAAAAATATTTTAGATAACTTACAATAAAATATAGAAATATATTTTATATACTGTACATACTGTAATTAAATATTTAATTGTATCTATTTATCCGTGAGATGAATAAGAAGAGGAATAGCAAAGAATTAAAGGATAATTAAGAAAATGTGCATAATGCAAATAAGTTTGTCTAATGGTGTTACCCAAACTGAAATATGCTAAACAATCTATTAAAGACTACTCAAAACTATTTTTTATAAAACGTCTGCATTAAAAAATAAATAATTGTCCAATTAAATTGCAACATGATCTCTTTAACTAAGCATTGAAGCATGGAAAGAAGATTTATAAATAAATTAATTGTATAAAATGCACAAATAAATTCAGTAAAATATATTAAATTGTCACACATAAAAAAATTAATCTTGCAAGTTATTACTTTTTAAAAATGGTAGATTATATTTTATTGATGAATTTATGTTTAGTACTTATGAAACCATGAAAAAAGGTGGAACCCCTCAATTATGTATAAATTCAATTTTTACATTTTACACACATCAAAATCTCATCATTTGTACATTTCGACAAATAGACAATTTCTCACCTGTCCACAAATATGCCTAGTAACTATGTGAGGATCATACTTAAACTTGATGTTCTTGCTTAAAAGAACCTTAAATTTGTGGATAAAAGTTTAATTATGCAAAGATCCTTTTAATCTATCTTAAATAAAGCCAATTCATCAGCATATAATTTAGAAGTAAACTACAGGAACAGGTTCTGTCAAAATTAAAACTAATTAATTGATATGTAACAAATTGTTCCTATCTGATCCAGAATATCTTAAAGAAAACAAAGAAAATATTTTGTTCCTATGAAAAACTAATCTTTAATCAATAGACATAGAAAAGGCCCTAACATAAAATTTAACTCTTAGCAAAATATTTGCTCTTTATATAAATGCAAAAATTATTTACAGTTAAATTTATCTATTCATAAGGAAGTTGTACAACAGGGCTTTCAAGTTTTAAATGAACAAGGCTGTTTGTTAATGGCTTAAAAATGTAACTGACACACAATCAATATTATCTGATTCTCTGTCTGTAATCTGTTTAAAATGAAAACCTAGAGCACATTTTTTTTTTAATCTGCAAAGTAATCTTTATTTAATGAAAAAATTAACCCTTAATATTTTTAATTATCTCTTCAACAATCCTCCATTAGTTATCTTACAACCTATTTGATCCGTTTTAAAGGATTTGAGGTAAATAAAACTCAGATAAAATTTCCCATTTGTGAAGATGATATTCAGACAGAGTATTTACTCCGTACTGAATTGAATTGTTAAAATTGTTTTACTCAGTTTTGGCTATATCTTATATTTATCTTTAAAATATCCAGTAATCAACAAAAAATAAACATTATAATGGTTGCAAATATTTACTAAAGAAAGAAGGGGGTGGCTACTTTTTTGCCTCTCAATGTACATAGATTCTTGTGTAAATAACAATCCAGATAAATCTGAGTTTTCACTTTTTTCAAACCAGAAACCAGAACCATCATTTGAAAAAAGCGAATTAACACAGTCACCCCATCTTTATTATTTCGCTAACTTGATTTTTTGTTAAAATTAGAAGCAGAAAATTAGGCAATTGATTTTTTATTTTGTTTATGACTAAAAATGAGAAATTTTTATTTTGAATTAATTAAATTTTTCGTAAGAATATAAATATATACAATTTTTGTGTCATGTAACTTTACGTTAAGTTGTGCACCTTTCATTATATATTATGCTTGTTAATTTTCATTTAAGAAGATTTTACCATGCTTCTACTGTTAATAGAATATTTATTACATTGTTTGTAAATAATATCATGTTAAATTTAATTTAGTAATGTTTAAGTAATATATGTATATTGCCCTTGGCTACCTCCCCTAATAGCTACTGCTTAAATACAGTTCTATGTCTAGTCTATTTATCTATCTATCTGTATCACAATAGCCACTAAAACATTGAAGCAGTATTGACTTCTGGGCATCAACAATGACTGAAGAATAACAGAAATAAGAAAATGAAAAAGAAAGAGTGCATCAGAATAATTATTAATTAATGAGTTAATTAATAATTATTCTGATGCACACTTTCTTTTTTTTATTATATATATTTTGTTTGCTCATAATGTGATTTTCCTAATATACATTTTCTTTTTGTCCTTATAATGTGGTCTTTTTTGTTTGTTTGTATGTNTATATATATAGGGAAAAAGGAGAAAAATAGAGAGTGTAATAGAAAAGAAGAGCGAAAAATTGGAAAAATAAAGTTATAGAAAAAAAATAAAGAAGTAGATCAATGGATAAGAAAATTGAATGAAGAAAGAAGAAAAATACTCTTATATTAAGTTGAATGTAAGAGTGGGTGAATGTCTAGTAGTAAAGTATCAAAAAACGAATAACCAATAAAAAATACCACAGAAGAGTAATTAGAGAAATCCAAATAAATAGTGGCTAAAGAAAAGAATGTAAATATAAAAAGCAAATAAGGAAAAAAGTTGTGAGTGTGATGGATGTAGATATAAAAAAAATGAGTAATGAAGACGTAATTCTTTTGTGAAGTACAGACATCCAAAAAAATGTAAGGAGAGAAGGCAAATATAAAAATAAGAAGAAAAATGTGGCCAGAAGAAGAGTATAATTTTTTTAAGTAAAGAGAGAGAGAGGTAGGTATATAAATGTATAAACCAGCAGAATAAGGAAAGGAGAAATACTTTTTATTGGGATGTAAAATATGTTATATGGAGATGGGAAACAAATTCAACAGAGTCGCTGGAAAGAAAAAACGAGAATAAATATTCAAGGCTGTGGATAAGCAATAAACTTAAGAGAGAGAAAGAGAAGATAGATGTAGTAACAGAATACAATAGAACAAGGAAAGGAAAAGTACACAATATTTGGATATAGAGAGAATGTAATAACTAGAAACAAGTTAACAAAGTAACTAGAAAAATAAGAATATACATTAACAAAATGAGTGACTATATGTAGAAATAGAAAGCAAAGTGTGAGAAATAGATGCATAAAAATACAGAGAGAGAGAATGCAAACAAATATTCAACTAAGTATGACTACAAATGAAAAGAAAAAATATAAAAAAAGTGGATAAGTAAAAAAAGGTAAGAGAAAGAGAATAGAAGTAGAAATAGAAAATAATAGAGTGAGAATAACGGTATCTAAAAAAAAAAGAATGAGAGAAAGGCCAACAAATATTTAACACAAAGAGGCTACAAAAAGAGACCAAATAATAAAAACAAGGATTTGTAAAAAAAAGTTAAGAGACAGAGAGTAAATGTGGAAAACAAAACAACAGAATGAGGAAAGGAGAAAATTTTTTATTATGATGTGAGAGAGATGGATATGTTTACAAAAAAAAAAGGAAGAAAGAAAAGGCAAACTAATATTTAGCAAAGAGTGCCTAGAAAAACAGAGAACAAATATAAAAACGTGGATATGCAAGTAAGTTAAAACAGAGATAAGGTAGATGTAGAAATTGAAAACAAAAGTGTGGGAAATATGTCATTTTATGTTGAGAAAAGATTTTAAAAAAGTAGATAAGTAAAAAAAGGTAAAAGAAGGAGAATAGAAGTAGAAAAAGAAAATTAAAAAGTTAATATGTGGACATCTAAAAAATAGGAAGAGAGTAAAAGCCAACAAACATTTAACAAAAAGTGGAGAAAAAAAAGTTAACTGTATGTAAAAAAGTTAACTGAGCAAATTGTGGAAATGGGAAAACAAAAGGATAAATAAAAAAAAAGGAAAGGAGAAATACTTTTTATTGTGGTGTGAGATGCAAAATATGGTTACAAAAAAATAGTAAGAGAGAAAAAGCAAACAAATATTTAACGAAGAGTGCCTAGAAGAGAAGAGAATAAACATAAAAACGTGGATATGTAAAAAAGTTAACCGAGAGAGAAGCTAGATGTAGAAATTGAAAACAAAAGTGTGAGAAATATGTATACATAAAAATTAGAAACAGAGAGAATGCAAACAAATATTTAACTAAAAGTGTACAAATGAAAAGAAAAAATATTTAAAAAAGTGGATGAGTAACAGGTAAGAGAAGGATAACAGAAGGAGAAAAAGAAAACACAACGATTAAAATGTGGACTCTAAAAAAATAGGAGAGTAAAAGCCAACAAATTTTTAACAAAAAGTGGCTACAAAAAGAGATCAAACATAAAAACGTGGATATAAAAAAAAATTAAGAGAGAGAGACAGAAAGGAGAAATACTTTCTATTGTGGTGTGGTAGAGATGTGAAATATGGATACAAAAAAATAGTAAGAGAATAAAGCAAACAAATATTTAACAAAGAGTGCCTAGAAGAAACGATAACAAATAAAAATAAAAACGTGGATATGTAAAAATGTTGTCACAGAAAGTATTTGTGTTAATAGGAAAACTGTATAATAAAGAAAGGAGAAATAATTTTTATTGTGGTGTAAAAGAGAGGTGATATATGGATGCGAAAAAAAATATTAAGAGAGAAAAACAAACAAATATTGAACAAAGAATACCAAGAAAAGGAGAGAACAAATATAAAAACGTGGATATGTAAAAAAAAAAGTGCACAAGAGACAGAGATTAATTGTGGAAATGGGTAAAGAACAGAATAAGGAAATGAGAAATGCTTTTAATTGGTGATAGATATAGATTTTTTTAAATATCAAGAAAAGAATAGTTGAATAAATAGTTAAGTTGCTAGTGTGGAAATAGGAGTAAAAACCATCAAAAGATGAGTGATAAATAATAGTTGAAAAAAAGACGTGTTGAAGGAAAAAAACGGAAAAACCATGGAATGATTACGAGAGGAAAAAATGATAAATAAAAAAAACTAATTGCGAGTCAAGACGAGAAACAAAAAAAAACGAAGTAGAGGGAGAACGATTGAAGTGGTAATCTTATTATTGTCGATTTTTTTTAATGCTAAAGGATTTATAGTTCATCGATTAAAAAATAAAATTTATGAAAATATATCAATATTTAAGATTCGATTTAAAATCAAAGGGGGAAAAAAGCCTAAATTTTTGTTAATTTCTAATTAAGTGGTTTTTTTAAACAAATGTAATAAAATTGACCATATGGATATATTAATTTAATCACATTTATAGAAAAACCTTTTATGGTAAAACTGTCCACACGCCTGCTAATTTACATAGGCTATTTTCTGTTAATCATGATAAGACAGTTGGGCCCCATCGAAGGACAATATATTACGGATATACATTGGGAAATATTACGATTCTTTTTTTTTCTTTGTGATGTGTTTGAGAGCCTGTGAAATGAGGGTAATTAAAATCCTTTGTTAACATATTTATCACACCCAAGCATAATTTATGTGATCCATATTAACAAGCGTATTAGCCGTTTGTTGTAGGGTTAAAAAGATTTCTGTTTTGAATTATGTTAAATGGTAAATAAATAAAGGGAGGGTTTGGTGGGGTCTGGGTAATACGGGATATATTTTGTTTTAAAAAAATATATAGAATAAGCCGAAGTGGAGTTGAAATGGTAAAACAAGCGTTTGGAATCGATACAAATAAAATAAACAAGGCCGCAATCGGAAAGATAACCAAAGTGGATCTCGTGAATTGTCTCAGGACTGATTTCCTCTCGGAAGGGCGAAGGGGTCTTCAACTTCAATACGGGCCGAAGACTGGAAAGGCCGCATTTCAGGTAGTCGAAAACTAACTTGAAACCCGACTAAATAGAAATGTTTAAAAAAAAAGATACCTTGTGAGATTTTGAATTGAATCGGTCCCGGTTGGAAATCCATCGGGTTTGCCAGAATCGCTCCTTGGAAAGGCAGAGGCTAATCCATAAACGAGGCAGGAAAGACGCGTTTTCGCCCGATTTAACTAGGCTAGTCTTGTCTCTCTACAAAAGTCGAACCGTTTCGTATAAAAATATTGCGAATTGGCTACGCACCCAAGCGGTGCGGACTTGATTTGACCCGTAATAAAAACTATTCCATTTTAGGGGAAACGCGTTCTCGCAGTCATTGTTTTTGATTGTGTATTTTTCTGGTAGTTGTCCCGTTCACCACAGAGCGCATCGGGATTATCGAAATCCTGGCTCATCCCTTCGACACCCTAGCCGGGCCGACCCGAACGACATTTTCCACTTAAGATTCTTTAAAAATAAATAAATAAAACTTTCCCAGGCTTGAAATAAAAGTTTTTCCGATACACCGAGTCTGGGCTGTTTCTGGAACCGGCCACTTTTTGTGGTACGGTGTCGGAACTGACCCCACACCCAAGCCAAACCTATTATTCCATTTTACTTTTTTAACATATTATTCTTTATTACATTATCTTTCATTATGTTTTAATGTGAAATAAATCAATGGGAAATGTTTGAATTCGTAGACGGGTTAGAATCTCACTTTGACAACTACCGCTGTGGACGGTACATCAACTATTCTAGAGGGGATAATTTAAATCATGCCTAATGCAAATTATTTGCGTCCCTATATTTAACGATACACTTATTTATAATAATGGGTGAATTTTTTAAGAATACAAAACATTGGCATTTTGGAAGGCAGCATTAAATCAGAATAAGCCAGAAGCCGTATTTTTGACCAAGGACCACCTATATCGATGTATTTTTTATTGCCTTTGGTTGAACTTTTTATGTAAGTTTTAAATGCAATCTATAAAAGCTTAAAAAAATTAAACAATAAAAGTTAAATCGCGACAATACGCCTAACTATTTGGGTGAATATTCTAGAAAGACACCTCTAAGCATCTGCACCTTAAGTCCGAATAACCCGAAAATCGTATTTTTGAGCAAGGTACACATATAACGGTCTTTTTTTATTGAACTTTTTCCGTAAGTCTTAAATTCATTGTATAAAAGCTTAAAAATTAAACAATAAAAGTTAAATCTCGACAATGCGCCTAACTACTTGGGTGACGTTTCTAGAAAGACCCTGCTAAGTATCTGCACCTCGGAAGGCAGTATTTAAGTCCGAATAACCCGAAAATCGTATTTTTGAGCAAGGAACACATATAACGATGTCTTAAACTTTATTGAACTTTTTCCGTAAGTCTTAAATTCATTGTATAAAAGCTTAAATTAAACAATAAAAGTTGAAGCGTGACAATGTGATTAACTACATGAGCGAGTTTTTGAAAAAACAACACCGCTAAGCATCTGCATCTTGGAAGGAGGTATGTAAGTCGGAGTAGGCCGAAAACCTTATTTTTGATCAACGAACACCTATAACGATGTATTCTTTTATTATCTTTTATTGAACTTTTTCCGTTAAACAATAAAAGTTGAATCTTAACAATGCGATTAACTACATAAGCGAGTTTTTGAAAAAACAACACCGCTAAGCATCTGCATCTTGAAAGGAAGTATATAAGTCAGACTAAGCCGAAAACCATATTTTTGAGCAAGGATATAACGATACATTTGCATTGTCATTTATTGAACTTATTAAATTGTAAGTTTAAATTACATGTGCGATTAACTATATGAGCGAGTTGGGGGTGAGGGGGAATCACCAATAAGCATCTGCATCTTAGAAGGAAGTACGTAGGTCTGAATAGGCCGAAAAGCGAATATTTGGCCAAGGAACACCTATAACGATGTATTTTTTATCGTCTTTTATTGGACTTTTTCCGCACGTCTTAAATACAATCTATAAAAGCTAAAAAATTAAACAATCAAAGTTGAATTGAGAACGCACATAAGAATATAGGTAAGTTTTTAGAAAGACACAACTAATCATCAGCATCTTGGAAGTAGTAGATAAATCAGAAAAGGCCGAAGCCCTTCGCTATCTTGACTAGTACTTTCCTTTGAATGCTTCTAAGAGTCTTAGATTGGACTTAATATACTTACTTAATATACTCTTCAGCCCAAATTGGCGCAGCGTCCGTGAGAATCGGGAGAAGTGAACCTTTTTTGTATATATATAGTTTCAACAGATCGCTTCCCAACCTAGTGGACCATCGAAGTTTCCTATCAAAGATAACGCCAAGACATTTTAGTTTATCTATTTCTTGTAGTAATTCACCCCAAAAATAGACTTTTATGGTATGGTAACACGCCTTCTTGTGATCGACAGAACTTTACTTTTATCGATATTAAAAAAAAGATTCTGTTTGCATGCCCATTTCTCCAGAAGATATAAACTTTTGTTAGCTGCTGTTTCTGCTTCATACTGGGACTTTCTGATCTCACTAATAATAGATCATCAGCAACAGGTACTCTAGCCTTCTTAATACCGGGTCATGCATTATTAACCAGAACTTGATCAGAAAAAGTCTTCAGCATGATCCATGAGGGTAGTCGATTTGTTGTTTTTAGAAAATCTTCATGTTTAAAAAATAATATTTTTCTAAATTGTGTAAGTTGTTAGGAAAGTGGACTTCAGTAGTATATGAATTCAGAATTTTTTCGAACTCATGCATTTATCTCATCGTTTAGCGACGTACTGCTTTGTCGTGCTGTTGCAATTTTGGGCGTCCACTAGGGGGAAAAAAAACAGTATCACCCACTTATCTTTTAATTTTGCTATTACATAACCTGTATGTAATTGTTGAAATGAACTAAGATTGAAGAAATTGGGGGAGGGGTTGCTGCATCTTCCTCTAACATGCGTCCAGCAGTTGAACTTCATTATACGGATTTTGATGGTAAGAACGATACTAACACCGAGCACTGAACCTTTTTGACTTAGTAGTCTTTTCCTAGTTCTTTAGTTCCTCAGTAAGTCCCCAGCTTTTTTAGAAGTACCTTACTGACAGTTATTTTTCCAGGGTCTTCTTTTCTCTAGCTTATGTTTCTATTCAGCGATTGCTTCGCAATTCGAAGTCGATAGTTTCTTCAGTTTCTTCCTCGTACAAATTGGGTCATCATTGAATATGCCCATGTTGTGTAGGTGTTTTTTCATATGCCAGTGATCTGTAGATGCTCTGTCATCAATCCACTGAGTTTTACCCTATCTAGACGCCAGTTTTGGACAGCGTTCTTTAAGCTTAAGTTAAAGAACAGAACCTGGCACAAAGCATTTCTATTCAGCTCAGAAGACAATGGAATAGGCCTGAAGTCGTTGACCACGGAACTCCGTATTTTTATCTATCCATTTATTCGTACATATTTTGCTACCACAGCGGTTCTGACTCCCGTCTTACTCATTGGAATTTTATGGATAGTAATGTTAAAAAAATGTAATATAAAATTAACTTTCAATTAATTAAGGTTTTTAGTTGAGATAGAAAAGTCAGTGTCACGAGCGGGATTCGAACCCAAGACCTTCGGCTAGATACGCCGCTACTCTACCACTTGAGCTATCGTGTTTTCGATCCACTCGGACACCTTTTGATTGGGTCAAAGGTGGAATTAAGATGGGAAGTTAGTGTCCGAGTGGATCGAAGTCACGATAGCTCAAGTGGTAGAGTAGCGGCGTATCTAGCCGAAGGTCGTGGGTTCGAATCCCACTCGTGACACTGACTTTTTTATCTCAACTAAAAACCTTAATTAATTGAAAGATATTAATTGGTCAAGCGGACCACGAAAACTAGTCAATATAAAATTTTATACGTTGCCCTTCTGTATACTTATTTGTTTCGAATTAATTTAAGATTTTTTCCTTTTAGAGTCGTAAGGGTTTTCTCCTTTTGTACTTGAAAATGTCCGAGGTCTGATAATTGTTTTACTGAAAATATTAGTTTCTTTAATAAAGTAGAATTCTTTTATTAAGTCAAATGGTATCAAGGTCAAGAATGGCTTTCCTAGGTACCTTAGCCTTTTCCTAATTCCTCCAGATATTCGATACTGGTCAACTGTAATAGGCCCATTTTTTTTATGAGGTATTTTATTGAATGTTAAACTAACGATGTTAAGTTACTGAATACTGTCGATAAAACCTCCTATAAAGAATAATATCAGACCGATTTACTTTTCGTATTGATAAAAATTATTATGTTATAAACGTTTCATAAAATGATTAACAAAGAAAAAAACACAAAAAATTAAACTGTAGTTCTTTTGACGAACAAGGCAAAAAATTATCAACCGAGAGAATTATCATTATCCAATAAATTACATGATCTGTAATTTTCACTTTTCTAGAGACAAACACAATTATTGTTGGTCAATATTGACCAAATCGGCGGAATTATTAGATTTTCTTTTTATGTACATATACAAGTTATATATTATAACTAATAATAACTACGTGTTTATTTGTACAGACAAATGCAAGCTTGTCTTACGCTAACTAAGCACAACTGCATTTGTCTCCCTCTTAACCCGAGGCGATAAGCGAGCCAGGGAAAAATGTAAAACCAGTCTTTGAGCTTCTTTTGATACTTAAACAATTCACCGAGGGCATATCGTTGAATTTGTATCTATTTTTAAATAAAGTTGTTTTTAAAAAAGAAGAAACTCGGACTCGAAACATAACTTACATATATGAAACATTCTACTTCTTTTAGATTTTTAGTGTGATGACTGTGTGATTTACATTGTACATTACAACAACAACAACAAAAATTGCACTAATTTTAATTAACTTACGTTACGTAAAACTGAACCTACCCAAATAGATAAAAACTTTCCAATAGATATCCCGCGACAAGAGACACAGGGTTGATATTTTCTTTTAAACAGAGTTGTTACATTTTGGCATTTACAGAAAATAGCCTAGAACTTTATTAAATAAATACATGTAATACACTAATGATTTAAAACATTAAATATTTACCAAGCGATGCTATTCAGCAACGTTAAATACCATCAAAATCGTATTCTAATTTAAAAGTAAATTATGGAGAAAAAACGAACTGGACAGGAAATGGATCATGTGTCTAACTTATTGAATAAAACATTAACAACATAGTCCCCAATACACGAAGCATATATATTTTAAGTACGGTATTCTTGGCTGACAAGTGAATAAATAAAAATTAGAATAAGAACGGAATTAAGAACTAAAACAAACATAAAATTTCATGGTTGATTTTCTATTTTAGATAATTCTTGCGGTATGGATCTTATCTTTCTCAAATGAAAAAAATTGCCATGGGTTCATTTGATTTTTTCCGCACTAATTGAGCATTATCGTACAAAAATGCTTTATTTGAAAATCAGATAGTAGACACAGTTATATTCGCAGAGGAGAAAAGAAATAATTTAGAACAAAGTCTATGAGATGTTGAAATAAAAATATAAACGCCCTAAACCAGTTTAAGACTGATTTCAAGCGGTTGCGTGCAAACGGCAGAAAGCCCTGAGAAACCTCAGCAATTATTCAAAGGTCTACAAACCTGTGTTGGCTATCAGAAAGGACCTGATGAATCATAATGCAGTATCAGATTTTTGTGTTCAAACCATCAACAAATACTCTCAAAGAAAAAACCCGGAAACTCGAATTTTGATGTTTACTTCAAACTATATGTATTTTTTTATCGTTATAATAGCAACAAAATATTTATTTTAATGTAAACCAAATTAAACGAGATCAGAAATTCATGAGTTTTAATATAAATTATTTAATTATTCAGAAATCGTGAGATGCGGTCTGGTGGTTTCAGAAAAATATTTTCTTTATCGTGCCAACGTTTCGATCTTTATTGAGATCATCTTCAGGGCTCAAATTGTTTGTTTTCTGCGTAAGTTTGCCATTCTTGCGTGTCGTGTTGAGAGTGCCCAAAAAACAAACAGAAAACAAACACGTTGAGCTCTGAAGATGATCTCAATAAAGATCGAAACGTTGGCACGATAAAGAAAATGTTTTTCTGAAACCACCAGACCGCATCTCACGATTTCTGAATAATTATCTATTAACGGTCACTAATCACCACACATAAATTATTTAATTATGATGTTTTATGGGGCGTCGGTGGCCGCAAGGTTTAGTCTTTGACACGGCGCTCATCACTGTAAGGTAAAGGTCCCGGGTTCGAATCCAGCGGCCCTGCATTCGAACCCGAATACTTACAAATGGGCTTTTTTTCAAAAATACCGGCACCCTGAGGGTTTATATGACCTCTGCTGTTGTGAACCCTCGTAAAAAAAATATAAAAAAATTAAAAAAAAAAAATTATGTTTTCAAGGAAAAATCACCAGACACCGGAAAATCACTTAGTGATTCATTAAAATTTAACTAATAATAATAATAATTTTTTTAACCCTCAGGGTGCAGGTGTTTTTGAAAAAAAAAACCCATTTGTAAATATGTCTGGTTCGAATGCAAGGCTGCTGGATTTGAACCCGGGACCTTCACCTTACCGTGTGCGCCGTGTCAACGCCTAAACGCGGTCACCGACGCCCCTAACTAATAATTTATTACCTGGTTTCGCTCTTAATAACGCGTATTGCCTCCTTTAGCCAATGTGCAACTCGTCTCTTTATCCTGCCCTAGTGTGTAGTGTTGTATGGAATTCATGTCAGAAGAACGTGCTGGCTTATTCACTGTGGTAATCCCTACATCCTTCAAGTATTGGGTGACAGCTCGAGCTATTATCATTCAGAGACACAAAGTTGTCCCCAATAAACGGAACGAATGGGACTACAGCTCATTGTTCCTTACTGCAGTTAAAGATCCGTGCTGTATGATAGGCACTCAATTCGGTACGATCATGGACGTTGGTTCCACCCTATACCCTGCATACAAAGCTTCTTCACACTCGAACCTGTCATCTGCCACGTACTGGCACTGATCTGTGAAGAGAACAACGCAGCATTGTTCAAGTGTCCAAGCAGATGCTGATTTGCAAATATCCTCCTTTCTACCCGATGCCTCTCCAGTAGAAAAGAAACTGATGAGGATGTCTAGAGACTAGGCTATTCTCACGAAGCCTTCTGATGATTGCTTCAGAGTTTACCTTATATTACGGACCATTTGGAGTTGACTAAATATCAAGGAAGCCGTTAAATGACGGTTCCGTAGTGCGGTAAGAGCAATAAAATGATCATCTGTCTAGCCGTCGTCCATCGCGGTCTAGCTCAACTCAGTACTTCCGTTGGTGCTAAACCGCTCTATCCAGGATGGTAGAGCACATCACATACAGGGGCTATGTAATGCTTGATTTACATTTTGCCTATTAGCATGCCAGTTGTGGTACTTACTGGCAATGCCAGCACTGGCACCGACAGGACAAGCAGTAGCTGGTTACACGCTGCTAGGAACTGGCAACTTTTTGACTACGAACGCTTTTGACGGCGAAATAAAAATATTAAAAGACGAAAAAATTTCAACTTGAAAAAAAAAATTAATAATAATAATTAAACCAAGGGCCAATTTACAAGAAGTGGTGGCTACGTGTCCAATATTTTGGAGAGTAGAATCATCAAAAAATGTTTGGTCCAAATCCGTGACACACCAACCTGCTCGTCCCCTTGTTAGATTAGGTAATCGTATTTATTAAATGAATGACATTTTAATGACTTAGGATATTTTAATTATGTATGGTAGGGTTAAACATTACAGATAGAGGTAATAAAAATAGGAGTTAGATAAAACGTGATGAGCCGGTTATTAAAGTTTTATTATATTTACTATATAAGTAATAGTTGTCTAGTCCTGATCATGACGTTAGAATTATCATAAATTAATTTTTCGTACTCCCCTCCTTTTCTTTTTTTAATGTATTTGTATTATGTATTGTATTGTATGTATGTATATTTATGCCTATTTGAATTAGTTTCATTTTGTAGATATTTTGATAGGAAACTTTATATTTTCCTAGTGGTGATGCGAATAAAACAAATTTTCTTTTGGGGGGAAAAGTTGTGTATCTTTCAAATGAATATTAATGCTAAAAAGTTTAGTTATATAGTATTAAATTTGGTTTAGTTCAACTTAGAATAGATACTTCTTTCAATTAATTAATCTTTTTGTAAGGTATTGGTTGAAATGAAAAAGTTAGTGTCACGAGCGGGATTCGAACCCCTTCGGCTAAGCTCTACCACTTGAGCTATCGTGACTTTGATCCACTCGGACACCAACTTCCCACTTCAAAAGGTAAATTCAAATGGTAGGTTGAATTGGGAAGTTGGTGTCCGAGTGGAACAAAGTCACGATAGCTCAAGTGGTAAAGCAGCGGCGTATTTAGCCGAAGGTCGTAGGTTCGAATCCCGCTCGTGACACTAACTTTTTCCTTTCAACCAATACCTTACATAAAGATTAATTAATTGAAAAAAGTTATTTGGTCAATCGGACCACGAAATATAATGAAATTAGAATACTTTTTTATAAAATAAATTATACTATAAACCCTGGTTCAATTGAATTGTGGAGTAAAAAGTGAGTGTTTTCAAATGTTTATTCCTCAACTTTGATAATTTTTATTTAATGTTTTTACTGTTTGATATTTTCAACTGTGTTTAATGTATTGATTTTGTTCAGCCTTGTCTTCTGCCAAATATAACTCTCACCCTTCTACACGTTCGATGATAGTCTGCAGGAGTTCTCTTCAATCGTTCTTCGCCTAAAGATTCCAGCAGATGGTGTCATGTTTTTAATGTTCTTCCCCCTCTTGCTGTGTTCTTTCAAGGTTCTACCTCTACGTGTCATTTAACTCGATTCTACCGGCTGACTACTTTTTATTGTTTTTACTTTTAGTAGGGAGTTGGACTTCCACTGAGTACCATCTCTTAACGTTTCGTTGCTGTAGCTGCCGTCAGACATTTTGTCAAGTCATAGATCTTTGTTGAATTTGAACATTCTGTTTTACGATTTTTAAAGGTAATAAATTTTACTTCTAGTTTTATTTTAAAAACACTCAGTTTTTAATAAAAGAAAACTTTTTCATTAATTTACTAGGTCTGAAAATGGTGGTTAAAATCAAGGCAGGCCCAGTTGTGGACATCCTAGGAGATGAGATGACAAGAGTGATTTGGGATGTTATAAAGGAAAAATTAATTTTGCCTTTTGTTGATGTCGAATTGCATACTTATGATCTTGGCATTGAGAACAGGGATAAAACTGATGATAAGGTGACGGTGGAATGTGCTGAGGCAATTAAGAAGTACAACGTAGGGATCAAATGCGCCACGATCACCCCTGATGAGAAAAGGGTCGAGGAGTTTAAGCTAAAAAAAATGTGGAAGTCTCCCAACGGTACGATCAGGAATATCCTCGGCGGTACAGTATTCAGAGAGCCGATTATTTGCAAAAACATCCCGAAACTTGTTACTCCGTGGGAGAAGCCGATTATAATCGGCAGACATGCCCATGCAGATCAGTACAAAGCTACTGATTTCTTGGTGCCAGGCGCTGGGAAACTGACTCTCAGCTTCACTCCCGTTGGCGCTAAAGAGCCGACAATCGTAGAAACAGTACACAATTTCGAAGGTCCAGGAGTCACGATCGGTATGTACAATACTGACCAGTCAATAGAAGCGTTTGCGCATTCGTCATTTAAATACGCCCTGGTCAGAAAGTACCCTCTCTACCTCAGCACTAAAAACACAATTTTAAAGAAATACGATGGACGATTCAAAGACATATTTCAAGAAATTTATGAACAGAAGTACAAAGTGGATTTTGAAAAAAGTGGCATTTGGTACGAACACAGGTTGATTGATGATATGGTCGCCTATGCTTTAAAATCTGAAGGCGGTTTCATATGGTCATGTAAAAATTATGATGGTGATGTTCAGTCTGATTCTGTGGCACAAGGATTCGGCTCTCTCGGACTTATGACTTCAGTTCTTGTGTGTCCTGATGGTAAAACGATCGAGGCAGAAGCGGCTCACGGCACGGTGACTCGGCATTTCAGGTTCTACCAGCAAGGCAAAGAGACCTCGACCAACCCGATCGCTTCCATCTTCGCCTGGACTCAAGGCCTAGCCCACAGAGCAAAGCTTGACAAAAACCAAGAATTGGCCAATTTTGTAAAAGTGCTGGAAACCGTCTGTGTACAGACGATCGAATCCGGTTACATGACTAAAGATTTGGCCATTTGCATAAAAGGCATGAACAATGTTAAAAGGGAAGACTACCTCGAAACGTTTGCCTTTTTGGACAAATTAGCTGAAAATCTCAAAATCGCCTTGAAAGCCTGACTAACTTCTAAAATATAAAACAATAAAACCTGATACAGGACTGTCTTTAATTTTTGTACTTGTTTTTTAATAATATACAAGGCAAATCAAATAAATTGAGACACTAATAGAGTTATAATTTAATGTACGTACACAATAATATGTACAACATATAAAATAAATTTACATTATTTCTTTATAAAAAAATACAATTGTTTTTATTTATCCTGATCACTGGAAATAATTTAATTTTATTTGTCTCATACATATTTTTCTATCCGGTTAATGGATGGGTTATGTAAGTATTGATTATATCACTATGAGAGGAAAACCAGTTTACAAATGTAACCATTTATAAACGTAAATCAAATAAAAAAAAACTGGTTTTCAAGTTCATTGCAGTATTACACATAAAAATTTCTTTTTTGTAAAAAAAAGTTCTGTACATTAAAATCACAAAAATAGTGGGGGAGACAGATATTTACAAGAAAATTTACAACCAAGGATGCCATGCTGGATCCATTCTGCATAAATTATCGGGACTTTTAGCCGCATTCACAAGAGTGCCAACCTGGAAAAAGAAATGCTTTGAGTTTAATTTATGTGAGAAATGTTAATCAATTCCATTGTTAGACAATGTGCAATGTCACAAGGAACAAATAAAAAAATAACAATTTAAATAATTTTCACTGCATTACTGCTAATTTCAAGCACTATTGAAATTATTTTGAGCTGTACCATAAATTAAAAAAAAAATGTGAAAAGAAAAACAAATTAATATTGTGTAGAAAAATCTAGATTTTTTTTAATACACAATTATTTCATTGTTGAATTCTGTTATAAATTAAAATGTTTGCATGCAGCATGTTATAATTTACCTTGCTCTCAGTGCCGTCAAACTGAGCCAGGCTGTTTAAATGCTGAGTGATTGAATTTACAGCATGTGAGACCATGTTAATTATCAACTCTCCAGCCACGTCTGCTGGTGGCGATGTCAGATTTTCATGATCTTTTTCCTGCTTCTGAAAATCATACAAAAAAAAAATCAATGTAAAATATATTACCAATGATAAATGCATAATTAATCTTTTTAAAGGTATTTTTCAGGAACAGACAATCATTCAACATAATTTATTGAAGCAGTATCGATTTTGGGGGCACCAGCCTCTCTTCTTCCAACTCCTTTTATTTTTAAATTCCAAAATTGCTTCAATAAAATGACGTGTTGCGGTTGTATGTTCCTGAAAAACGCCTTAAAAAAGATCTTGAAATAAGCCAACAACAAGAAAGAAAGAAAAGCATAATATATAATAATTCATGCTTGTTTCCATTGTGTTTATTGTTAAATCAGTAAATTAGATAATCAAACAAGTAGAAAATATAACAATAGTTTATTTTGTAAACTATTATTCCCACTCAAATATATTTATCATTTGTATTCTTTTAATCCAATCTGATAACCTGAGATAACTTTAATGTTATGTAATCAAACAAGAGTAAATTGACTCCTGAGCCCTTGCGACTAAAAATAGATACTTTCTCTTAGATTCTTTTTATATTTGGAGAAAGTTTATGTTTAAGGATTCCTTTGAATCCTGGCCAAACAAATAAGAGAAAGTATATAAATGAACGTGTGGCATTCATTAAAAATTATGGACCTTTTAACAGGTGGTATATGAAGCGTATATCACCACTATAAAATCAAGAAGAAAATGACTTGGAGATATATAAACCAATCCATAACTGAAATGCAAAATTATTTTGTTTGAGTGTTTAACTTTGTTTTTAAAGCGTTAAAACAAGCACACTTGAAGATAAGATGAAAATAAATGTCACCTGATAATAAAGATAGAATAAATCAAGATTCATTAGACAATCAACATTTTATCAGTAAGGTACAGTATAAAAAAAAAAATTCTGTAAAATTTCAAAAAACTTTCACTTATTTGTTTGTAAAAAATATTTTAACTTTTTATTACACAGAATAAAATGCGAGTAATGAAAACAAGTAAATAAATAATTAAAGGATATTGGTCTGTGAGTCTGAACACATGTCGAACTGGCACTCGATCAAAAATGATAACACCGAGTCCATAAAGACCCATTGCTGGTTTACCATGTGAAAAAATAATTCTTTGGAAAGTCTGAGGGACAGTTGATCTATAATTAAATCAACTTCTGTTGAATGCTGATGACTTGGTTCAATTGCACTTACAGCACTTCACAGTAAAACATTGTTTTTTTCTTCTTTGGATTAAAAAAGGTCATGTTTTCAAACAAAAACAGTTGAAACTACTTTATAAGAAAAATGATAGGGGGCATCTTAACAGTTTAGGTGTTGGCATGTCGACATACTTATAATCTGGCTTTTTTTTTAAACACCGGCACCCCGAGGTTTCATAAAACCTTGTAGTTGAAATACCCTCATTAAAAAAAAAAAAAAATTAAAAAAATCGATAACATATATGATCATCACATCATACAAAAATCACATTCCACACATCAAACATTTCTACTTAGTCTAATTATTCAACAATTTGGCTTTCTTTTCCCTAATATCCCTTCTATATAATCCTGAAAGGATAATCAGGCCGAACCATTATCTGATTTTTCCTACTGTCGGGTCCTTTCACCTCAAAGAAGCCGACTCTTTATATAAAAATGTCTTTCTATCCTGACTTCCTTCCCCACCCCTTCAAAATCCAACGTATATAGACATAAAACAGCAATATCTCACTGGCACTCCCAACACGACACACAAGAATGACACACACATCTACACAGAAAACAAACACTTGGAATGAGTCCAAATACATTGACTGAATTTAAAAATTCTAGCACTGTATAAATTCAATTTCTTTCCACATCCTATTTGTAAAATTTAAACAATGTTTATAAATCCCAGGCCCTGAAGATGATCTCAATAAAGATCGAAACGTTGGCACAATAAAGAAAATGTTTTTCTAAAACCTACGTCACACCAGACTGCATCTCACAATCTCCAAATAATCATTGACTAACGGTCACTAAACACCACATATAAATTTAAAAAAAAAGAAAAAAAAAGAAAAGGCAAATGTTAAGTTTTAATCATTCAAAAACTAACCTTTCGGTGGAAATAAATCATTTCGTCTCTAAGAATGGCCCTTAATATGGATGCAACTTTGAAGTTTGGATGAGCTAGACATCGAGCTGTAGCTATTATGCTAGCTGTTAAAGGTCCGTTAACTCCAGTTTCTGTAAGGAGTTCCTGAATGTTCGGGGTCAACCTGAATGGAACAGGCCTGTTTGCATCCAATTCACCTAAAACCCGGCCAAAAATGTTAAAACATTTGTTAAGAAATTCGGTATGTTTTGGAAATTTAAAATTTCAACCTTTTGTGTCTTCAATGTCAAATTTAAAATAAGCGACATTCAAAAGTCCAGAGTCTTGGTGAACGTAGAGCATATCAGGGTTGAGCCTAGTGAGGTGCAAAACATACTCGCAAAAGCATGCCAGTGCGAGCTGTAGTGTCATCTATAAACATAAATAGATTAAAAAACATTCAATGAACTATTTTAAAATAGATTTTACCATTTTCCTAAATGTCCAAAAATCAGTCGGAGATAGGTATGTTTTAAGAGCCCAATCTTTTAACAATGTCTTGGGTATCATCGTTGTCTGCACGTCTTTTAATATTTCCTTTAATATCTGATGACTTGCTTGCATTCCTCTTGCCTAGAATGATTTAAAAAAATTAACAAATCATATTAGATTTGCACAAAACAATAATTTACCTGAACCGAAGCAAGTCGTTCATAATATTTTGTTACAGGTGCATCATGCTCGATTCCGTGACTGGCACATGCGCCTTTATAAACATCTAGTAGTGAAATTGATGAAGGGTTGTCTTCAACCAGTCTGATCAGAGGATAAACAGCAACTACACGTGGGACCGTTATGTGCAGGAATCGTCTTGATGTCTCCTACAAAATAAATCCAATACACCTATTATTCCTTAATTATAACTTATAATTTGCTTAGCTGTATGCTGCATTTCTCATGTAAACTTCTTAATTTTTAGACTAATCAGTAAGTTTTATAAGCAAAGTATTTCCCATCATACATGGGAGCTTAAAAGTCTTTCTGTGGGGTAGACTTTTTCCAATTATTTCAACAATCGAGTTAAAAATTTTGTCTTGCATTGTTTCAGCTGCAGTACTGCATGTTTCAGCATAAGGGTTTTTAGCCAAAATGCCACCAATAGATATGATAAAAGTGGGGTGGGTATGTTGTTTAAAACTGCTTTAAAAGGTATATCTGGATTTTAAGCATTAAATGCTCATCATTAGGTTGAAGACATTACAAACACGCCACTTGACACAAAGCGGGATTTACAAAGTTAAATGATTGCGATATTAAATGTATAGGACAAAGTGGCAGAGAAATTAAAATGAGAGTTAAAGAACACTTGCCTAAATTGAACAAATCTGAATTTAAGGACCGACTAAATGAAACAAAACAAAATTTCAATTCAAATTTAATGTTTGGCTTAGAAATGCACGCAATCAATGAGCATCTCAGTCAGAAGGATAAAAAGAAAATTAGGGAACAATGGAACTCGCTCACTGGACACAAACAATCCAACAACCTCCTAATAAAATTTGGAAGGAAAAAGATAACAGAATGTATTAAAGGAAGCAGGAAAAACTGCGACTCGTAACAGGACACTGAAAACTTCTGAAGAAAATGGCATAACCCAACACAGCACATGCTGATTCTGCAAAGTAGAGGAAACATCAACCCATCTAATTGTAAGGGTGCAAAATTAGTATACAAACAACCCTGGTGGGGACCTTCTTCCCCGGGAGAATGATAAGAAAAGCGGGGAGAAGGGGATTGTGTGGCTGGAGGCAAGCGAGTTGACAACAGTGAGCCAAATCCTTTATTTTTTCTGTAAATTCCTGAATCCTTGTTCCTTCAGGGAGTGTGCCCGCTCCTCTTTTAATTAAGCGTATTTGTAAATAGTATTTCTTTAAAATTGATCTTAAGTTGAAATTGGGTTGTTTTTTCTTAAGAGGAATTTTTTATTTTTTTTGTTAACAAGACATTTTTTTTAGTTTGTTTCTACCACACGGCATTTTTGTAAATATAGCTTTTTATCGGATTTCATAAGGTCAAATTATACATTTTTGTTTTACGTGTGTAGTTGGATATTTCCTTTTTCCCGGTTCTTGTTTTCCTTTTGGAAAAACTTAGAATTTTCAGTCGGGGCCCGATGGTCCATTGAGACGACTAACATAATAACAAACTGTGGTGCTACACTTGCCCACAGGAAGAATTGTTTTGGGGCATACAATGTAACCGTGGAAGAGATCCTGAAACCAGACCTATTAATCTAGTTCCTTGATGAACTAGAACTTTAAGAACAATACGGAGGATATAGTAGCTCTTAAAAGGACTAGTAAAATACATGGCCCGACTAGTACATCTATCTTTCTAATGACATGTTTTTTTACAATGTACTGATGCATGTGCATAGATTTAAAAAAGCTATAACAGAAAAAATAGCTAGTTTTCCATTCTTCAGAAGAACCACCAGGTCATTGACTCATTGTTGTTACTCATAGCCAATTATATGTTGTACTAATTAGGGCAAAGAGAAAAAAAACAGAAGCTGTTTTAGCTAATTAAGATGAAGATGCCAAGTCTGGATATACTACAAATATAGTGTATCCAGAAGAACTTATTTAATACAAATAAAATATTAAACTCTCAATTATTCTGAACCATTACTAGTAGGATATATATTCACAGAAACACACAGACCCATTGAAGGAGAAGTTCAAAAGCATCTGGCAGATCAACCCAGTGAGGATAGGTAGGCCAAAGTGATTAGCCATGACCAAATTTCAGGTTTATCACCCTACAGACAAACATGGGCAAATTTCACAATATTTTTGTGTTAATGTCGTGGGTAGGTGAATGCATTTATTAGCAGAATGGTTGATGGTGATTTTATAGTAGGTGACTGTTTATATGAAGATGGTGGAGAAGTTGACCGACCAACTTGAGACAATGGTGTTTAAATAAGAGAGAATGCATTTAAGAATGACAGAAGGACAGTGCCAATATGTTTTGCTTAGAATTTGCATTACTAGGAGCTGAAATGTCAATTGTAGATCTATAAAATTACTTGTGTACATATGCATTACCTTTTGCTTTCCTAGATAATGGTTAAGCATTCGAAGAAGCTGTAAGACCCTTTCTTCTCTTCTGGCATCACCTAAACCAGAGTCGTTTACAACAAGGTAAGGATAAATTTTGCCATTGTGGCCTCTTATGAACAATCTCCTAGCAGCAGTGTTGTGTTTCTGTACTATTTCTACCCTTGGCATGAATCTTGATATCCTTACATAGTAATGGGAATGCTAAAACAAGTAACATTTGTTGATATAAAATTTATAATGATATTCTGTATATATTTATAATGATAAGTATGTAATACCTTCGGCAGAAGGAATTCACCAGGAAGTTCAATTTCTGCAGTCTGTAAGCTGAAGTTGCTTAATAGTCTACAATTTTCTTCAATTAAAAATGACCTAAAAAAAGAATCGGTTACAAAGGAAATCATATAATTTATAAGTTTATGGGTTATAAATTATAAGGGGTTATACTTTGGCAAAAGTTTGGTCTTTCCCTCCAGTATTTTGACCCATTTTTTCAATTTGTGAATCAAATTTTGTAATTTCATTGCATTCGGCACACTGAAGTCAAAGTCATCACTGAACTGGCTCTTCATCTTCTGGAAAACTGGATCTTGACTAGTGATTTGTGCTCTCTTGGCTAGACTTTCCGATGCAGCGCTACTAACTGAGGTGTTTTCTGAATTTGTATTTTCTGAATTTGTGTTTTCTGTAAGGTGTTATTTGCACTTTAAATACACTTATACTTATTAATAATTAATTATCGAAATAGTTACCGATTCCACCAAATGTAGCAACAAGCTTTTTTACAAAATGCAACGTGTGAGGAGTGATTGTTGCTTCACTCACGGCACCCCTGTTTTCAAATGCAATGACATAGCACTTTGCTAAGCCTTGCCTAAGTTGTCTTAAAACTTCTTCATCCCAGTTTTCTCTGAACCAAACCATCTAAAACAAAAACAAACATAAATATTTTAGTAAAAAAAAAAAAAAATGGAATAATCATGTTGAAAAATCATAACATACCTGATCAACAATCCCTTCTAAGAATGAAATCACAGTTGGATGAGCATCCATTTGAGTATGCATTATTCTTCCACATCTCCACATTGAGGGAGTAGCTTTGAAAGGTCCAGAAGCATCAGTGCCTGCAATAACGAAAGTAAATACATGTTTTTTAAACATAGTTAATTTTTGTCACTTTACCTTGTTGCTGGTCACTCGCTCTTGGTAGCTAACACAAAAAAATATGTATATAAAAATTGTCTAAATTCTAAATCTAAAAAACTTTTAAATTTATCATTTTACCTGTTTACCCGCTAATTTGGCACTTTTGTATCTTTCAAGTTGTTCTATTTTCAGCGTATAATACAGTGTTCTTATAGGAAAATAAACAGCTTGAGGGAACATCCTGCCGACCTAAAAGAAAAAATTCATATGAATGATGTTAAAAAAATCCATGTCATAAATAAGAAAACTTACTTGGCTTAGAAGATTTAACATGTAAATTCCTTCATTTCGCATTAGACAAGTAAGAAGTTGAGGGATCCAAGGTAACCACTGAATCGGTGGTACCCCAACTACATACTTGTCTACAGCTTCGGTTAAGGAAAATTTTTCATCATCATATGTCAAAAGCCAAAGGACCTTAAAAAACATATGTATATTAAGACAATTATTGACATTTACAAAGCTTAATTGCTATTTTACCTTTGCAAGATACTTCCTCGATTTGGATTCGTTCTGATGTCTGCAAGCGTGCAGAAAGCATGTGATTGCCGATATACCCATAGTGATGTCAGGGTTTGATGATTTTGTGAACTGAGACTCAATAAAATCACCCCAGAGAGCCCAAGCTTTGACTAGTGTATCATGGAGTTGTACCGCTGCTGAGAAAGCTTTGCTAGCTTCATCGACCCTTCCTGAAAAATAAAAAATTATGACAATCTTTATTTAATTCTATCATTAAAATCGACCTTACCAATTTGTGACAAAAGCATTCCTTTCAAAGCGTAACATTCAGAAGTCATCTCCTTGGTGAAGTATCGTAATTCGGTCAATTCAACAACCTTGAGGCCTTCTTGAAGCTCTTTCTGCCCAGACTGTCCAGACTGTGAAGCCATTTGAAGATAACATTTCACCTGTTGTCTTATGTTTTGAAAACAATCGACTACAGGTACAGTTGGGATTGTGTATATACGTGACAGAGAGTCCTGACATACACCGGTTAAATTTTGCTTTCTTGCAATTTTCCCAAAATGAATAATCGCCTGGAAATAAAAATATCAATAACAAAAATGCAAATGAAGATGACAACTATAAAAAATACCTGGCAAGAATCATGTACGCCAAATATGCTCCTGTTTACACCTTGATCATGCTGGGCATCATAATTTGATGCAATAAACTGATAATGGTGCTGGCGCCAGGTGAAAACATCACTCCAATGGCTCAGGTCATCAGCAATGATTGGTATCCTGTTTCTCCAGGTTTTGACAATAGTTTTCATGTCGTGAAGCGAATTGGTTCTTTCATGTTGAAGCATTCCTTGGTGGATCTGACAAGCTTCTTGCAATTCCATAATCTGAGTGATTATCATAATTAGTAATTGTATGTAAACAATAATTTCATAATTTAATGTATTATAACAGGTAACATCACTCCTTATGTTTCTGTTAAATTTGATAAAAACCTACAAAAATCTGTGAACCTTTACTTTACATCTAATTTAAATTGATTTAAAAAATTTATGTAAAGTGTGGCTGAAATGAAAACTTAATGGCACAAGTTATGATAGTTCAAGTAGTTAGACCAGCAGCATATTTTGCTGAAAGTCGTGGGTTCGAGTCCCACACGTGACACTAACTTTTCTTCTCAGCTCACACTTTACATAAATATTATAAATCAATTTAATAATTACGTTGGTTAAAATAGGGCAAACTAAGATACATTTGGATTTAGGTTTAATATTTCTGTAATTTAGTCAATTCTATCATTTTGGTCTGTCTTCACTGTGATGGTCATTTTGCCATATTCAGTGTTGGGGTTACAGGCAATTGTATTTTATGCAGTTTGGTTGTTTTCAATCTGCCAAAGTCTGGACAGTTTGGTATCTGCATTTTGATCCTTACCGATTATCTTGGTCTGTCACCTTGCTGGGCTAGTAGGCAGATATGTTTCGGCATTTTGATGGCAAAGAAGGCAAAATCCTAGAACATGTCTGACAGACCAACCTAGGGTGGATATACAGAACAAGATGTTAGGCCTACTGCTGTATTGTTGCCGGCAAGTTACCACAGGAAGTTAGACTTATGATTTTAATCAGTTTATCTCTGTACATCTTCCGCAGCACGACATTTTACTCCATTTCACATTATTTCTCCAAGTTTTATTTCTACTTATTTGCAACGGTGTTCACTAAAACACGTACTTCTCTCAATTTTCAATGGTTGGATCAATTAAGATAAAGCAAGGACTCAGAATCTGTCTTCAGAGGCAAGGCTGCAATAAGGTGAAAAAAGTTATATAGAATATTTTACTCTTGTATTTATTTATTTTTTTCAAATAATAACTGAAGATGTCGACCACAACTGAGAAAATGGTTCCAAATTTAAGGTCATTTCTTCTATAGGCACGTGAACAGCCTAATTGGGTTTTGATCATTAGTTGTACGCTCAAGATCTTTTTTGATTTTCTTTAAAGTTAAGCTTTTAAAGCTAAGAGAAATACAAATACTGTAGAGCCACAATGATGAAGGAAAGTCTTACTTCAATTTCCTCCCTCGGCCAACTACTACATGTTTTGTGTACCTTCGAACTGAACAAACTTTTATCCACAAAATTTATATAACTACATTACCACATTCTTGAACAACTGTGTAAATGCTGATAATAAAAATAGGTCAGATTATTATGAATGTAGATCACTTTTGTCAACATACTTGAGCAATATAGTGAGGAGGAGATTTGGGATTTTGCAGTGGCCAATATCGAAGGGCTTTTTATTCTTGTGACAAAGAGATCCTGAATTTGAATGCTGGTAAGTTTTTAGGTTTTTATTATTAGTGTAATAATAATAATAATAATAATAATAGTAAAGTAAAATAATTCTTGTCATATAGGGTGGTTAATACCCAACTTCTCATTCTGTGTTGGATAAGGTGTCAAACCACTACAATACTTCTTTCATACTGTTCTCAACTAAAAAAGCCAAGGGCTGTGCCAGGATTCGAACCCAGGACTGGTAGCATGGCAAATACGGTGGCCTAACCTGTCGGCCACAATAAGAGCGTGTAATATATGGGATGAAAAGCATTGAGTGGTCTCTATATGCATAAGAAGATTCTGCATTTTTTCCTCCATGCATGTTTCTTACTAACACTCTCTTATTTTTCTCCTGTTTACTTAATTAACTTGCTAACTAATTATTTAGAATTGAGAGATGCGGTCTGGTGTGATGTAGGTTTCACTAATCACCACACATAACTTGCTAACCTCTCGTTATCTCAGATTGTCAAATTACCAATAAAAGAACACAAGGAAGTATGCACATACAAAAAGAGAACACTTATGTTTAGTACCCGCCTCCAACCAAAACGCTGCCAGCCACAAGAGCCCTGAACCCTAGCTAAAAACAGACCCCACACAATTTCCTGGAGAAAAGCTGGCAAACATTGACCCAAAAAGACAGTTATAATAAAAAAAATTAAGTGCCCCAAACCAAATAATTAATTTAACAGTGCAACAGGAAATGGTAAGTACATAGAAACATTAAAATAAATTGGAATGATTTTATTAAAAAATAACAGTTCCCTAGTTAATACAATATTAACATTTTTTTTAATAAATGAAAAAAAGGCAATCAAAGTTTAATTAGAGAACCTGAATGAGCAACAAGTTTAATCTTATGATCGCAAAGAAACAACATTATAACATTTTATAATTCATACATGTATTTAGTAGTCATAATTGACTATATTAATTATTTTATAGTTTTTATCTAAGGTCTTAGTTAAGATAAAAAAGCTAGTGTCTCACTTGTGACATTAGCTTTTTCTACTCAACCAAGAACGTAGATAAAAAGTATAATTAATTATATTATTTTTTCATACAACCTTACATATATATCACAGATATGCTAAACAAAAGACAAATTAACACATAGGTACAAATCTTGCATTGAAATGTCTGATTCCATAAGACACTTGAGTTAGGCTCTTTTAGGATTTTTACGGAAGTGCTTAAATTAATTAGGCTTGTTTTACATTAATCGTATTGAATGTGAATTTGTTGGTTTTAAACAGCACAAACTAATCAGAATTGGTTTTGTAATTTTTTAAAAGTAAAATAATAGCTGACTAGAAATCATTTTTGTTTTGAGTCGTACAATTTTTGGCACTAAAAATGTAACAAAATTATCTTCACTCACACGGTTAAAATATCGCTGATTAAAAGACCAGACTTTAAACATAACTGAGTAAGCAAACTTAATAAAATACTAAGATGGCATACCATATAGATAAAAAATTATTATATTTGCAATATGGAATTTTTGACACTTTTTTAAAAATAAGTTACATTTACCAATTTACACGTAATACTCCAACAGTCTTGTACAGTCTAAGTGCTTATCTTTTTTTTTTGTGCATTTATTGTGCGAATAAAGTACAGAAATCCAATTAAAAGTACAATTTGCAAAAATAACAAAATAAATATAACCAGTAAGATAAATCCAAGTACACTTGTTTAATATCAATAGATTTAAATAAATAATGTAATTAAAAATAAACATTATGGCCAGTCTTTAATTTAGAGCAATGAATATTATGTTAAGAGTATTATTCAGTTTCAATTTATAACAAAATTTTAAATAAATATTTGAATTGTGTGCAAAAATAGTATTTTCAAATCTTATTAAGTGTTCTCCTCACTTTAGACTGCGCATTTATACTATTTCTTATGAATATTTATAAATAATTTCACTTAAATGTGTTCAATCATTGCATTTTAAAGCAAACTGTAGTTGTGATTGTTCCAGTTGACTATAATTAGTTGAAGCGATCCGTGAAGATAATTCAAATTTTATTTTTACTTTATAATTAATTTTAGTTTGGTGGTAACATATTTTAAATCTAGAAAGAGGGTTATTTTTTTAATACTAAACACACTATTTATTTTTATGATATATATTTTAATTGCTATGCGTTTCAGGCCACTTAGCTAAATGTTGAGCTCTGAAGAGGACTTGGCCCAAAATGCATTAGCAATTAAAACATATAGCTTAAAAATAAATGGCGTGTTTTGTAAAAACATAAAATAAAAAAATAAACCCAACTTTCTAAAGATTTGCAATTCGTGAAGTATATAGTAAATGGAATAATCATACTTCCATAAGTTCGTTATAAGTAATTATACAATGATTGTTTAGCAATGTACGTTAATCCCTTTTATTCCCTCATAAATATGAAAGAATATGTCAGTATATATATTTCTTTTCCAAGCATCCCTGCATTGTTGAATTTCTCTAACCAGTGCCAGGAGCGGCTAGTTAAATATCTACAAGAATCCTCGTGTACAGAGGTAACATGTCTATTTTAATCACACTGTATTTAAGAGAATTAAGGCCATCTGTAAGAAACCGATATTTTCCTGTAACGAGGACATAATACCGGTCTGAACTCGGTTTCTCCTTTTTATGAGAAAGCATCACGTATTGTGATACATCCGAGGAAAATCTACAAATTTTACTACCGTTTCTTGTCACTCTGTTGTAGAAGTCATCGTCCTCGCCACCCCATCCGAAGAAAATGTTCGAGAATCCGTTGACCGCCTGGAACTGGCTTTTTAAAATAGCAACGGACCCGCCAAATATGGAATCATAAGGGACTTTGTAGTCGAATATGTTGATGTTGGCTGACATGTGCCGAGGGTAGTTGGTACAACCATAAATATTGTTAAGATTCTGCGGGAGAAGGTCGACATCGTGGAATATGTAGCAATGGAAGTTATCAATCTTCTCGGTTTCTACAAAGCCTATGTTGAACAGCTTTGCCCTATTGAACGGCCTGTCTGTCTGTTCTACGACTACGATGCGATAATCCAGATTCTGCTTCTGAAGGAATGGATGCATATATGCGAGAAAATCCCTGAGATTTTCTTTTCTGTCCCTGTACGGAATAATAAGCGCGACTTTGTGCGGTGAGATGCAGTTCTCCGGCTTCCAAGCACCGCCTTTCTGTATTCTTGTGTCTGTAGCGAGTAGGTCCAGAATTTCTTCTGGAACTGGCTGAGAAGGCGGCTGGAGAATCAAACTCCTCTCTCTCCTTGCAACTTCACAATACGGCATTGTACTATTTGAGAGTTTCTCGACTGTAACCAAACTGTCTGGTATGTCGATCATCCTGATCACAATGACGTTCGACTTAGAAAAGAGCAACACATACAGGATGGTGTTGACAATCACTACCAAAGGGACAAGCCCGAGGATGACTTTGATATTTAAATAATACTTAAGAACTCTTATCCATCGGAAGTAAAGTGTCATCTTGGCCGGGTTTTAACGAAGTCCGGCTAGAAAATGCTAAAGCGTCCGAACTGTACTTTGGGATTCAAACGTCTTACTGTTACATAGAATAACGGCCGAAAATGCAAAACTAAGCATAACTAGAAATTATGTTAACAAATATATAAATGTAAGGGTTCAACAACTTTTCCCCACCCGCAAACCGGACAAACAGACTGACCTTTTTTTTCGATTCTGACAACAGTATTCCGAAAGGAATAATCGATGATAAAATAGATCGTTCTTTATGTAGGCAGTTCATACAGCACCAGATGGGTTCTATATTTTAAATTTAAAAGAATATTTACACGTAAATTAAAATATAAAATATCCTCATCTGCTAAAATTTTCAATTAAAACAAGTTCAATTAAACAATCGATTGAAACTTCGATTATTTAAAATCTATGGGCATGTTACTGCAGAATGATTCAAGTCAAACATTGACCAAAAACAAAAAAGGTCTTGATTTTATTGAATGATAAGAATTGAGAAATCTTTGGGTGTATTTGCATAATTATGAGTGGTTTAATGTAAACAATTTTAATTAATTGTATTTTTTATACAAGGTCTTGGTTGAGATGAAAAAGGTAGTGTCCCACTTGATAAAATTTGAAAATACTATTTTTTGGCACACAATTCAAATATTTACTGAAAGCTTTCAAATTCATTCAAAATTTTGTTATACATTGATACTGAATAATACTCTTAACATAATATTCCTTGCTATAAATTAAAGACTGGCCAAAATGTGTAGTCAATGATTATTCGGAGATAGTGAGATGTAGTCTGGTGTGACGTAGGTTTTAGAAAAACATTTTCTTTATCGTGCCAACGTTTCGATCTTTATTGAGATCTTCTTCAGGGCCTGGGATTTATAAACATTGTTTAAATTATACAAATACATTTAGGATGTGAAAAAAGTGAATTTCTAGGACTAAGGAAAGCTACATAACAGTTAGCAATCTACAGGGAAACCAACTTACTGACCAACAAACTGCAACAAAGTAACTGATCTCTTAGACTTTTTCATTACCAAAAAAGTTTCTCCTAACTTCATTGCCATACCAGAAAACTTTGATATAAATTCTGATCACAAAACGATAAGTGAAATATGTATTGACAATATATTGTCGGTATTTGAAAGGATAATAAAAAAACAATGCCAACAATACTAGTTAATTTAACTACTGGCTGGACTAGTTTTGCCTTAAACGTAGATGTAAAAAGAAACACTGTACCTCTATAAACAGAACGACAATTAGAAAATGGCACAGAGATGTGCCTCCATCATTCGGATTGTAGCATGGTGTTTATAAACATTATTTAAATTTTACAAAAACATTTAGGATGTGGGAAAAAATGAATTTATACAGTGCTAGAATTTTTAAATTCAGTCAAAGTATTTGTACTCACTCCAAGTGCTTGTTTTCTATGTAGATGTTTAAATTTTACAAATTGTATAAGTTCATTTTTTTACACCTGAAGAAGATCTCAATAAAGATGGAAACGTTCACACAACAAAGAAAATGTTTTCTAAATCCTACGTCACACCAGACCGCATCTCACGATCCCTGAATAATCACTGGCCATAATATTCACTTTTAATTACATTATTTATTTAAATCTAGTGATATTAAACAATTGTACTTTGATTTGTCTTACTGGTTATATTTATTTTGTTATTTTTGCAAATTGTACTTTTTATTTGATTTCTGTACTTTATTCGCACAACAATAAATGCTCAAAAAAAGAAAAGCCCTTAGACTGTACACGACTGTTGGAGAGTTACATGTAAATTGGTAAATTTAACTTATGTTAGCAACGTGTCAAATATTCCATATTGCAATTATAATAATTTTTTTTTAATCTATATGTGATCCCATGAAGCATCTTAGTATTTCAATAAATTTGCTTACTCAATTAAGCAGTACATGTTTGAAGTATGGACTTTTAATTAGCGAAATATTTTCACTGTGTGAGTTAATTTTTTTACATCTTAGAGTCAAAAATTGTACGACGATTTTTAGTCAGCTATTATTTTATTTAAGAAAAATTACTAATACTACTTCTGATTAGTTTGTGCCATTTAAAACCAACAAATTCACATTCGATATGATTAATGTAAACAAGCCTAATTATCAATTTAAGCACTTTTATTAAAATCCTAAAAGAGCATAATTTGAGTGTCTTACAGAATCAGACATTTTAACGCAAAATTTATACCTGTGTGTTAATTATAACTTTCTTGAGCATATATGTGACATATTTTGTAAGGTTGTATGAAAAAAATGTTAAAATTAATTAAACGTTTTTATCTAAGGTCTTGGTAGAGTTGAAAAAGCTGATCTCATAAGTGAGACTTTTTTAAGAATTTAAATGTCAAAATGTCATTGTATCATTGGTTAAATAAGTATTATGATGAAACTATGGCAGAATTCCTTTTTTGGCCAATGGTGACCTAGTTTAGAAACTGCTGACGATACAATTTTTTCAATCCAGTCAGCATTAATAACATTAAATCCTTTTATTTTATAAAACAAATTGAACTGAATGTTGACTGTTGAGCACGAGTATCTGGGTCCCCTGTTCTGATTCTTGGTGTAAACAGGGCTGTTTTATTGCATGGTCACAACAATTTCACTATGTATACTTTTAACAAACATGATACTACACGAATAACACTATACTTTGTCTTGAGGATGACCCAAAAAAGGTCAAAACATTGGCAATGAAATGAAAATGTTGGTTTTCTGATGCACTTCTAATCTGACCGCTTCTCACTAATTCAACCACGTATTGTATTCAATAATGATGGTTTTGTGGGAGAGTGAATGTATTTATTGTCATGAATGTGAAAGGGCTGATGGCAGAATGTTCATACCTCATAGGCCCTCAAATAAGTTAGTTTACAGTGTGTGTAAATGGTGATAGAGGGTTATCTCCACCATATCATGTAAAAAGGAGAGAATTTATCTAAGAGTGAGTGAAATTGTGAATGGATTTAGGAACACTGGGGACTGAAATTTGGAGAACAAAAAAATCACATGTTGAACCAGCACTGGGTTCTGTCTACACTCGTGGCTTTTTGATGTGGCTAAAACGCTATATGACTTTGTGCCATATTCAGTGTGAAATTGTCTGAAGGAAAGGAACAGTTCCTCACTGGAGACATGAAAAACCACTGTTTAACATTTAGAATATGGAGTGCACCCAGAATTAAAAATGTAGCAGATTGTTTTCGGTTTAGCTTCACCATTTTAAAGTGTGCAATAATTCATAGCAAAATAAATATAAGCTGGTTTAGAAGAACTGACTTAGCTGTTCATAACCCCTGGAGCCCGACCTCAGAGATAGAACGGACAAGAATGAGGTAAGCACTAACATCCCACCACTTTGCTAACAGCTCCCCATGGCCAATTCATGTCTGTCAAGAATCAAATCTGGTTACATTTGCCAAAAAGAGGAAAATGTGAAAAGAAGTTGTAGGTTGAGATGATGAGTTTTCTAGGGACTGATGTTACGATGCTCAAGTAATTAAAAGAGCAGTGTATTGAGCCCAAGGTTGTGGGTTCGAGTCCCCACGTTCACAAATTCTCAACCACTCTTTATATAAAAATTAAAAATCAATTTAACATAGATAATAAATCTAAAAACATAGAGGTGGCAAAATAGGCAAAATAAAACGAGGTGAGCTGCTCAGACACTGCTGGCACGAATAAGAGAGGGACAGGCTGCAGTCTTGACAGGAAGTGTAAGACAGACACGACAAGCAAGAGAGAGAGAAAAAAAAAAAGTTGGTTTCCTGACGGTCTAGAGATTTTCATCTTGTTAGGATTCTAGAGGAACTTGAGGGAGCATGCACCACAGAGGGGAAAAAGAGAAAAACATCGAGGGACCAAAGAATTGATGTTGATAAGAGAACAGGCTTGGCTATAGTTTTTCCCTTTTATATTTTATCTATATAATATACGAATATGTAAATTACACTTCAATTTATTGCGAACTGACAACTTTGTGATTTAGACTTCATGATAAGTTCTACAATGCTTAAAAAAAGGGATCCCCAGTTTTAGAATAGAGAGATTAGAGTAGATCCACCAGCCTATTCATGTGTGTGAGACTAAAAGTGTTAGATCCTAAAAAATAGTTCTGAAGAAGTGTTGATTCACAGTGGAAAGATTATAATAAAATAATGAATTTCTGTCCACCCTTGTTTTCCGTATGGTTTGACAAAGAGTGTAAAAGATAAAATGCTTGTTTTGTCAAATTAATTTTTTTAAATAGTTTATAGAAATAAATTTAATTTGTGTTAATTATCATCAGTTCTTCTTTAACTAATGAATTTGTTTTTAAAAGGTTTTAATAACTCTCGTTTCCTAATAATCATGATTCACAGTTGGGCCCTTCTTGTTTGAATCGAGAATCAAGCATAACATGTATATAAGTTTATTTTTTTATATATGTATCATGTTTATTTTCAACTTTGTATTCAAATTTGTATATATATGTATATTATATATATATTTTTTAAAATTTATATTCAAGTCTTTTCATTTATCTTAATGCCACATAAAAATTTCAAAAGTTCACTATCCCCCCAAAAAAAGTGTGGTGCCCAATTTTTTTTAAAAATCATAACTAGGACAAACTTCTCATCAAGCTCCAGGAGCCCATAATTATTTTGCGTCTGTTGTCACAGAACCCATGTTATTTGCCCTATTTAAAATAATAAAAATGTGTACATACTTGTTGAGCAGCTTGAAGGAGGGGTAAATGTATATGAGAGACGATGTGTGGGAGCCTCCTCCATTCTCTCATGCACAAAGAACTAGCCAATTCAACGTATCTTTCAACAATAGGCAGATGTTGTTCTTCTGGGTGACAAATTGTTAAAAATCCACGATATAAATGAACCTATTATAAAAAAAGAAAATTATTAGAACGGTCATTTTACAAATTTTAAGATATTTTAAAGCTTCACCTTCCAGCACAGTTCTCTCGGACAGCCTGTTTCGACGTACGCAATTGCATCTTTCATCAGGGACCAGTCAGGTACTCGCCAGGCACTCTCAAGAATTAAAAATGTATTAACACTTCCCTTAGTCCTCGCATATTCCAAAAGATGGTCCCATTGATTCAACTCTTTTGAGCATCTATAAAATAATTATTTGTAAAAAAATAAAAGATTTAATAAATTAAATTTCTTATGAACAAACCTAATCCATTGTTTTTCCCAAAGTTTTTGCTCAGCTAAAAGGCTAATAGGTGCTGGACTGCTTGTGTAGTCCTGTCTACCTTTAGAAATAGCTAGCTCGTAGCAGGAAAGGGCTTGGTCGAAAAAACCCTGCTGTTCGTAAGCCAAGGCAACACAAGTTTCCTTGTACCTGGCATGCTTTTGCCAAAGAGCACACCACATATCTTCTTCTCTCAATTGTGAATACATCTCGGCAAGATATTCGACAGCATTCTGTACCATCAGAATTGTTATAATAAAAATTAATCAGAACTATTTGCTTTAAGTTCACCTGCTGTGGTAAAGCTTCGGTATCAAATTCATAACAGTCCGTTTCCCTTTTTGTTTTGTTCTGAGCAGCAGCTGCATTTTCAGCGATCATTTTCTCAAGGGTCAATGTTACACGGTGCCATAAATTGTGCGATTTTCCAAGATAAGCCATAGCAACACTAATAAATATAGATATTTAATAGAGGTAAACTGTAAACGAAGGTTTTATACTTACGGCTTGATTGGAAGGGGTGGATTGCATTGAGAAAGTCCTTCAAATATTGTGCTCAAAGCACTTGGATGAATGTCCTTTTGTCCAGTGTGGCAACCACTGACAATAAATGGCAACAACTCTCCAGAAAGGGACTGCATATAAAAAAATATTTAATTAAAAAATCTTATAGGCATTCGATGTCAAGATGGCCCCTTACATAAATTAAAAAAAAAAAAAGTAATAAACAATACGAAAGTAAAAATAACCTCTTCAAATTGCAGAATATGTATGAAATTTCTAATATGGGGCATCAATAAGAATTAATAGAATACATACCGTGCGCTGTCTTTCTGATAAAATATTCCACAGCCTTGGGTACAAATCGAGCCAAAGTTTTTCAGCCAGAGATGAATCCAGGTGACACAGTTGAGTGACTGCAGCTAAAAAGTCCAAAGTCTTTTTTGGTTTATATTGATCCCTAAGGTCTGCTTGTTTCGCTACGAGCCCTTCTACTGAACTGACACTCAACTTAACATCTGAAATGTCAACCAGCTCTTCTTTTTTTATCGAAGAAGAGAGGACGAGGAAATTTTCTCTATCAACTGGATCCGCTGACTGAACAAGAGATGTTATTGAAGGAAGTAGTGGTGTGTCGTTAGAAAGTTGAATCAAAGTGTCTGAAAGCAAATAATTTTGAATAATGCATATTGACTTTTTTTTTGTCTAAAAGAAACTCACTCTCATCAGCAGTGACAAGGATAAGCTCAATGCATTGTTTAATCCAATAATGCTGTCCCATAAGTTCCCAATTTTGTGAACTAACTATGTACATTAATCTTTCGTGAAGCTTACGTCTCATCGAGCCATCAAATATCTCAAAAAACATTGCCCTTATCTGAGGTTGGGAGCATCGCAGTCCAGCCAGAAATGCTGGCTCAAGTTTAGGTATAAGTTCTGTATTTTTAAATGTCTCATCTCTAAAGAAAAACAAAAATTAGTATATCAAAAAGTTCATTTATGTTTTGATTTGATTTTAAATTTACCTGTAGACAAAATTAACAAGCTCTAAAAACTGTGTGTTTAAATCTGGGAATCTCTTTTCAACATAATGCATCAATTTGACTAGAAGAATTGATTTTTCTCTCAAGCTGGGCCCTGTGTTTACTTGGATTGTTGAAGGTACAACTGGCTTTGTATTTTTCATCCACTCTTCTACCATCTGCATCGAAATGTTTTATTACTAATAATTCTTTAGATATGGAAGTGTGTACTTACATTACAAATAGCCTTCATAACTTTCACATCGGGGGTTTTCTCAATCAAACCAACAAGAATAGAACCGATAAACGTTTTCTTTGTCTCACTTGTCATTGCTATGACTCTATTTTTTACAAGATCCAAGCTCAATATCAGTAAGTCACTTGTTCCTGGTGATGCTTCAGTATTTGCTGCAAGGTGTTCTCGACTCATTCTATGAATCACCCTAACAAAATGATTTATCAGTCTGTCAACGTAGCTTGGATTACTGCTGCAAGCTGCTTTAAGCATCATTATTGTCCCAAAGAGACTACTTGAATTGGCATTTGTGTTCTGCTCATAATTTGTCAAGCCTTCGAAAACAACCTGAAATTTAACTTCTTTATTAAAATAAAAAAAGACAAGTATAACACAGTAAAAAGTTTGAAGTCACTTACATGTCCCACAGAAGAATAAATGCATTCAAGTTCTTCATATTTTGATGAAACTGAAGATGTGGAAGATTCAGTTGGGAAAATTTTCATCAACCTTGTAAGAAGTGAATGGCTGAGGCGAATAATTTTATTATTTGTGCTCGAAATGCACGTGTTTATCCCCTTCTGAAGGGTTTTGCATACCGCCAAAATCTGTTCTTTCTTCATCACACTCAATGCTAAAGTTAACAGCTCAAGGCCTATGCAAATATTGCCCAAGTTGGGGTTCGGCGTTTCAATCGAGCAAAATATTTTATCAAGCCAAAGGAGCCTGAAGTCAATCGTGTAATTCGGCCAGACATCGGGTTTCAAAGCCATTCGAATTAAGTTGTAACAACGACGAGAAAGCACTTCTCCTGGAGAAGCAATACCAGCTACAGGATTCAATTCATTCACCTAAAAAATGTTTTATAAAAGTTTAAAAAATAAATTTATAAAAATCAATTTTAACTTACTGAACATGCAAGCCTCATAAGAAAATTAATTAAAACATCGGCATGAGACTTCTCAAGAGGCTTCATCTCATCTGGGTCATGTTTAATGGATATTGCAACAGATGAACCTTTCTTCCAAGACTGGTCACCATCTTCCAACGCCCCTCTTTTCATCCCAGGCTCTATATTTTGCCCCTAAAATTTTAGGTTAGAACATTGTCTCAACAAATAGAATTAAACACTAGAACAATTTCTAACTTGAGCTATAACCGCCTCCTCTTTTATCCTCTGCAATTCCCATCTTATTATCACTTCTGCGAGTTCACAGCCTAGCTTTTTATGCTCTAGAGTTGAAGATGCACTGAATCCCAATCTTTGCAAAGCATTGACCATGTGTTGAAGTAGATTGTATCGCACAGGGTAATATACCTAAAACAAATTAAAGATTAATTTTACAATTCTATAAATAAATATTTGTTTAATTTTTGTATTTGAACATTTACATTGTAATGCCTGACAACAAGCTGCAAAATATGGAATAACTGTTGCATCGAATGACCTTCTTCTACAATAATTTTCTTAGTCCAATGAGTAAACATTTTATACCCATTTTCCATTCGATCCGGCATTGCAGGGGTCAATATTTCTAAAGCTTGGCGCACAACTGGCCTGACTTCAACAGCATGGGCCTTTAGAAGGCTGTAGAATACTGCAACAAGAATATAGAAGTATATAATTTAATATATACATTTAAAAATGATGTTTGATTGTGAGAAAAAGTAAATTAATTTTTTTTGCTCCAAATAATGATAAACCTGTTTTCCCTGGGTGACAGGGTCTCAATTAAACCATCTCAAATGTGACCGAAGCCATTTTTTTGGACATACTGTTTCACATATGCATTATCGTTTCTCAACTTTGTGAATTTCTACTTTGAAACACTTTTTATATTTAGTTCAAACGTTATGCACCATTCAGGTATAGCTTTCATACTTTTACATCAAATATTATTTCAAAATTGATAGATTGATAAATGATGAAATATTGTGTGATTTTCAGGGTTTTCTATGCATTTAAAAAAAAAATCCCAAAAAGTTTAACAATTTTGTGTTCTCTTCAGCTACTGGACGATTCATTTAATCTGTAATTTAATTTTTAAATAAATTCTGTTATAAATAATGGTAAACATGAAAATATATTTCTATTTTCAGTTTTCTACATTTTTGTAAATTAGTTTTTGTTAATTTTTAAAAATGCAATCTTACAAGAGCTGTCAAATGAAGAAGGAAAATTGTTATTTAGAGCATACTGTACGTCGTTGAAATGTTGCAAAAAGTTAGTCTCTCACTTCTTCCAGGTGTACTGACTAAAAGCTTCTTTTTGTTCAATAGACATTACCAATTAGACAAGAAGCTAAACGAATTCCGACTGGAAGTGAAATCTCTGGTTTTCAGGGAATATCTTAACCGTTCTGCCCTAAGTCCTTCATCCTCTTACTAGCAATTTTCCTAATCCCTTACCCTTAACTGGTCTGGGGGATGAAAAGGACAAATCCTTGCATAAATTGCAGCAAAAGAGCTGAAGCATGAGGTAAGAAAGTGAGAACATACTTCACTTCCCAGATTGTAACACTGGTGACAGACAAATTGGACTGGGTGCTTCAAAGAACACCATTTTTTATTGATGAATTTAGAGTAAATAATTAATTAATATTAAGGTTATTTATGGAAAAAAATTGATGCTCCAGAAGAGGGTTCAGCCATTAAGGCTCTAGCATTTGCATTAATTGTCCCATATCATTCGGTGCTTAGTTTCGCACTAAGTTGATCAACTAACAATGTTTGTTCAACTATTTTCTCGTTAGCATGGTATTAAAATCAATTAAATTTTGCCAATATTTTTAGTGTTTTGTTAATTTTTTTTGAGACTTAAATATGTACCACAGAAAAAAATTATTGTTGAATAATTAAACAAATATTTAAAAACAAAATCCTATAAGATTATGGTTATTCTAATCTGTCGTAAACAGAATGTTATAAAAAACCAGTTTTGCTGGCTTATATTGGGTTGTCCGGAAAATAATGCAGGATTTTGGTATTAAACAAAAAAAAAGAAACTAGTTACTTTAAAGCAATGTTCTTTAATCAAAATAATTTCCCNATTCATACAAATGAGTAATCCTGTAAACGTAAACAGAATATTTTATATAGATTTTTTTTAATGAAAACTTAAAATCCTGCATTATTTTCCGGACAACCCGATACTATAATGCCAGAACATGCCAGGGACTGATAGAATCACGAACAGTCTCTCTCTTGGATTTTTCCTGAGATTGGAAGGTTTTTTTTAGTTGAAAGAAATTTGAGGACTTGGGCTATCAAATTGGATTCACCACTTTTTCAATCTTCAGTTTTTGCATTATTTATTTTATGCAACACCAGTAAGTCTTCTTTTGTTGTTTGATTAATGAATGTTTTTTTTTTTTTTTTAAATTTTAAATTAAAGCCTCTTTTTTACAACTGTATTCCAAAGTCTATTTTTTCGTTCCTTTGCTACTATTCTTCAGACAATTAAGTTTTAATTTTTGTTTTGTCAATAACATGATATAGTGCATCATCATACATGATGACAAAAGTTACCTTTAAGAACAATCCTTTTGTAAGCTGTCGTGTGGATGGCAAGTTTAGCAATAATATGCGAAAATAACAAATGACCATTGTATCGAGTTGCTGGATCTACACAGTTATTGCTTAACAGACAAGGCCATGCAAATGTCATAAGTCGCCTCAATTTGTCCCCTTGTGTTTTTGTCGCTGTGTCATGAATATGCTCCAGGGCTTGCTCAACAAGCAGACAGGACAGCTGGAGCAAGCGGATCCTCACTGCATCACCATGACCAAATGGATTATTTGGATCTATCACCTAAAAGATCAATATATTTCAATGAACTTAACCTGTTAGTATGTAGTAAAATGTAAACTACCATTACATTGTTTGAATTGTATTACCTGATTAATAAACACTGATACAATATTATCGGGTGAATCAAGCTTTGGAGATGGTGGGCCACCTATCAGTTTGTCACCTTCCCCTTTTTCAAAACAGTGGGCAAAACATGGAATTATAATGAGCTGCAGTATTTTCGCTTTTAAATCCTGTGATAGGCTTGTAGTTGGGAACAGTTCCACAAACCTAAAGAATGCCATGCGCTTCCATTCAATTGTGTAACTCTGAGCAACAGTGGTTTCCAAGAAGTCTTTTACAAACTGAAAATTTGAAACACTTAGATTGTTTTATATATGAAAAATAGTAGAGGTGAATCCATTTTATCTGAATGTTCGTAAAATCTGAAAAGATTTCAATCAGTGGAGAGGAAATTTTTTTTTTAATTTGAAAAATAAAGTTGATGATGGGTTTAGTAGAAAAATTTGTGAACACATGTTGACCCAGCACTGAGTCAATCACTGGGTCTGTGTACACTCACAGGCTTCGATGTTACTAAAATGCATTTCCTTAATCAGTTCTTCACTGAAGATGGCACAAAGCTGAAAAGGGGTCGAGTACCATAATACCCAGTAAGTGATCCCAATAAGTGTATGTAATATCCCCCCCCCCCATTAAATTTAAATGGTGTAAGGCTACTTATTGTGGTCATAAATGTCTCTCCTTAATTTTGCAATTTCCTCGTTTGTTCCATCCAAACATTTTGGTTACCTATCATTATCTTCTCAAACTTCAAAAGAAGGTGCTTAACAACTTCTTCCAGTAAATTATTATTAAAAATTGAAGATACTAAAAATCAGAAAGTTTCTCAATGAAGATGACGCAATGCTGAAACGCATTTGAATAACTCAATTAAAAAACCCGCGAGTGCCAGTAGTGGCTGTGTGCCGGTTCAACAAAAATCAGAAACATACTAACTATACTATCATCTTTGGACAGTTTTTTGAAAACTACTCTAATATCACTAGGTAATTCATTCCATAATAACCATTAATATAGTTATTCAGCTAATTAAATTTTTTTTCCTGATCTGAACAGGAATAGGCTCCTATTTTACTAGCAAATCTACTGTATAAAAATTAATTACCTGGAAATCAGGAAGAAAACGATCACAAAATGAGCGTAGAAGTTGAAATAAAAGGTCAATGTTGGATGGGTGGTGGCTGAAATAGTTCAGAAGTATCTTAACTATTAATTTAGGCTCCTTCCAGTGGGTGTACTCGATGGATTCTATTACTTTATGCCTTTGCTGAAATTTTAAACAATTAATAAATGAAAGAAACGTTTAAATGGCAAATGTTAACAGGCGGTTTACCAAATATTTATCGTTGCACCATATCTGAATGTAAGTTTGAGCCAATTGATATTGCGTTGCAATCCACTGATTATCAAATTTAACAAGAAGAGACACTATTCGAATACTCTGGAATTGAAGTTCTAGTTGCTCTTCTAAAAATATATGTATATTTTATTGAAGTCTCTTATAAAATCCCGCAAGCTTTGAAGAGGTGCATTGGCCCCAAAATGCATAGGAAAAATAAAAGGAGAAGGTTGAATTAATTTATTATTTATTACAACTCTGAATTTTATCAAATTCAAATAAACTGCACAAAAATGAACAGCAATATTTGTAATTTATTTTTATCCTATTAATTTTAATTAAATTAACCCATATATTTTTAGACACATGACAATATTTCTGTCCTTCCTTAGTGTCGTAATACGCGTAACATAATACCAGGCCTACTATTGGCACGTCCAGTCTCTTGGAATCGGGCTAAATCCTGGGAGACCAACTCTGAGAAATGCCAACTACCTCTTATATCCACTTGCCGGTGATCTCAGTGACTCATTCTCACAATAATATTGCGAACTTCCGGTTCAAGATTGTCTTTCCATGGTTAAAGAGTATACAACTGGATTAAAATGGAGAAAAGACAAGAAAAGGGGTCTGTTTACAAAATGAGTAACCTTCATGTTTACTATTCTTAAGTAAATCCGTTATTAAAAATAAGGATTAATAAATTTTTTGTTTGTGTTTTCTATTTTGTTTTATCCAACAAAAAAGAATATATCAGTTAATGTAATTAAAAGTAATAGAATAAGAACGAATTACAAATATCCCCATTCATTTTTGTGCAGTTTATAAAAATTCCATAAAATTTTAACAAACCTGTTGTTAAAGTTGCGCTGGGCTGAGATGCACCTAGTGCCATCATTACAAGCCTTTCTATACCAGAATTGCTCTGTAGAACATCCCTAAACGGTTTTCCGTCTTCGTGTTTGATAATGTACTCTAGGTATTTGTTCCACATATCATCCTAATAAAATCGCTTCGGTTAAAAACTGAATCACAACAGAAAATAAATATTGCAAAAATATACTAACTTTGATGTTAGAATCTGTGAGGAGTAGATTGATCGTTTGCTGTGGATACCTCAGTAAAAATTTCAGCAGTGGATGTCTAAAAGGTGAACTGGCACCAACTAACAAAGATCGCTCTGTTTGTAATACAAGTAAGCTCAAAGGCTCAATGAATCGGGAGCCTGCTGCAGGAATTTGATGGAAGATATTTATTATTGTGGCAACGATGTTTTCCGTCTCACCACTTTTTGTTATTCCTTTAAACAAAACAATAAAACAACCAAATTAACCATGTTTTCTGTGTAAAACAATTAATTTTTTTCATAATGATTTTAACGTATTTATCATGATTGTAAATACCTGACTGTGATTGTTTTATAGTTTCTAACAATTTTTGAAGATTTTGAAGTAACTGTTCACATAATTTTTCATTAAAACTAGTGGGAAATAATTGAACTAAGTAAGAGAGTCTTCTGGCAACGCTTAAACTGACATTTCTATTGTCGCCTAATGTAAGAAGCAAGGGTTTCATGATATCATCGTGTACCTACAAAATAGGCATAAACTGCAAAAACAAGATTTACATATTATTTTCTTATACTTACGATGTTCATGTCAACTTGAGTCCCGGCAAGAAAGGTTTTCATGCATTCAAACGCAGCTTCCTGAAGTTCTGGGTTGTTTTTCTCAAGTGATTGGTAGAACGTGTTGAAAATTTTATCTGAGAAGCCTGGCAAGTAATGGCAAGCGGCTAGCGCTCTCATTGCAGCTTTTCTAAGAGGAACGAGACTACTGAGATTCTTGTAGCATGGCATTTTTGAAAGGGCAGCATCCTGCGCTTCACAAAGTGCCATTATTTCATGGAAGAATACGTTATGCTCCTTTATATTTAAATCTAAAATCACCCAGAGAATGTGTACAAAAACGTTTGTCAAATTTAGAGCAACATCAAAACAAAAAATACCAATAGTGAATAATCTAGGGGTGAGTGTTGTACAAAAAGTATTTCCCTCCATGATTCCAATTTGAGCATTTGCAGCTTGATGGCGCAAGAGATGATTTTTAGGTGGTGGTATCATATCAGCCAAAACTACTTTGTGGGGTTCCATGACTTGAACTACTGTCTTATTCTGAGCCTCAGCAAATACACGAAGCAAGTGCATTGACTTAAAAAAAAAAAATATTATTATATTCAGTTTTTTGTTTAGGGTTTGTGTTTAGTTATTTGTATAGTTTTCAGTTGTGACAGACCATAGACCTCTTTTTCACTGGGCGACATTTATCAGATGATAAAAGTTTGCAGATATTTTAACGTAGGTTAGCCTCTTTCAAACTGGACAACATTCTACTGTTGCTGTGGTTTCAGTATCTTTGTATCATGAATCTTAGATAAGTCGCTGCTCATTGGTAATTGTACCATAAAAAAAATCTATTTGTTTTTTGTGGGTAGAACCAATAAATCAAAGAAGAGATGAAATGGGTGTATTTAACTATCTCTTTGAAGAACTAAGATGCCACAAAAATAATTTTTTTAAATCAATACATGTTTAGCGGTCATAAGGTAGTAGTAATATATTATGTATAATAATGTTTAAATAAATAGGTATATAAATAGTTCTATCTCTTTGAAGAACTAAGATGCTATGAAAATAATTTTTTTAAACCCATATATGTTTAGCGGTCATAATTGGCCTATTGAATTATTTCAATTAATTATACTTTTTTATCTAAAAGTCTTGGTTGAGATGAAAAAGTTAGTGTCACGAGCAGGATTCGAACCCACGACCTTCGGCTAATACGCCACCGAACCACTTGAGCCAGTGTGGCTTTAATACGCCTGAAAGTGGTGGATTCGAATCCCACTCATGACAGTAACATTCTCATCTTAACGAAGACCTTAGATAAAAAGTATAATTAATTGAAATTTTTATATATATTTTCATATGTCAGTTTCATCATTCATTGAACCGCACTGTCAGCTTCAAGATGGCATTCAATGGCAGGTATCAAACTGTGAAATTACAATCAATTTATTCAAATGTTAGCTATGATACTGAGATAACAAAAAATCAATAGAGCTTGACTGAATCAATAAAGGCCTTTCAATTTGAGTTCTTCGGTTAGGAGTTGGGTAGCACTAAAATTTTGATAATATTGAGCAACTGATTGATGTAGTGGTTGATGATCCATGATGGCATTAGGAAATATTGGGGTTAGGAAGGTAGTAATGTGAAACATTAGACTGAGGATACGCAGTGAACTGCAAAGATGCTGATTAAAGTTCTGCAATGTTTGATATCACTTGCAGCACCCCACAATGGATCAGCTTTTCTGCAACATGCAGGGTCTGCTGTAGTTCTTGGTGGCTTCACTATCACCACAATTCACTTTCCACCCTATCTTCCTCAAAATTTTCATATGCTTCTCTTGCGGTATTTAAGGATTAAAGCAGTGTAGGGGCGTTGGTGTTCACAATGGTTTAGGAGTGACAAGGTGCTCATCCCTGTAAGGTAAAGGTCCTGGGTTTGAATCCTGTGATCTTTCATTTGAACCCAACATACTTACAAATTTTTTTTTCCAAAAACTGGCACCCCGAGGGTTCATAAAACCTCATGTTAAAATATCCTCATAAACAAATGAGCTACTATTCATGAATATAGAAAGTAGATTTTTTTAAAAATTTTGTTATCTAATTGTTAAACAAAATAAATAACTAAAAGCTATTAGTTGTAAATATCTGTGTCACATTACCCAATACCAATTTATTACTTGTAAATAATTTTAAAAATTAAAAACTATAGTTTTTGTTTAATATTTAAGGACTTAATAATATGATATGCAATTTATTAAATTCATTATTCCATTAGCTCAGAATTTTCCTTGAATTCAAAATGCGTGGGTAGATTTGCTTAGCCATTGGACGGCAAGCAACTAAAAATTATGTAGTATGAAAAGACCCATTGCACAACTTCAAAGTGGAGCCGAAAAAATATTGTCCCTTATGAAATGCTGGGGATGACATTCGCAGATCACTTCACAGTCACACCCAGGATCTTTACCTTACAGTGATGAGCGCCATGTCAATGCTTTAACTGTTAGAGCCACTGACCCCACCTGATCAATGTTTACTGACATCTAGGCACGATAAAATATCATCAGCCGACTTATTATCATCCGACAAATTTTGGTGAGTGTCAAAGGGGACTTCGACTGTCTGAAGAATTGTTATTTGTTCAGACATGTGGCCTGACATCTTTAATTACTAATTTTTTTCTCTACTGGTAGTACAGAAAATATAAAGAAAACTTACTTGCTCTCTGATTAGGGTAGTTGGACTGGTGACCTGCTTTATCAGCTCAAATGTTACAGCAGTCAACGCTTTCTGCTGAATCGCTGCCAACTCTTTGTCCGAGTTTGGGTCCACAAGTGGAGCACAAAGTTTAATAAGTGCTTCTAAATTCAACTTTGCCTGGTCTAGTGCTCCACTGGACACCTCTCCTGTCAGGTCCATCATTACGAACAGCTGAGCTTTCACAAAAACAAACAGATGCTGAAAAACCCATCTTATTGACATGGACTCGTAGAGGAACATAATCGCCATGCAGCCTCCCAACTTGGTATACCAGGCTCTATCATAGCAAAGAGAGCACATTCTTTCAGCAATGTATTCCATCAAGGGTAACCGACATGCCTAAAAATCTTTTTATTAATACATTGCATTTTATAAGAGAATTTCAATTTGACAATGATGTTTTTATTGAATAAGAAATGTTTTTAAATCAAATACTATAAAGAGATAAAGTTAACATGTATTACCAAATCTTTTGATCCAACAATTGTTTGGGTAGTTTCTAAAATAAGATTCAATGCTTTTTTCCCTGGGTTGCACAGTTCTTTCTCTTCATGGCCCATTATTGCTGCAAGAGCATCAATGAGTACAAGAGGGTCCATAACACCTGTGTACTGCTTGTGGTACACTGGGAAGGGTCCTGAAAAATTGCAAAATAGAGAATAAAGAAGATTTAAAAAAATGCAAGTTGGTAGTCATATTATTTACCAGACTGCTGGGAAACAGCAACTATTGTAAAATGCCTTACAACAATTTCAAAAGTCTGCTGTACTTTTGCACTTAGGTCTTTAATTATGGCAGCTAAAAACATTCCTACAGAAAAAGAGTTTAGTGTAAAATACAATTCATTTAGCAGCCTTTTTATTTATTTATTAATATTTACCCTTAAGAGCTTCAATGTGTGTTTGGCGTGATTGTTTGTTCGGACATTTGTAAGGCTGGTTCTGTTTAAAATCAACAGGAGATGATTTAAAAGAGGAATGGTTCAAAAGGGTCAATAAGGTTGCTCTATCATCGTTCAAACATATCGAAGCCATCAAATAGTCCCTCACGATTTCCCAGGCGTTGGTTCGGTAGAATATGTCCGTAGTACAAGGTTTGAGAATATTCGTGGCTGCTTCTATTATCTGAAAAAAGAAAATTTAATTAATCCGAAAAAATAAAAATTGAAATATTTGACATACTTTTGCAACGGGTAATTCAATAGGAGCAGCATGCTCCGGAAATGAAACCATAATCGCTGGTCCAGGCGAATCTTGCACCGCATATTCTAATTTCTGAGGTTCAATCATCATTTTCCTGTTTCCTCCACCGAATTTCCCTAAAACTCTGTGGGAATAAACCATGGGATTAAAATTCATTTTTATGCTAGAAATGAATGTTTTTTTACCTGAATGCGACATGGGCAACTTGGTCAGTCGGGTTTCTCAGAGACCTCCACAATGCTTGCATTAAATCCGCTCTCACAGGCTGAATATGCTCATAAAAGAAGTCTGGCTGCAGATTGTCTACACAAAGTTCTAATGTTCTCAATCCCTAGAAAAACAAATTAAGAGGTAAATCAGCTATTTTTTCAATATATGTTATTGATCAATGATAGTACTTAGTATCATACTCATTACTGATCTTTTATTGGAAACTAGCAGTTTTGCACTCACTTGTGATATAAGAGTTGGTGATCCATTGAGAGCAGAAACCATCGGGTCCATGAGCATAGGCAAATAAGGCAAAAGAGAGCTAAGTCTAACAGGAACTGTCAAACATAGTTCTACAAATAAATCTTTCATGTGTTGCTTGTGTAAACCAGATTGTAAACTGTTCAGGCCTTTGAAAAACAAAATAATAAAAATAAAATCAAGAATTTTAATTATTTAACAATAATTACCTTGTAATAAGTTTGGAAGAAGTGGAAGAAATTCTTGGTACAATAAATCATGGTTACCACCACCAATTGATCTAAAGAGTGTCCTCAGTAATAGAAAATAATTATACGGCTCCTTAGCTGTCATTGCAAGTTCCATGGATCTATATTACATAATATAAAAAATATGGTATATTGCAAAAAATTGTCAATTATTTTACTACCTGTTAACGATTTGGTGAAGATGAGGTTTAAGCATGTGCTCATTCTCGGCTGCAAAGAGAGAGACACTTCCAAAAACCAATTTGAACAACTTGAGATAAAGGTTGCTCCTTTCCATATTTCCATTTCCCATCTCCTCCATCCTACCTAGAAGATATTCAACGAGTACTGTTGCAAAAATAGGCGAAGTGTCACTGTTCGAGAGAAACGAGTTTCCAACGATCTGCAGGGCAAAGTTTGTGGCTATTCTCTCAACCATGTATTCAATAGTGGTTGAGAATATTTCTCTGAATGTTTGTGCATTCATGACTGAAAACTTTAAGAAAATTTGTTTATTTGTAAATATAAGAAAAAGGTAGAACTTAAAAAATACTAACCACCCCGGAGAAATGTTCCAAAACTTCTTTTTCTTCTTTGGTTCTTACGGTCTGTTGTGGGATGGTCCTTTGTCCAGCTGAACCTACTCCGAGTGTGCCAGAAGGGGTCACGCTCAACGTATATATGTCCAGGGCTTGTAAAGCCCATTTGACAAGTCTTATAAAAACTTCAGTTTCTTTTGGTTTAAACAGCTGCAAATTCAAGGTCTGTAAGAAACATGCACGGAAAAACAAAAAATAAAAATTAACACAATCGCAAACTCGTGCAAACTGAAAACTTAAAGAACATCAACAAAATTAAATAGAATATCATAAAAAATAAAATAAATAATAAACAAAAGTAATAACCATGCTCCAAAAGAAATAAACGAAGTAGAATAAATAAATCATAAAACCCACAATTTCAACATCATGGAAGAAAAGAGATTATGCCAAACACTATGTAATATTTAAACTTTTCTTGCAAAATGTTTTTATTTTATAAATGAATGAAAAGTAGTATAAATAAATACATTTATAATAATGTATATATTTACATAGTTGCTCAATTAAATATTGACTACACTTTAAGAGGTGAGCCCTCACAAAGTGGAAATTATATATATATATAATTTTATATATATATATAATATATATATGTATGTATATATGTATATATATACACATATGTTAGCATAGGATAAAACTTTTGGTTCTAACTATGAACTTCTACTATTAAAGCTAGAAGGTTGGGTTTTTCCATTAACCTCATACATTTTTTTTGCAAAACACGCATAAATATGGTTTTGACTTATGAGCTCTCCGCTAATATAATGATATCATTAATATAATAATATTATACAATTTTTTATATATATAAAATTATATAATACTTTACTATATTAGATTTTGGATACTTCATAAATGTTTTTAATACATTTCAATCTTCTTATATTAAACAATAAAAAATTCAATAAATTATTTTGTTTCTCTAAACAACAATAATAATAATTATTAATGCAATAATGAATGTGGATTATTTGTGACAAAAGCTTGAATTTGGTCATCATGAACAAGGATGGCCAGAGGAGACTGAGCCTTTCGAATCAAAATTTTTAAACACCATAGTCACAAATTTTCCTAGCAGTCTGAGCTGCGGTTTTCCCTTTGTGGTAATAAAAAAAACATTAAATGTTGAAAATGCACCATTTTTTCAACCATTTTAAATTAGCAAAACACTGAAATTGACGAATAAAAACACCTCAACTTATAATTTATCTGTGTTTATTAATAATAATGACTAAATAAAAACAAGATGGATGAAATCGAATTATTGAAAAATGCGTCTTATTTTATAACCCAATATTTTTCCCTGAACAGTTAGGTGCATTGTTTTTTGTTGATTTAGTAATAGTCTCAGATGTTTTCTTAAGTTTTCTTTGTATCCCTTCATATTTTTGGAAACATAAAAGTATGGGATTCAAAAAATAACACCTCGACCAACCACTGAGTAAGGTAAGGTGAAATGCAAAACGCATCTGTTGGACCCAATCAGCAAGAATAGGCAGACATGATCAGAAATGATAAAACTACAAAGGATGCATTTCCAGGCGTTCTATTATTTCTGTTCATAAAATTAAAGTAGCCCTTGGTCGCAACTGCATATTAAATTTCTTGATGTTAGTAACTCAAGTGGTAGCTATCAACTTAATTTATTGTCCACATAAAAGTTGGAAAGCAGAGTAAAAGAAACTTTAAAAAACTATGTTAAAAAATCCTACTTTTATACAAGCATGCTTACTAGTTGAAAAATTAAATAAGATTCTCTACTCTTAAACCATGTTTCTCTCTAAAACAATTGAATAAAAAAAAAAAATTGATATTAAAATAGGCAAATTAAAATTGACACTCACTTTAAAACGCCATGTTATCGTCTTGACACCAAAAACCAAAGTCTTCACCAAACTTCTGCAATCAGCGACTGTATAATTTGTGGCTTGAAGGGATGGCAATCCAAATTTGCCTTTATTCGTTTCTTTGTCTTCCGGTTTATTTTGTGACGCTATATCTACAATTGGTCAAAATAAACTTTCTAACAATTGGCAAAAGATTCAAATTTAGTTACCGATAGGTGGTAAAGGGATTGACTGTATCGAATCTGAATCTTCCTTTTTCACCTGGACAACAAAGCTCGTGCTTGCAGTTGTGGCTGGCTTGATTTCCGCTTGTTTACTTTAAGCATGACGACACAATTATTTTCTCTATTATGCACTAATCAAATGCCATAATCTTACCTTTTAGCGACTAAAAATGGAAGATGAAGTTTCGCTATCGTTTTGAATTTTATAACAAAGACCTCAAGCATACGCATCAAGAGATCTTGTCCAGTCTGGGCCTGAGTAGGATCCTTCTCACTCAACTGTTTAATACAGTCTACTAGATTTAATAGTAGTTTGCAAGAAATAGTTTGTATACTGAAATTGAAGAAAGAAATATTAAGAAAAAGGTATTGTTATAATAACCAGTTTTTAATAATTTCAAGAAAATTTACCTCGTGGGAAGGGTCTCATCATGCACATTTTTGGAGAACAGATGTACAGCTTTTACAAGATCTGACATTGGAAGCTGTTCTCTAACATGATGGACAAGATCAGCAAGGGTGCTATATGCTAAAGGTCTTAGAGATTCATGTGTTGTCCAGCCTCGCCCAAGAAGAACTTCTTCATCAAACAGCCGTTCCATATAAGGTACAAACACTTGAAAATATTAACATAAAATATTATGACATATATTAACAATATTATGCATAAAAAAATCAAGATGTCAGTGTTGCTTACAGAGTCTTAAATCTGTGGCTAAAATATGCCTTGCAGCAATTAATAGCTCTTTTCTCAAGTGTGTGACTTCCATCGGACACAATGTTAACATTCCAAGCATACCCTCCACCATTTGTTGAGAATGTTTGCCAACAACATCTTGGTAAAACCGTATAATGTAAGCTAAGAATGATAACGTTTTTATTTGTGCCCCCATGAAATCGACAAAAACTTCTTTGTTGAATGCTGGATTTAATCTGAAATTTATGCCATTTATTCGCGAACTGATTATTTTATAAACATGATCATTTACCTGTGCTGTTTTAATGGTTGTAACGTAATTGTTTTAATAATAATAGGTATGTAATCGTTGACATCTTGGTGGACATTTACCTTATACAGCTCATACATTAAAACAACTATTATTGGTAATTCTTGTAATACTTTTAAAGAAAGAATCCCCCTTGGAATCAAATTGTACTGAAACTATATTTCCAGGTCAAAATAACATTAAAATAAAAATTACTTTCAATCAATACTGTATGGAATTCTTACAGGTTCCTTGCTTAAAGATCCATCTGGGATTTTCTTCTTTTCACACTGGATCAATGTCGTAGTATAAATTTCATTAAGAAGCGTTTCCAAATTAAGTTCTGTAAGATCCTTAACTCTAATAGGACTCTTAGGTTCAAAAATATTATTCATATGATCTGGAAGGTCTTGATAAATAGAACGGACAAATTGCAGAAAATGTTGAATCTAATAACATCCAAATAGTTAAAATTTGCCTCACGTATATTAAAAAATTTGTAAATTTACTTCGGCATTGTATGTCGGTCGAAAATGTTTGTGAAGTTCGATAATAATTCTAAGACACACCAAGACGTTCTGTTCATTTTCAGTCTCAAGAAGTTTAAAAGTCAATTTTAAAATAGATTCCACATAAGGTTTTAAGTACTTGTTTGTTGGTATCCTATATATCATTTCAAGAAGAAGTTTCCTCACTTGCTATAAGCATAAAATAGATATGTTATTAACACAATTGTTATAATAAAAAAGTATAAAATGTATTGACGTACGTGTATATTATACTCGGCTATAAAATGTGGATCACCCTCTTGCAAGATCTTTAAAAATATGTTGACAGCATGATCCAGAAAAGCAGGGTATTGTGGGGAAGACAATATGAGCTATGAAATAATACACAAACATTACAAACTATTTATTATAATCTAAAACTGAGTTCAAGTATTATTAACATATTGACTGCGTAAGACACATGTACATCATGCCAAGTGTCCTGGGTGCGGTGGACACACGGTCTGTGTCCTCCTGTTTATATTGGGTTGTCCGGAAAATAATGCAGGATTTTAAGTTTTCATTAAAAAAAATCTATATAAAATATTCTGTTTACGTTTACAGGATTACTCANGTATGGGAAATTATTTTGATTAAAGAACATTGCTTTAAAGTAACTAGTTTCTTTTTTTTTGTTTAATACCAAAATCCTGCATTATTTTCCGGACAACCCAATACTTTTGAACTCCCTCTCCTTCATCCCTTATATAATACAATTCCATTCAAATTTCCTAGGGCTGTGTCAAAAAGAGCAAAAGCATCACTGACTAAGGATGTTAATTTTTTTTTTAAAACTGGAAGTAATTTTTTTATTTATTCTGTTATTTATTAGGCGAACTTGCTTTTTGTGTATGTGTTTTTCTTTTAATTCATTATTTTTCTTAATAATCACCCTTTCTATAAAGTACACAAAATAAAAGAAAAATTAGTGTAGAAAATAAAAAAGAGTTTTATCCAATTACACACCCAAATAAAGCAATGCTCTACGGGTTGTCTACTTCATTTATTTAGTGCTATGGAGGACGCAACTGTCGATGTCATATAATTTACTTAGATAATTGTAATTTAAAAAAATCATTGACATTATTTTCAAGTATCAGAGAACTATTTTATGTGATAAATTGGGTTCTGGGTATTCCATGGGCAATCAAAATGACCAAGCATAGTACGCAATCAACCTGTTAATTAATTATTCATTTTGACAAGAATCATTTACACTCATGCAAACAAAAAATCTTTGCTATGTAGAAGCAGTATTTTACTTTTGTCTACTTTATGCCCCACCCCGAAGAATCTAGAGTACTCTAGGGGAGTGAATGTGACCAGACTTCTATGTTTGTTGTCATGTATATATATATGTAATGTTTGTTTTATACCTATTCTGTAGTCAACAACCTCAGGTACAAATGAGAGACTAATATTTTAGGATGTCTTAATTAAGTTAATCTAGAGTCTAGTCTAACTAGTAGTAAACTAGTCTCTAGTTAGATCTTAAGTTAATTGAATATAATAGTTGAATTTAATAAGTTAAATGAAGTTTACCTACCACTAAAGCTCTCAGTGGCCATTTCCTTTGATGCCAAGAATCAAATAGATTACACGAAATTTGAAAAATGGCAAAATGAAGGGAAAATTCAAAAGGTGCGGTTGAGATGGAAAGTTAGTGTCCGAGTGGATCGAAGTCATGGTAGCTCAAGTGGTACAGCAGCGGCGTATCTAGCCAAAGGTCATGGGTTCAAATCCCACTCAACACTGACTTTTTCATCTCAACTAAAAAACCTTAATTAATTTAAATTATTATTATTGTATTATCCCGCTCGTAATGCTAACTTTTTCATCTTAACCAGGACTCTTGATAAAAAGTGTAATTAATTGAAATTATTGTTACTTACTTTTCCATATATTGGATACTTGGACAAATGAAAATATAACCCGTTGTGATTGAAACACAATTTAAAAATGGTGATAAATCCCATCTGATTTAAGAACTGAGCTTGAGCACGGCAGCAAGTATTTGGATCCCCCATTCCAATTCTTGAAGGAAACAGTGTTATTCTATTGTATATAGTAATAATAGTTATGCATACCTAGTTTGCATTGAGAGTGAATGTATTTATTAGCATGAATATGTAATTTGAGAGGGTCGATGGCGGAATATCGAGTACCCCATCAGCCCAATATGTGTAAGGGTTGTGTTGAGAGTGAATGCATTTATTAGTGTGAATGTGTGATATGAGAAAGTCGATGGTGGAATATCAAGTGCCCCATCAACACTCAATTAGGTTAGTTGTATTATATGTGTAATTTGGAGGAATATAGAGACTCCATCACCCTAATAGAAAGAATGGTATGTAAATAGGAATGAATGTATTTAAGAATGAACGTGAGTACGAATGGGTTTGGAACTGCATGCATTGTGTGCTAAAGAGGCTGATAGTCCCCCCACCCAGAGCCCACATCGGTGGCTGGACAGATAAGACTGAGTTCTGCCCCTGGACTGCCAGCATCTAGGGGAGGGTGCTTCATGAGTCTGCCAGCAATTTACTAAAAATATCAAAAACTCGAATTGCCGGTGCACTATGAGAAACCAATAGGCTCAACTCGGCAACTGTATGTTCGTACATGTGTGGATTTGAGTCTACACAAATCCAAATCCAAACTAAATCCAAAAAATGGTGATAAAAGATTTGTTTGCTTATTTATCAGGATAGTCCAGACAGTGATTATTTTTGTTTGATATCATCAACGAAGTCTTGCCTGGCTTGATATTTTTGACCGTTTTAAATTTACTCCCCATAAGTTATTGAATAGTGAATAGAACTTTTAACTCATTTTAGACCAAAACTGAAGATTGATTATCTTCCACGGCTAAACTTCATTTTTTTTCATACCAGGATTTCTGTAAGACCATCCGGTCAAAGAAGCATCCAGTACACATGGAGCCAATCGGATGAGATGTCAGTATTGAGAATGATTTAAAATTGGGATTAATATGGTCATTCAGATGGGGACACTGGCAGGCAACTGGTATGGGATACCAATTTTCAATCACTTGATACTTTTGGCGTCTAGCCCTGCCATGTCAAGGGTGATCATTGTTGATCAAACCACTTTCAAAATGCTACTATAGAACTGAAAGTTTATGCAGGTTGGTCATCGCAAAACCGTACTACCTCGAAGTTTTCTGACAGCTCCTGAGCCGCTTGCAGTTTATTCTCATCCTTCGCCCCTGGATCCGCCAACGTCTTCACGTGGGAAATGTAAGTGTTGAGCTGCTCCTGTGAATCCAGAGAGACACCCTGGCCGGCCGGTGGCATTTTCCTCAGAGGAGCAGCCGCTCTGACTTTGTTCTACAGTAAGAAGAAAAGAAAAACGTTTAAATCACCTTTGACAAACTGGCAGAGCAGGAGAGTTGATACTTTTCTCAGTCAGACTTTTATTTATCTAAGTTTAAAAAAAATGATTGGCTCGAACCAATCATTTATACTGACTTCTTGCATTTTCGGCTCTCATGCGGCACATACCCTCTTGGTTTAGAAGGCTCCCATATGCCAGTCTCGCACTTTATACCACTTTAATGTTGACAAACTGTAAAAAACAGCATAACGTTTTGTACTTGCAGATCAAACCGCGTGAAACCTAACAGAAGAAGGTAAGCAACAAACCAATTGCTGCTGTTTGCTGATTTCAGTGTGGTGAACGACTTCAGCGACATCTGAATACACAACATCCAAGTCGTCACTTAAGGACTGGCAGCACAGCGTGGACCTTAATCAAGTTTTTAGCTAGTTTTCACTTTTCTGCAGCTCATAAAAGGTACTTACAATACCTAAACACATTTAACAATATAAACCATATAATAATCAGCAGAATGATTAGGAGTTCTGTCATGTTGACTAAAAATACACTTGGGTGAAGCACAGCTTGGATCTTCATCAAGTTTGTAGCTAAAATCTTCACTTTTCTGCAGCTCATTAAAGCTACCTACAATACCTATACACATTTAACAATATAAACCATATAATAATCAGCAGAATGATTAGAAGTTCTGTCATGTTGACTAAAAATACTCTTGGGTGAAGTACAGCTTAGATCTTCACCAAGTTTTTAGCTAAAGTCTTCACTTTTCCACAGCTCATAAAAGGCACTTATAATACCTATCCACATTTAAAAATATAAACCATATAATAATCAGCAGAATGATTAGAAGTTCTTCTGTCATGTTGACTAAAAATACCCTTGGGTGAAGCAATCTTCCAAGTTAATACACACATTAAATTCACTAGTTTGGTGGTCTGCTTGTCCAATTAATGTCTTTCAGTTAATTTAGGTTTTTAGTTGAGATAAAAAGTCAGCGTCACGAGCGGGATTTGAACCCACGACCTTCGGCTGCTCTACAACTTGAGCTATCGTGACCTCGATCCACTTGGACACTAACTTCCCATCTCAACCTTACCTTTTGAATTTTCCATCCTTTTTGCCATTTTTCAACGCTGACTTTTTTATGCCAACTAAAAACCTTAATTAATTGAAAGATTAATACACATATTTAAACTTATTTATTAAATCCCGATTCCAAATATATACGTTCTACAATGAATAATTATGATGCACATACATATATATTTATAAAACAACCCCTTAAAATACAGCAATTTGATTAGAGTTTTTGATTCTGTATGTGTAAATTATTAAGAGTTACCATTGCTGTTTTTGTAATGTCTTTTTACTACAAATTTTATTTTAAAAACCAATATAGTAAGTACTTACCTGTTTAAAAAATTGGTAATTGTTTATTTTTATAAAATAATAATTTATTATTGTTAATTTGTTCGAAAATACCCTGATGGTGACCTTGAAGCCCGGGTCAAAAGCTTGTCTAGGTTGGAATTTTCTTTTTATTCTACTCCTTGAGCTTAATACTGATCATACATCAAATTAAAATACAACAATCAAAGTACATTATATGAAAACATACAAAAATAAATAAAATGATGTAATAAAAATAATTTATCTATGCTAATATTATGCTTTATTACGAACAAAAGTCAATTACAATATGTAATTAATGGTTACAATAAAATTATTATTACTCATTTCTCTCTCTTGTTTACTTAGCACTACATACATAGTTATAACTAAACGTTTTAGTAAATTTACGTACTCTCAAATGGCAGGCTAAATATATATGCTTTCACTCCAAACTTCTTTGGGAGAGCCTAATTTGACTTTTGATTCTAGGAAAACAACTAAGATTACCTAAAAGTTGGTTCCAGGAGATGAAGGTATAGAAGGAAATAAACCGTTAACCAATTAGCCAGAAAAGGGGCACTCCTCTCACCATGGGACCAGAAACACAACTAGGTCCACGGAATGTGAGCCTAAGTCGGAACAGGAAAAATTACATGAAAAAGGAAAACCCAAGCTAATATAAATCTCTCTCTTTCTCTCTCTCTCTCTCTCTCTCTCTCTCTTTCTCTCTCTTCTCTCTCACTCTCACACTCTCACACTCTCTCTCTCTTTCTCTCTCTCTCTCTGTCTTTTTTTCTCTCTCTCTCTCTCTCTCTTTCTCTCTCTCTTCTCTCTCACTCTCACACTCTCACACACTCTCTCTCTTTCTCTCTCTCTCTCTCTCTCTCTCTCTCTCTCTCTCTCTCTCAGTAGGTAGATTTTGGAAAAATTATAGCCTCTATACTAGATTATCAGCCACTGCCCTTTTAACTATGACCTAAAGAAGATATACAAAGTAGAGACAGAAACATGCCGACTCTGTCAGTCAGAACCAGACACTGAAATAAAAAAATATTAAAAAAAATAAAACTCATCAAAAATAAAAAATATTAATACATAAAATGTTTATATATGAGACCTTGATAGTCTAGGGAAATGCATTCAAAGGCAAAAAAACGGACACACTTATTTTTGTTGTTTATGTCCAACTATGTTGGTATTATATTAATTACAAATACTTATTTTAATATAACAAATTAAAGGAGATCAGAAATTCATGAGTTTTAATAAAAATTATGGTAATTTGTAAGAAAATTCACTAAACACAGGAAAACCTTTAGTGGTAGATAAATATTTAATGAATAATTTATTCCACCAATAAATTGGTAGTACATTCCTAGGTAAACTGAGTGCTTTAATGTACACAATTGTATCATATTTTTTGGAACAAGTTAGATGCTGGTTGGTGTTATAAGGATGAATGTGGAAATTTAGGGTATTTTCATCAAACAATTTCACAGCCATGCTACAAAGAATACTTTTTAAACAATTCAAATTATATTTTCACTGACACATCATTTAAAAATTTCATTATCAAGTTGTACATACTGGGGTTAATGAATAGAGCTTTACTTTTCGTAATTGGGTGTTCTACTCCTTCTTTCTCCAGATCCTGGTAGAATTTATTTGTGGCCGATGAATGTTGGCTGCAGTGAAACCTAGGGTTAGAAGATCAAAACAGTCAATATGCCAATAATGTAACAATTTGAAGGCAAAGATATAAAGAATTGAATGCAAATAAAACGTTGAGTCAGTGAATATAGAGAGGTTCAAGCTCAGTCAATTGAAGAAGGAGATCATAGGGAGTACATCATATTCTCCAATATGCTTGTATTAAAGGAGGCACAAGAAACATCTCTGGACACCCTAGTAGGCTACAGTAAGCTGCTTCATATATGGGGTTGAGAATTGTTGTTACAACTGCTTTATATAGGAAAAGTAAGGAATAATAGTAATTGAAATTTGAGTTGATCAAATTATCAACTGAGAGTTTGGTTGGATTTACATACTATAGATTTAACATGATTTTAAAAATTCAAATTATTGTTGAAGAGAATTCCAAGATCTTTTGCAGAATGTACATGTGCCTATCAATTCTAAATAAAATAATTTGTAGTCATAACAAGTTTACATTCTTTATATTGAGGAACGTTTGATTATTTTAGCACCAGTGTTCAAGGTTGGCTAGAGAATATTGTTGGCAAAGAGTGAAAAATGAATATTTCCGAAACCAGAGGAATATGTTTATAAGGAGTTTAAACAAGAAAGGACCAAGAAGTGAGCCTCGAGTAACTCCAGAGAATACAAAATATTTTTTTCCAATGAAAGAATAACTAGCTGACAAAATCAAAAAGAAATGCAGCACACACGCATTGTACCTGAATTAAGCTGATCACAATGTGAATCGAAAGTAGAACTGAATAAACAAGAGGAGAAAAGAAAATCTCAGGCTGGAATAAAATGCCAGGCCTTCAAATATCTAAAATAAAAGTAGACGGCTATTTCAACTAAGAATGCAAAAGGCTAAATTTGATCGTCGATAGGTTATTTTCTTCTTTAAACGATTTTATAATCAGTCGCGTTTTTTTGCTATCTTCAGTGATTTTTGTCAATAGTTCCTTTTTCACACCTGTAAAATGTGTTGTCTCTTGTGGATTGAATCTCCGTTTCTTTATTATTTGTTTCAGTCTATTATTATAAATTTGAATTAGGTTTTTTAAAAAATATAAAATGTGTTGTGTATATCGAATTTTTCGAGTATAACAATTTTCTGTCGTTTTTGTAAGTAAAACAGCCATTTTAAGAAGCTTGTAACGATGGGTTAGGATTTTCCGTCATTGTACTAAAATGTTATTTTGCCTTCCATGTATTTTTTTGTTGATTTTTTTGCCATTCTGAAGGTGTCGTTGTTTTTACTCTATTTTTATTTATTACATTTCGTCTCAGAACTTTTCTTATGGTATTTATCGTACAACAGGGATAACTTGAAATAAAGAAAAACGAACGAAGCAAAAATGAAGTAACTGAGCTTCATCGCGCTTTCGATGAATGTATTGTAAATAGATTTTTATGTGTGCCAACCGTGTGTAAATCATTAGAAATATTTCGAAAGTCCAGATGAAAGACCTTCGAAAGCTTGTCGAAGGAACTGAGCGTTTTTCTTTCTTTCAAATTCGCCTTATCCCTGTTTTTTGATATACAACTATAATATTAACGCTGATATCATTCACATTAAGTTGTCATGGGAACCTAAACTCTGATTTTTTGATTTATAAAAGGATTAACAAAATAACATACAGACCAATTTCTGAAAATGGCAAAATACCTACGTCTTTCATACAAGGCCTAGAATAGCCAGTCCGAGATGATCGGAGACGATCAAACTACAAATTTATCTACTCGCAATTATCAGCCAATCTCTCATTCAGAAGGAAGGAAAATCACAAGACTATTCAGGAAAGTTGAAAGATAATATTCTGCCAAAAAGAAGCTGATACATCGTCCTTTGTCTCTGTGAAACTTTAGCCAGTTAAGGATTACACCAACTAAAGAAATAAACGAAATGGCGCTTAGAACTTTTCTTTTAAATCACAAGACACAGAAAAAATAATCTCTAATTATTCCATAAACTGAACACCATCAGTGCTTTCGCAAAGTTTATTGAATTATATTTAGTTAAAGCTGGAAAATAATCTCTATTAAAATTATTTTAGATAAGCCTCTTTAAAATCTAGCCTCTTTAACTCAGGAAAGTACCTTAAAGATCGATATTAATTGTGTTGCTTCTACTGCTTTACAACATCGAGTTAAAAAGGATTTTCGATGAAAACAGGAAGCTAATGCTACAATGATCTACCTTGCGTCTCTTCAAATGGCGTCGTGAAGAAGTCTGTTTAATTTTTGCCGATCTGTTTTGCAAAAAAATCATTTAACATGAAAATAATCAGTACGAAAACGTGTTTGAAAATAATTGATAGTTAACAACTGTTTAATGATACTTAACTAAAATAGTAATAGTTGTTTATTAAATTCTAAAGGTTATAGTAATGACCTGTTGATGCAATCTTTCGTTTATCGTGTTTTAGAAAGAAATTTGCAAAGAAAACAAAAACAATATTAAAAAATAATGTACGAAAAAATATTTACAAAGATATCAGGAAGGTGATCTTTGTGTACAGCAAATAATCATAAATGTAAAAATAGAAATTTTGCAAGGACAAGGCATGAAAAAAGAATTGAACTAGTGTAAGCACCCCCTGAGAAGCTTATTTATTGATAATTTTGATGCATCTTATCATAAAATATATGCTAATTGTGATTTTTTTTATTTTATAGTTTATCCTATGACATTTGCTGATTAAAAGAACCCCATAGTTCCAGAGAAGTCGTGGTGGGAGGAAGTTGACCTAGTCCACACGAAACTGGGTCTTCTCCGTTGTACAGACACTCTTCAGTCGATATGCCGCCTCCAGGCACCTAACACCTCATACATAAAAGAAACCACAAGTCGTAAACATTCCCTTGTTAATGTAATTAATATTTTATATAATTTATTATGTAATTTTTAAATAAGAAAATTAGAAGTAATTAATCGGAGTAAACTTTTGACAAATATTGTTACTCTAAATTTAAATAAAAGATATAATACATAGAATAATATTGTTTTATTTTTGTCTAAATGCAAAATATTCAAGGCTGCCTAGTGAACATGGACGATAAGACGGTTGACTTGATTTTCACAGGCTCTCTCGAAAGCCTGCCACCTGTCAGCTCGAAAATCGTTCGGATTTTCACTAGTTCTACCTTTACAGGTAAGTCTTCGCATATTTACCTTAACTTGATATTCAATTAATTCAAGATATATTAAAAAAATGTAATGACAATTTTCATTTGTTAGATACGACAATGGAGAGAAACACCCTCATGGCTCAGTGCTATCCCAAGCTGAAGGACTTCTGCAGAGAAAAACATGGACTAGAATTCCAGGTATCTTCAATTTATTAGCAGTTCAAGTTACATTGATTATTGTATGCTTCTTTTCACTCATAAAACACTGTTTTAAAAAGAAATATTATTTTCAATATTGTAGTTTTTTCTAAGTTTCGTCGATGATATGACATTGTTCACTTTCAAAGTTTTCTTCATTAAAATATATAATATTATTTATAGTTTTTTTTATCACGTAGAGGTTAGTAAGAAGAATAATTATTTAACCTTTCAGTCTATTTAAGTCTCAATCTATCAGAAATTTAAAATTAAATTCGGCGACGTCATTTACGCTAATTTCCAGAGTAATAATTTGAAATCTAAACAATCTAAGTCAATAAAACTACATTATACAATGATTAAATTATTATAAATTTTGTGTTTCAAGCTTTTTAAACAAGGATACATTCTTTAAGCCATGAAGTTTAATCTGATAGCGATATTGTATATGATCTAATCGAGTTAGATTGGTCGGAGAAATTATAAAAATATCTCAAAGGAGTACTTTTTTAAAGTGATGCTTGGAGAAAAAGGGTGGAAATTATTTCGGGCTCTACTTGCGAATTCAATCTTCATGTCGAAGGGTTTGGTTAATCTGTAAGTTGTTGAACATTCGTGCGTAGTTGGCTAGAAGACCGATAAAACTAAAACAAAGTTAGCAGTACTTAAATTAAATCAAAACTAAGCCGGAAAGGAAGATATTGACCTTCAATATTATAACAAAAGAAAAAAAAAGACCACATAGGAAAAAGGAATTCTGAAGGGGTCAGACAGCACAAAATGATCCTCGCGTAGGTACTTTATCTGTTGTCGACGTTACACGCAGTATAATTTGTTGGAATTAGTAGCTGATCGTATAATTTAGATGTTCTGTTATAAAAAGAAAGATTATTGGACTATAAAAATTGATGGTTTAATTGCTAGTTTCTTTGTGTAGTGTCATAAGCAGCTAGGCCGCGCCGTTGCAGATCGAACAGATTTCGTGTAATAAGTGTGTACGATGTCATGATGACTCCCATTATTATGAATGGATGTAACGGCTCGAAACGACAAAATCGTCGGTGCCTTCTCTCTTCATGATTTCCTTTGGGGGTAAGGGAAAAAAACGAATCGCATGTGACACCGGTGGCTCCCGCATTGCGTACATGGTAAATCATCTGCCGTGTTAAATAATAATTTCAGACGATTTGACATCGGCGTATCCAAAGAAACCGGTTCAATTGGGCGGAATGCTCTCATGATAACGCCTAGAGAAGTTCATATAAAAATTTCCAAGGGTGATTACGAGTCGTTCCATGCTGTGCCGGCCCACGGGCCCCAGTCGATAGAACCGCGACCTTGCAAGCAATCTTGAACGTAAATCGCGTACTTTCGCAACTTTTTTTAACACTTGAGTTATTAGTAAATCGCTCTTTAAATAAAAATAGACATGAGTTTATTTAATGACATCGACATTATATACCATGATAATGCTATGTTAATTAAGACGTCTTTCAAAGGATGCCAGCTTAGAAAATCAAAGATTACAAAATCCTGGAAAATTAATAACGTATACGCATTATATCCCGGAAATCACTGATAATGTACTTAGCCAAAACTCAAGACACCTAGGATAGGCCATGATTAGAAACAAAAAAATTACAAACTCCGATTCACTATTTTCTTTTGTTAATAATTGACAAATTCGATCATAAAATTTTAAAATTAGTAACCAGAATTAGCTTAATTTTAGATATATTTACACTGCATCGTTTCTTGTTGAAGTGAAGAATATTTATATACTTCATATTTTGTTCTTTGTTATTGGAGAAGTCATTTTTTGTGCAGTTCAACACGTAGTACATCAGCCACAATCAAAAGTTGATGGTGTCGATGACCTAAAAAGAGTGAACAGAATATATATAACCAAATTTGTAATAGCAACCTTTGTACTTCTTACCTATGACTAACCAAATCAGGAAATTATTAATTCAACTCCATCCCACCATCATCCAGCCAAGGTGATGGCTGTGTTTTGCGGGCATGGAACACATATATAAATACTGCAAATTGGGGAACAGAAAAGTACAGGAGGGGGTTAAAAGTCTGCATTGTACTTTTCCCTTCCACTAACTTTCCTTCACAAACATCATTCACACGATTTACATTTTTATATAATTCACAAATACAAATTAAACAGGAAAAGAATCAACGATTACAAGAAATGACGAACACAATAAACAAAACACAGACCTAATCCGTCGAAGACAAGGACACACTCTTTTCAACTTTTGTGAACTTATAAAACGGGCTAGGCAAAACGGAAATAACACAGATCACCTACTGAAGATGGCGAGAAGCCGAAACGGGTATAACGGACAACAGAGTTATAGGAAGACCAAAATTGTCAAAAACGACCAAAAAAGCAAAAAATTCTCTGATCCTTCAAGTTTTCAAAAAATATATCTACATCATCCGGACTTGAACAATGTAATCATAATTATTCAGAAATCGTGAGATGCGGTATGGTGTGATGTAGGTTTCAACAAATAATGTAATCATAGCTCACAAGATTAACAAATATTAACAATTGTTTACAATGTTACTTTTTCATCTCAATATGTTACAGGTGTTACATAAAAAGTATAATTAATTGAAAGAAGTAATTTGGTCAATTAGATCACTAAAACATAATGGATTTGTTTACAATATTGAAACTGGTGACTTCAAGCATAACGACACTAATAAATCATTTTACAGTGGACGAGATCAAATACCCCCGTCCATCCTATATTAGAAATATAACCTAGTTTCAAAGTCCTGATGAAGGGGATGTATTCGTTGAAAATTCGACAAAAGAATCTACAATCAGTGTTTTCTTTAAAATTGACCTTATCCCCGATGCATTTTTTGATTTTAAATTATGAGAATTTGAAATTTAAATTAGGAAAACATGGACACTATTTGCTTATAAATAACCGGGACCATGGTAATTATTAAATATATATTTAAAATAATAACATAAATCGATCAGACAATGAAGGCGTGAATTGTATTCATAAACTTGTGTTTATAAACGACTATGTCCTCAATATAATTAGTTTATCATTTTAAGTTTCGATTTTATTAAACTGCAAGTGTGGTTTAATAAGATTTTTTATTTCTTTATATAAAAAGGTTCATTTAATCTCCCAATTACTTAACGTCTTTTGAGCATGACTATCGCGCAAAATAATCGCAGTTCTGTGGAAAGACATTTTGTCCACGAAATTGTAGAAATTTCTCAAAGGTACTTGCAAGTGTATTTAAACACTTTCATACATCGTTTTTCTTATGTAAGTAGTTTGAGTGATGCACGTCAGCGCTGCTTATTCAAGATAGATGTTTTCTTAGCTTTTCGGTCCGCCTTGTGCTATTGACAGCCCCTGATCCTTGAAGAAATAATAAGAGTTCACAATAGGTTTTTTTGTCGCTAAAAATAAAACCAATACATTCAACTTTTCCTGCATTAAAATCAGTTTGGAAATTGTTTGACTGCAGTGGGAAGCAAAAGATCTACATCACAAAATACAAAATCTTCTTTTGCGTGTTTCGGAATAACTCATGGAATGGTTTTACACATTTCGTGCGTAGAATCATCAGTCAACGCGTCCGGGAATCCGGAAGTGTAGCAATTGATCCCGTATCCGATTCAGATGAGAACCGACACCGGGTGATAGCCGATTAACGCCCCCCGGCAAAGGAAATTACAGTTCTCGTAGGTAACTGTCTGAGCATGTCACGGATTTATAAAAAATAAATAAATATTGATATTTCTACTTTTAGTGTGAGTTAACATTTCTCTAAAAAAACACCGGCCTTTATAAGCAAAAATAAAGTTGAAAATGTTGTGTAATGTCGTTCGAAAAAATTGTGATTAACTACAAAATAACTTATATTTACTAAGTAACAATGAAAGTTAAAAATTGTGGATAACATTTATTAAAAGCAAAAGAAATAGGCTATGGTTTGGTAATTTCTGATCATTTTGTTCTGCTTATTTTGTCTGTGTGGGTCTATCAAACGTTCGTCGGCTTTTAACGATATTATATGGTAAACTTTGGATTTTATTATTGTTCTGTTCGATACTTTTGATTCACAGTTTTTCTCTTTTTTTAATTTGTACATATGGTGTAATGTGAATGAGTTGATTGTTTTTTATGTTAAATAAGCTGTGATTGTATATTTTTAAGTGATCAAGTATCTTGTAAGCCAAAGTGTAATTTTAATCTTATGTCTGTATTGTTGAGGGCCTGAGATACTTTCGTGTGAGATACATTACGAAATATATATATTTCACGGTAAATTTTTATTCTGATAGGTTTTGAACCATAGAGTACAACGGTTGGGTACCACTATTTTTCCGAACTACATATTTCAAGCAAGCCACTTTAATTCGTCGTATGGAAAAAGACATCGGTTACACCTATTGTCCCTGCTGCTTAATTTTGTGAAAATACACCCAACCAGACACAATGGTTGGCTCTGAAACTTGTAATAATTGAACAATTTTTTGACATAGAACCATGTATTCTGACTAATATTAGGGTCAATTGAGGTACATTAATCACGACTTTAATACGACTGAAGAGGACTAGGAATGGACAGAAACTCCGTTGCATAATCATACCTTTTGGCTTCGTCAAACTCTCACCTAACATGAATAAATTTTACAGGACAAAATCAAGTCATTATTTCGCACCGGGAAGTTCACATGCTGCGAGAATGATCGAAATTTGTCTAATTCCAACTCATTAAGGGTAAATTCGAATTCGATCAATATCGTTTACACTCTTATTCTGTAGGTAAGCCGGTGAATTTTACGCGTACACAGTGTGCAAAAATATTTGATGATTTAATGTTTTTCCGTAAAGCGGAGAAAATATGCGAGTGCTAAAAGGAAGTATTTAGCCAAGTAAAAATTTCATCTTAGCAAGGCGCTTGAATAGATTAAAACCCCTCACGACGGATCGGTCGTGCGGGTTTAGCGTAGCAAAGCGCCATTATTGCCAATTAACCCATGTTTATTTTTAACTTCTTTCACTTTCAATAAATTACGCAATGTTCGTTTAGATTTTTTTCAAGTATTATCTTCAGCATTTTAAATCTGATATTACAATCAATTCGTTTTACTGGTGTATGTGGATTCTCAGTAAATCATTTGTAAAGTTATAGTTTAAGATGAAGACCTAAGGAGTAATTGGGGTAACGTATAAAAAGACAGTGGGAGAGTTTTTCCGTTAAGAGCTAAAACTAGGTATTGACACTTTTGATGTTTACCTACATTCTCCACTGCCTAAGTCATGGTACTAGGATATAAATATGGTTGCTGATTCAAGTAACACAATCGTCTTTGGGAAGATAATTGCCATTCATCGTATGTAATTGTTAAGGTGTTAAAATACATTGGGAAATCAGCTGGAAAGGAGTAAAGTAACGGATCAAGCGTGCTTCCTTGGCAAACGAGGTCTAAAATGAGATAAATAGAAGAGGAATAGGTGCTTCGGATTATTAGGAAGTATAGGTTTATTAGGTAAGATTTGACATAACATAGTAGTTATAATTTTATTACGATCTGAAAGTTCACACCACAACTGTCGACTGCAGACTCTGACTGATGACCGTTCTTTTTCGTATATAAGGAGAAACCGATACGTGCTAAGGGTATCCGGACTCAAGACCTACCTACGGATGAAGCGTATGAAGGTAGCGTTAGAGTTTACAATTTATCGTCTGTTCATCATAAAACTAAAACTGTCTACATTGATATTCTACCTAATAGAGAAAAAAATTTATTGAGAAAGCCTTACTTGCCTTGACATACAGAAAAAGGGCTTGTCGCTCAGGTATAGTTCATTTCTTTGTTCAAATAGGCCCACTATTCAACACAAGTGATTCGTTTGATGATTACAGAAGTTTTTCTAAGCCTTTTGCAACTTTTAGGAATAGTTCCAATGTGTCAACAGTGCCAGTTTTTAGTAAAGACAAATTTTAATTAATTTGAATTTTTACTAGTTCAAAGATCAGCTCTGAAAACGAAAAGTACACGGAAAGCTCCACCTAACACCTTTTCAAAACTGAAGTATTTTTAAACTAATGTTAAAAATAGTATATTTTCCTTCTATTTTTTATACTTCAGACGTATAAGTAGCCTACAAAAATTGTCTTTTGATATAATGTTTGCATTTACGTATTAAATCACCAAAATATGATATAATCTGTGTGTAAACATTCGTTCACCGATATAAAATTGCATTTTTACAGAACAATATTAAAAATGAGAACTATTTTTGTGATGTGCAATTATGTGATCAGTATTAAAGAAATGCGATATTGGAGTAAAAAAACGAATCCGATTTCCGATTTGCATGAGTACGGTTGGCATGGGCAATAGAAAGAAACCAAAAGGCAACGCACACCAGCTTGCGTGACTATTAGCCGTATCTGATGCATTTCAAGCATGCATTACACGTTATCCTGTCTTTTTGAGGTTGTCGACATGAGATGGGGTGTGAGGGACGAAGCAACAGATGATCATATGACGACAGAGCTGTGCATGAGAGAAATCGCCAATTGTCAGAGACTTTCCATGGGTCCCAACTTTGTCGTGAGTGTTAATTTACCTGTTAAAAAATAAAACGGGATGTTGAAATAAATCGTTATAGGTGTTCCTTGGTCAAAAATACGGCTACCGGCCAATTCCGACTTACATATTGTCTTCTGAACTGCAGATGCTACGCGACGAGCTGGCCAGTTCTGGTTCCGAAGTTCATCTGCTGGACACTTGGTACAGGAAGGACAGCAACGCCGTCCCTCCCATATCTGTCCTTCAGCCGATTTCTTCAATTCTAATTAATTTCAACAATAAGGTATATATNTATATATATAAACAAATTAAAAGATTGAAGAACTATACTGTTTTTTTTTCTCTCCAGAGAATACCCAAACTGCAACAGCACGATCAAGCTGTATGGTGGGACACACTGGGTAAAATGCAGAAGCTATTTCGAAAAGCTTCACTCAGTTTATACAACTCTGGAAAAATCTCGAAAGATATTATGCATAATTACTACATGTCTGGTAAGCCATTCAAAAAGTGAAAAGTAATAACAACGATTCTGCACTCGTAGGTACATTTGATAACCCTTGTTGCTTTATTTATTTTGAAAATTTAAAAAAATAAACGATTTTGTTAAAAATTACATTGTAGTTTAGTCGTTTTTGATCATTTTTGTTTTATAATTCCTTGATTTGGACTGTTTCGGTTTCTCAACATCCTCATTGACTAGTCTTGAGCCAGATGAGCTTATTCATGTATAACATTCGTCTGACATGTAGGAAAACAACAAACCTATCACTATATAGAATAAGACGGAAGACTTGATATTAGATTTCAACAATTAAGTTCATGTGAAGTAAACGACATGATGAACTGTGGTCACCTTTACTTATCTTGCGAAAAAGTCCACAAAAACTTTCTAACGTTCAAAAACCAAAACTTACCAAACACATGGAAGACATAATACTGAAACTCGTTCGACGGACCAAATCATTTTGGCTAGACAGAACTTAATTGAAAAAAAAATGATCAAAAACGTGCAACCTCAGGTTCATCATATCCCAAGAAGATTACTGATACTGTTTTTTGCTTTATGAAGTATATAAATATTTTTTTAGTGACTGAAAGAGAAGTGATCAACGGGATTTTGAACGTCAAAAACACCAAAAATCATTGTCTAGCCTACGTTAGGATTATAAACAACATAAATTTGCAAAATTTAAAAAAAGCCTCATTATTCTTGGACATCATTAACAGAAGCTTGGACACCGAGGCATCCCGTTTGCTTGCCAACCTTAGAGACGAAAGGCTAACGGATAAAATAGAAACGTCAAATTATCAAAAGTATCATATTTCAAGTAATGTTTAAAAAAAGTTAATAAAGTTTTTAAAAAAATATTTTAGATACACTGTAGAATGGATTGGGCGAGAAGGGCTGGATACAGAGACTCACGAAGAGTATCTGAATCATTTTATAACACATTTTTATAAAAACATCACAAAGCTTGTTGACAGAGCTATGAGAAAAGAGGATTCAAGCCCACAGGGTCAAATAGTCACAGAGATATTACAACATTTACACGCATGTAATAATTCAGTACAGGTTTGTAACGATTCCGTTTGAAAATATTCCAGAGGAACAGCTTTGTTTCAAATCGTATTCAGGTGTTTTACGGCAGAGAGGAAGAGCTGTCTCACATTGAGTCTTACATGAAAGGGGATTCAGAAAAACCAATGGTCCTTTATGGCGAGGGTGGTTGTGGGAAAACATCCCTTTTGGCAAAATCGGCCGGCCTCACGTCCACCGAATGGTTCGTTGGGGCGAAGCCTATTTGCATAATCAGATTCTTGGGGACGACACCTGATAGCAGCGCACTCACTCCAACCCTCATTTCAATTTGCCAGCAGGTAATTTTTTGTCACATAATTTGTCCGTTCAAGCTGGATAAGGGTTAAGCCTTTTTTTAAAAAACCTCAACATGTTTACTTGTTTTGAATTAAATTTCCTTTTTTTTACTATGAAATATTTTAGATTTCGTACAATCTGATGCAACCATTTGACGATATCCCAGACGACATAGTGCCTTTAACGGCACACTTCAAAAACCTTCTGACATACGCTTCTGCAGCCCAGCCACTTATATTTTTCCTTGACTCCGTCGATCAACTTACAGGGACGCAGGATACGAATCACGTCTCATGGATTCCTACTAGATTACCACCGTTTTGTAAAGTAAGTAATAAAATTTATTAATTTCCCAGTCTTGTTTAAAATATCCGGTTGTTAGCTCATCGTATCTTGCGCATCCGAAGCCGACAACCCCGAAGTGTCGAAGGACTATCATATTTTGCGGAAAATGATCGATTCAGAAGAACACTTTATTGAAGTTAAAGCCCTAGGGGAAGAACTCGCTATGCAAGTAATACGGTAAGGACGAACTTTTTTGTCTTCTGAAAGAAAAATTTCAAAGATAAATTTTTATCGAGGATGTGGATGAAAACTGCAAAAAGGGATCTTACTAACTATCAGTGGCGTCTAGTCTCCAACGCTATTGATAAGTGCTCCCTTCCAATTTTCGTGAAACTCGTATTTGCCGAGATTTGTAGATGGAGGAGCTACACGAAACCTCAGGACACACACTTAGCATCTACAGTAATGGATTCGATTATGATGCTTTTCGAAAGAATCGAAAAACAGGTATTATAAAGTTTGATTTTTTTTATTGGTAAATATTTACTATTATCTGTACAATGTAATACGTTATGTAAGTATTTTTATGATACATATTTACAAATAACTAACCTATTTTATGTAAGGTTTTGGTTGAAATGAAAAAGTTTTTGTCACGAGGGGGATTTGAACCCACGAACTTCGGCTCAATACGCCGCTGAACCATTTGAGCTACCGTGACTTCAATTCATTCGTATACCAACTCCCCATTTCATCCTAAAACCTTTCGAATTTTCTCTTCTTTTTCTATTTTTCAAATGTCGTGTAATCAGGATTCGATCCTCGGCGACATATGGCGTGGCCACGGGGAGCTATTAGGTTAAACTTCGTTTTACTCATTAAATCCATTATTTAGTGATCTATTTACCAAATTCCTTCTTTCAATTAATTAATCTTTATGTAAGGTATTGGTTAAAGGGAAAAAGTTAGTGTCACGAGCGTGATCGAACCCACGACCTTCGGCTAAAGACGCCGCTGCTCTATCACTTGAGCTATCATGACTTCGATCCACTCTTCATCCTAACCTACAACCTTTCGAATTTTTCCCTCCTGTTTGCCATTTTTTCAAATGTCGTGTAATCAGGATTCGATTCTCGGCTACATATGAAGTGGCCACGGGGAGATGTTAGTAAAGTTATACTTCGTTTTAATTATTAAAATCCTTTATATGTAGTGGTCTGATTGACCAAATGACTTCATTCAATTAAGTAACCGTTGTTATGTAAGGTTAATTAATTGAAAGAAGTAATTTGGTCAATCAGACCACTAAATATAATGGATTTACAAATAACGTTGACAGTAAATACCAAGGATAGTCCATGGCGAGAAGTACCCGAGCCCATCTCTACTAGTCGTATACCGGTTTATAACGATGGATGGATGGATTATTTAGACATAGATTGGGCTAATGAATTGAGGTGAGTGAAGAGTTTATTGAGGCACGTGGAAAATTTGGTGGATATTAATTTCTGTACAAAGTGTATTTTGAGGTCCTTGTGGAGGGTTTTTGGAGACATAATAGTATTGACTAGGGTTCTGAGGAGGGTTTTTGAGATTGCAAGAGCAGAATTAGATGGATATTGATAGGTTTTATAGATGTCAGTTTCTTTTGTGTCGACATGTTAGATTTACGACCAAGTAGTTTATAGACCAGTCTAAAACGTGCGTTCAGTTCCTGTCTTTTTATTTGTATGTGTCGGTTCAAGGTTAAAATAGAATCAAGGGTCAGTGTTAGGGATAAAACATTTGCTGAGGAATATTGTTTAAGAGGTTCTGCTTATGTAAATCTTTATCCACTATAATAGAATGAAATACAGCGTCAAGAAATTTGGGAAATCTGTGATTTCCAGGAACGGTTTTTGTCGAAGTAACAGCAAGGTGTTTAACAGTGGTGCAGAAGGAAATGAGGAAGTGGGTTGGTTTTGATAGTGAAAGGTAGGATTCGTGGGAAGGAGTTGAGGGAGTGACTGGATCCTGTGGCAATGGCTTTGGACTTAATTTAATTCTAGGTTATTTTTATGTGCCTAAAGAAGAGGGGGAGCATGCTGTTTGGATTGTGTACTCTTAGAGTTTGCAGAACAAAAAAAGGATGATGTTTAATTACTTCTAGTACCATAGCCTTTTTTGAGGATTCCCGGATTCAGGACAGAAGGTCAAAGCCAGGGGACCGGATTCGGGCACCGGGTCAGGATGTGTTTAATATCAGAAGTGACCATTTTGAGAGTAAGTGGCAAGGGAAGGGGTTTGATTAACAAAATCATCATCACAACAACACAAACAGAAAATGAGAATTAAAGATGATTGAAAAAGATAGATGGTTTAAGAAAAATATTAAAACAATTTGGAACAATCCAATTAGGAATTTTATATTCATCAGTCCATTCTTGTAGTGTTTATTATTAACTTATTATTTTATATTATTTATTATTAATTATTAACCCCACTTCTTTCCTTTTTCTGAAGGTTGGTTTAGCATTTTAGCCTTGATTTAAATGAATAAATGTATGAAAGAAAGAGAAATAGATAGAGTGAACGAGAAAGAAAGATGTCGAGATCCATAGATACTAACAAGTAGTTAGTAAAAAAGAGCGAGATAGACAGTTAGAGGGAGAGGGAGAGGGAGAGAGAGAGAGAGAGAGAGAGAGAGAGAGAGAGAGAGAGAGAGAGTTTTACGAGTTTTTAAATATGATGTATCGTATCAAAGTGAAAATAAAATGTAGTTATCATATTGAAATGTTTATACTAATGGTATTACCTTTACAAATTCCATAACCTCACGACTTTAACATATTAAATCCAACATTAAGTTAATAATGCAATATTCTGTTGCTTGTTTTTTTTAATTAAGCCAAATTCCTTTACAAATTCTATCTTTTTATTTAATTTTTGTTGCAACGTTTCAGTAACATTTATGCATTCATGTATAAATTATTTATTTTTTTATATTTATACATTTTAATTAATACAATATTTAGGAAAGTGACAACACCATCTTCTTAAATAAAACACAAATTTCACCATAATGGTTATGAACAAAAAAAAGTTTGCTACTATAAATTTTAGTAGTTTTTATATTTTATTTTTATTTTCTGCTTAGTGACTGCAGTTAAATTAAATAACAGATATTACAAGGATTTATTTACACCAATTATGGAAAACGTAAAGTTAAGAACTATGCTTTAAATTATGATAAATAAAATGTTAAAGTAAAATATTTTCCTCATTTTAGTCTACAATGACAAATAAATTTAACTTAACCCTAAGCTTCAATTTGTTATTTTTAGCACGGCAGGATTTTGGTTTTCCATGCTCTGGCATACATCACAGCGGCTAAAAGCGGGCTTAGCGAATCCGAGTTAGAGGATCTTATTTCTCTAGACGATAGGGTTTTGGACGACGTTTACCAATACCATTTACCACCCGTGAGAAGAATTCCTCCTCTTCTTTGGACGAGGATAAGGAACGATTTGCCAAATTACCTCTCGGAAAGAGAAGCCGATGGTGTGAGCGTTATGAACTGGTACCACAGGTGAGCAGATTATTTTGTGGTATTATAAAGAGATTTCAATTTATTTTTACGTTATAGACAGTTCCGTGATACAGCTAAGGAAAGATATTTCAAGAATATGAACATGGCCATTTACTTCCACTCATCCATTGCCGACTACTTCCTCGGAATATGGGGCGGAGGGAAACCGAAACCTTTCAAATACACGGAAATACAAAGACATAGGTTATTAAAAAAGCATTAATTCCATAACCGCCGAAGTCAGTCAATCAGAAAAAATACAATAATGATATTGTGTGGTTATAGATTTAATTTGACTGATAGAGAAGGCTCTGCAGACAGAAAAGTACCAGTGCAGCCTTTAGTATTTTATTCAAAAGACGGAAATGTCTCGAGATACAACTTAAGAAAAGTTGGTGAAACTAGTTTCTGTAGTGGAAGCAATTATTTCACTGTTCGAATAGAAAGCACTTATCACAACTGTGTTATAATCTAAACGAAATTTAACAATGCACGTAAACGCGCATCGGGAAAAATCTTAACATTATTTTTTTTCCAATAATTTACAGAAAAATCTGTGATAAAATTGCTTATTGAAACATTTTAACTCGTATAATTCAATTTCAGTTTGGTGAGCTACCGTTCCATTTGGTGAGATCAAAAAGGTTCACCGACTTGTATGAAAACGTCCTTTTCAACTACCAGTGGCTTCACGCCAAATTAAGCTCCTGCCCACTTCAAGCCGTGCTCAGTGATTTTGAAGATGCATGTGCTAACATCGAGGACCGGGACGTGACCAGGTGAATTAGCCAAACCTCAACCTTAAAAAATAATAAATAATATTTAAATTAGCATATAGCAAAGTTAATTCATAATTAATATTATTTACAAATTCACTATTTTTCGTGGCTCTCCGTGGCCATTTCATTTGTCGTCGAGAATCCATTCCGATTACAGGACATTTGAAAAATGGCAAAAAGGAGGGAAACTTCAAAAGGTGGGGTTGAGATGGGAAGGTAAGTGCCCGAGGGGATCGAAGTCACGATAGCTCAAGTGGTAGAGTAGCGGCTATCAAGCCGAAGATCGTGGGTTCGAATCCCGCTCGTGACAATTATTTATAAAAATTAACGACGGTATGATTTAGTTTTTTTAAAAGACAAAATATTGCCAATATATTTGACGTTGTTTATTTGTAAAAACAATTTAATGAGATTTTTATTTCGTAAACAATAAATGTTTTAAATTGACGTCACGATAGCTCAAGTGGTAGAGCAGCGGCGTATCTAGCCGAAGATCTTGGGTTCGAATCCCGCTCGTGACACTGACTTTTTTATCTCAACTAAAAACTTTAATTAATTGAAAGGTTTTGGATAATAATTGAACTACATATTAAGGAACATAAATTAATATACAAACTTAATACACTGTTAATAAATAATAAACTGGTATGCATAAAACAGGAGTAATATAAACCTTTTTAGTGTTATTTTTCTTTTATACTCATTAATTCATTTTTGTTAAATTAAAAATGATTAAAACTAACTATATTCATATTCATTTTTGTGTTATTTACTTATTCATTAAATAAAAGGTTTTATTTTTGTTTTTTAAACGATTTTTTGATTTTAAGGTGCCAAAACAAATTGGTGTACCTTTAAAAAAAATAAAATATATTGAATTTTTCAAATTTAATAACGTTAGTTTTTATACGTTCTTACAATAAAAAAATAGATTAAGGCCTACAATCTGAGTTCTTTTACCAACTAAAATATACCACATATTTTATGCTGTTGTTATGTTAATTTATTTTCATTTAACAAACTTTACGTCTAAATAGTTAATTTTTAATAAAATGACAAAATTGTACTTATTTATATTTGTTTCCCAGTTAAATCAGGTACGTATACGAATATGTATTAATCAAGTGCATCTTTTGTATCAAATAACATTGAATACTTAATTATATATAATGTTCCAATATTTAACACATTGACATTTGGTATTAGGGAGGAAATTAGATTATTGAGGAGGTGAGGCAATGCATAAAATAAGTGAGTCGTTAATTGCATGAGAGACATTATTCCAAATCTTACCGACAGTATTTCTATTCAAAATTACATCAGTTGTTATAATTACACCTTTGTTAACATCTTTGCTTACACTTTTAATACACCACAGTATTTACAACACAGATTATTTTATCTTACTTGATTTCTGTCTACATAGAGTATCATAAGTATGTTTTGAAACAGAAATGGTAGACAAGTAGACATTGGTACAAATCTAAGCATTAAGTTTATGCTCAGCTTAAAAACAAAACAATGTAGTATTTGGGCTAAAAATGTTGTGATTGTCGTCACTAATTGCTTGTTAACTATATTTTTATTATTATACTAAACGTAGTAGTATTTGCTTAATGTAAAGAGTAAGCAATTTTAAATCTTTTTGAATTAACACGAAACACTTTCTATCTTTTAAAACAACATGAACACATTTGTTTACATGAATCTTGATCAAATAGAAACGATTTTAGTAAATTTGTAGGGAACTAATGTTGGTAGCTGACGCTTTGCGTCTTGGAGGTGCCATTTTGAGCATATACCCTGACATGCTAGCACCACAGTTGGTCGGAAGGCTCCTTCCTGAAATAGGAACGAATCCGAACATCAAAATGTTACTGAACGCCTGCGATGAAGAAGGTACTGAACACTGTGCCCTAATGCCTTTGTACCATTGTCTGCATACGCCTGGTGGACCGCTAAAGGTGAGACTTTCAGGTAAGTAAACTTTTTGTTTTCATTAACGACTCGGTTTTAGTATTCACTCGAGGGCCATCAGTTCGCCGTGTTCGACTTCAAGCTGACGTCGGATTTGAGGTATATCGTTTCGATATCGAACCGTTTCATCACATGGGATCTTTCTACAAGCGATATGAACAGGGACGTCAATCCAGGATTGGAAGGCATTATGTTAAAGCTTTATCTAAGCCCGGACAACCGTTTTGCAGCGGCTTTCACCAATAACAGCCAAGTACGACAAATCTGTAAAAACAACAAATGTACCTATTACAAAATATCAAAAACCATATTTAAACTAACGAGTTAGACTAAAAAATGATAAATTTAAATAATTTAGAGAGTAATTAACCAAATAAACATTACTGAAATAAGATGTCTAAATCTCATTTGCGAGGTTGATAGAAGTTGTTTGAGACGTGCTATCCGTAGTAAGAAATGTTAGAATAAAAATATTTCTTAATTAATAAAGATAAACTTTTTAAATTATTCTATCAAGTTTTAGAACACAGCGTGAATTGGATTGTTAAACAAAATTTTTTCAAATCGTTCTTTGTTTATCATCTCTAGTTTCTTAACGTGCAAGCAACCCCTTTTCCATTTTCTGCTGTTACATTAATCATAATGAGCTGCAATTTTACGAATTTGGAAGGAGTTTAACTAAATTAGCTCCTGGGCTGCTGAATATGTGGCTTGAATGTGTTTGTTCCCTACTCCATTTCTTACTTACTATCCCTCCGTTTACAATGAACAATCACCCTCGTCAAAAACTTTTAAATTGTCCATGATCAGACCTTGTCCGGGATGTGCTAGTTTTCTAACTTTGATTATGGATGGGTTGTGTACGCATGGGAGGTTGAACTTGAACGTATCATGAATTTTAATGTTTTTTATCTTCGGCTCTTCAAGTAGGTGCCATGTCAAGCAATACTTCCTTATTTCCATCCTCAATCAGATCTCTTTCTAATTCCTTCCATGATCTCCGCACTTTCAGATCCTCAGCAGACTACCATCAAACATGCTTCCGACCAGATTTGACTTCCCCAATTACAGAACTGCTCGGTACAATCTTCTCTTCATTATTCGTGTAACCAATGGATGGATCGAGCACCATCACTTTCCATCTTTAAATCTAGAATATTTCATTAACTCATGTTCAACAACTTAGCACCAAAAAATTTTAAGTTCCATACTAGTGTATTTGAAAAAGAACATGCCACTTCGTTAATGGAAAAATGTTCAATTCTATGTTCCAACGTCTCTTATGCGAAATTGAATTTATTTGAAAAAATAAAGATTGCCATACTTACAAGAGCCTGCATAAAATTCCCATTCCCGGCTTTATATGAGAGTTTGTTTCAATTTTCCCATATTCCTTAAAAGAAAGAATAAATATTAAACGAGACATTATACATTTATTTATAATCCGTTAGGTTTCGTGGTCCGATTGAACAAATAAATTATTTTCAATTAATTAATCTTTAAGTAAGGTATTGGTTGAGATAAAAAAGTCAGTTGGGGGGGGGGGTTCGAACCAACGACCTTCGGCTATAAACGACGCTGCTTTACCTCTTGAGCTATCGTGACTTCAATCTATTTGGACACCAACATTCCATCTCAATCCACCTTTTGAATTTTCCCTTCTTTCTCCAATACCTTACGTAAAGATTAATTAATTGAAAAGAATTTATTTGGGCATTCGACCACGAAACCTAATGGGTTTAATAAGTAAAATGAAGTATACTTAACTAAAGCTTTCTGTGGCCATTTCATTTGTCCCCGAGAATCAAATAGATTACACGACATTTGAAAAATGGCAAAAAGGATGGAAAATTCTAAAGTTGAGGTTTGATGGGAGGGTAGTGTCACGATAGCTCAAGAGGTAGAGCAGCGACGTATTTAACCGAAGGTCGTGGGTTCGAATCCCGCTCGTGACACTGTCTTTTTTATCTCAACCAATACCTTACTTAAAGATTAATTAATTGAAAAGAATTTATTTATAATGATTTTCAGTTGTTAGAGTTTTCCGTACTGTCCCAAATAGTTTTTATATTGATCACTTATATATCTTAAAATTTAAAACTAATGTAAAATTTGTTTACAGACTGTACTGCTTAATACGCTAAGCAGCGAATTCGTCGTCATAGATAATCCTCTTCCCGAAGAGGAAAAAGTCGTTGGCCTATGCTTGCTAAATGCTTTTTTGATTATTCACGGTGTTGGAAGTTGGTGCCGATACAACATGAGGGGTCAACTTTTGACGAAGTTAGTTTGTATGTTACAGAATAAAATTTAACCAAAATTTTATAAAATAATTTAATTTTATAACAGATTTGATTTCCACTTGATTTGGTTCTTGTAATGTAATTTAATTCGTTATTATTTGCAGAGGCTCCAGCCCGGAAAATCAAAACGAATGGCCTCTGCTTTCAATGGAATACGACACTTTGGAAAACCACCAATTTTTGTTTTGGAGTGGTGCACTCGAGGATCCAAGGATTAAGATTAGGGTGATGAGAAAAAACAAAGAACTGGAACCTTTTTGCTTTCACAGGTATCGTTTTAATAAATTTAATTAACAAATTTTGTATAAAAAACATTATTTTTTACAGTGCGATGGTCATGTCTCTTGACAAGACGACGATGTACTGTTGCCAAGAAGAAGGATCTTATGCCGTTAGCAAGATTAGTGCACTTGAAGGTGCTGAAAGCTGGGAAAAAGTGGAAACTTTGAATTCACCTTGTAAGTTGATAAATTAAGTTTTTCTTTATGCTTTATAGAATAACGCGATTTCTGTTGGTTTTTTCTTTCAGACAACGATGCCACTGAAATTTTACTCCAGTTAAAACTCGATAAAGCGGAAAACACTCTACTCGGCACGACGTACAACGGTTTTGCCGTTTGGGATTTAACAGGAGAAATTGAACCAAAAATGCTTCTCCTTCCACATGGAATGAGGAATATAACAACAAAAATAATGGTCTCCAATTCTTTTATGATTTCAGCAGCTAGGGACTACGCTGTCGCCGGTGTAAGGTACCAGTTTTTTATTGCTAAATCAGAAATAGCCATGTTTTCGTGTAAAACCTATTCGACGTTACCTGACAAACAGCGTTTGAAAGAAAATCATTTGTGCCTGTCAGTCGTCACTCTCAGGTTAATAGAGCAAAAATGTCATTTCAGGAAAAACCTTTACGTCTGGAGCATGGAGACATGCGAACTCGTCAAAATCTTAGACGCTCACTTTGGCAGGATCATCTCTCTGGAAGCGCTTACAATCGGAAATTGGAACTCGGTAACAAACCTTATTTTCATTAGGCGAACTCGAGACTCAACAGCTTTTCAACATTACAGGTCATTACCTCTTCCATCGATCGTTCTGTCAAAGTTTGGAATATCAACAACATTTTCGAACAGGTCCATGTCATCGACAGACACGAGCTGCAGATCGATTCAATTAGGTAAGTGTTGCTGCAGGCTGTTAAAATTAAGGTGCTGTCAAAATATAACACGTTTTGCAGAAATTATCTTACACGTCAATATCACCAAAGGCAAAAATATACGTTCATTGTAAATATATATCCGAAAATTTTAAAGAAATTATTCTTAAAAAATTTCTGTTTTTATTGCCAATTTTGGTAAAACAATCAATCACTTGATGATTTTATTGTTTTAAAATTTATGATTCCATACAGGAAGAGCCTGAAGTTGGGCCTCGATACTGTTAAAATAAAATAATACCTCCAAAATATCGATAGACGGTCTTACATAACTGCTAATTACATATATATTAGCGCATTTACGATTATATTTCTCTAATTATTATTATTAATTTTTAAGGGCGTTTTAATCGCCAAAGTCATTTCACGCCTAACATCTAATAATAATAATAATAATGGAGTCAGACTAGCAACAGTCTCAGCATGCGTATAGGCTCATCCTCATCCTTTTATTCTTCCATTCAAATATGATAGATAAACTAATGCTACATAACAATAATAAGAAACAATAACACTTTTTTTAAGCTAACTTTCTTATTTAAATTGCGATTTTTGGGCATTGTAGTTTATTACCCTGCAATTTGTATTTTCTTCCATTTCATTTTTCCGCTCCGGCAGCCTCACAAATTTCTGAAAAAAGAAAGAAATCTTGCACGCACAACTCTCATTCAAACATTAGCAGGAATTATTATTAAAATAATTATGAATTGCACAATAAACAAGAAAACGATTTTTTACGAAGTTAACAAAGCCTAGTTGCCTTAATTAAGAAATATTCTAATAAATTCCCATAAATATTGGAAGAAAGAGGACTTAATTAAATACTCCTTAGTTAATTTATTATAATTATTTATTTACAGTTATTTTATATTTGGCACAATTGAATATTCAATTTTAAAGTGAATTGAATGAATATCACACTCAGCACTGGGTGTCAATTTTTTGATTTATTATTACAATAAATCGCTTCGTAAAAATGTGTGGTCATGATAAATCTGCGAGTAAGATTATTTGTAATAACATTCACCTCGTTCGTTTTTAAGTTTGGGACATGGGAGAGCCGATTCAAATGAGACTTTTGGTGATATGGGTCAAAAAATGTTTGAAAAGCGTCCTCATTTTGTTACCCACTGACCCTAAAATCCGAGAAAACGAAAAAAATATTTTCAGTAATGTAAATAAATTGTTTAAATGTTGTTGTGGTTCGAGTTGTTTTGTTTTTGTATTTTTTATTTTGTTATGTTATAAAAAGTTACAATTGCGAACGGTTCACGTTAGATGAATATTATCTAAATTAACTTGTACTCAACGAAAATTAAAAAAAAACTATTTTATTACATTGTAACTGTATTACAATAGAGGCGTGATGATATTACTTACACTTTTCTTAGGAATAATTGTGAACTGGCACGTGTACAGAGATAAATTTGATGTAACACATACACATATGATGATGACCTGCTCCAAACAAAAAAGAAAAAGATAACTATTGAAAACATTGTATGTAATTAGCGATAACGCTATAAAATATAAAAACAAATAAGAAACTGACACATAAGGTGAGACCTACAATGATAATTGAAGAACAATATACATAAAATACAAAAACCTATATGCGTAAAGTTATTTTTTGAAAACATTCGTACGCAAGTAAAGAAATCATTAAAAGCTTTAATTGAACATTAATGTTACTAAAGGCAACACGTTTTCAAATTTAGGCAACCATTAAGAAAACAAAGCTTTAGAGATTATAAACAAAGCTGTTTACCTCTTTACCTTAAGTCTCAAAATATCAGGTTATTTGGTACCGTATTTTCATAATTATGAATTTTACCCTCTGCTTCCGATTAGCTTGAAAACATGATTGATAAAAGATGAAAACACACATCCACATTAATCAATTAATTGCAAAGATGCCCATTATTAGTGTTGAACAAATAGTATCGGTTGTATTTGAGGTATTTGATATTTTCATCATTTCAAGAAAAAATCTCTTCTGCACTGAAGTTTTAACTTAATGTTAAACATTAAATATATACTTTTATACAGGGTGAGGCACCATATCTCGAATGGACTCTGGTGCAATTGTTTATTTGAAAAGAAATTTGTGGTATGCGTTAGGAAACAATTTTCATCTGCCTTATTGGGTCTGACAGACGCGTTTCGACATTTCGCCATTTTCAGTTTGTCAGTGTGATTTTTTGTAAAAGGCATAATTCACTACAACCTTTGCCTTGGATAGATAGAAGTGACTTGATAATAATAAAAGGCTTTTACCCATGCGTCGAAAAACGCACTACCCTCTTTAATAAAATGTGAACAAAAAGACTGTTTAGAAATAAACATTTCGGATTAGAAAAATATATATCTATATAAAAAATTATAATTAGTTTGGTATAACAGGTTGTAAATAAATTATTCCAATTAATGATTAATTCAACGTCATTTCTTGGGATTACCGCTTATTCCAATGCATGGCATTATATTTGCTGTGACAAACTTGCAAGATCGAAGGAAAAGCTTAAATGCTGGTGATTCATGAATATAACAAGATTTATAAGCACTTGAGTTTCATAACTTAGTGAAAAATTAGTGTCACGAGAGGAATGAAATTAATTTTTCATCTCAACGAAAAAGCTTAGATAAAAAGAATAATTAATTGTAATAATTAATATTGTCAATTATGACCATGAAACAAATATGGGTTGTAAATAAAGTTGACATGAAACTCTCAAGTGATAATAAATCTTCCTTTATAAATTAATCACCAGCATTTAAGCTTTTCCTTCTTTCTTGCAAGTTTTGTCATAGCAAAAATAGGGCCATGAATTGAAATAAGCGGTCAAGGAACAAAGTTGGGGTTGCATGTGGGAATTAATCTACAAATCTTAATTTGAAAACTAGTTTATTACAATTTGCAAACTAATTCGTCTAGCGGTTCAAAAAATATCAGCATCATTATTAATTTGTCCGTTTTGCCATTGGGCCTGCGTCTATTCAAATCACCCCCAAGTTTTGGTTGGTATTTTTGGTTAAGTTTTATTTCTTGTTTCATGTAGAAATCGTAAAATAAAACTTAATTAAATAATTAGCTCGAGGCAGCGGTGATCGTTATCGTTAGGGCGTCTCGTTTTTGTTACATAGCAGTCCTCGGTTTGAATTTCAAATATGATATTTTATATTTTCTGGTTGTTAATAAATTATATTAAAAAATAAAAATATTTGTATTTATTTAAAAATTAGTGGAAGTTTTTATACATATAATATATATGTTAATGAGGTAATATAATAATGGGGTTAAACAGTATAACAGCAAGAGTTAAGTTATTGATCAGCATTTCAAGAAAATAATTAAAAAATGTGGTAAAAATTTGCTTCTTATGTTCAAAATGTTTTATGGTGTTTTCATTTTTTAAATTTGATTTTTTTTAATCATTTCAGCGTCTGCCAAGAGGTGAGCCTGGCAGTTACTGTAACTCGAGGTTTTGTAGGCGTTTGGGACATGCAGGCGGGTCATTTGTTGTCTCAACTTGCCGACAGTCCTCTCGGGGCAATCGTGACCCACGCAATTATAACGCCGAGCGGAAAGTTAGTGAATTGCCAAGCGCAGCTGTTGCCAAGTGATAACTTTTCCTTCTTAAAGGTACATCATATCTGCAGAATCCGGCAATATTCTTATATGGAACAGGATTACGGAACAAGTGCTGTTCAAAGAAGAGCAGCTAGGTATCAGGCAGATACTTCTTCTCGACGATGGAAACCGGTTTCTTACCATGTCGAAACCGCCTTTGGTCGCCGGGGTCGAGCCTCCTCCGAGAACAACGGCTACTGGCATTTTGAGGACGATTCCAGGTTAAATAATTTTCTCCTTCCCCAATTTTTTAAAAAGCAAATTTTACAATTTTACAGCTGGCAACACGATTTACAATTTTGAATATCCCGTAAGAAACATACCAGGAGTGAGTTTTAAAGAGGTAGTCATGACGAGTGACAACCAGTCTGTTGTGGCACTTGCAGCTGACAAAGGCCAGAAGGAAGCACTGCACGTGTTTCATGCAAAAAACGGGCAATGTTTATGTAAAATCCCTCTACGTATACCAGGCGTTAAGGTAAATTAAACAATAATAACTTTTTTATTTTTTAATATTAAAAAAATCTGCGCTTTTTGATCATAGAAAATGTACTATCAAACTGACTAAAGGTTTGATGATTTTTTAAAATTATAATTATCAACAGGAAAACTACAAAAATGTCTCGCCATAAAACAATATGATGGAAAAAGGATTCTTAGAAAATAAAATGGTTTTTAAGCTAACCAATACTAAAAAATGCTGTTAAACCTACATTCACTGGAAACATTTATACTGGGGAAGCTAGGTAAAGCTCTCCTAAAAGCCTGGCACTTTTGAAACTTGAAAAACAATTTTGGCACACAACAATAATGAATGAAATTAAACACCCATTCCTAGAAATGGAGACTGGCGATATGATCTCGAAAATATTCATTGCAACATCTTCTAAAAGTCTCAACAGACTATAAAATGAAATATAATTACAAGGTATAAAGATGACCACTAGATACATATAGGAACCGGATCAGGTATATTCTGTACAATCCCCAAATATGAGCAATCAGATATTGTAAGAAAACTAGGGACGAATCGAATTCCGATATAGCTAAGTTGTGTGTTCAGCAAATTTCATAAATATTCTTTCCACGTGATATACTTGATCTGATTTCTTACAACTCTCTATTCCTTCTATATAAATAAAAGAAACAGTATTAAACAACTCGAAAAGCTCCAGGATATGATTTAATTACACAACAAATATTACAAAACTTACTTTATAAAGTTAGAATTTATTTGGTCGTTGTTATTAACAATGTTCATCCTTACTTTTTGTTATAGGTTTGTAATTTGTGTGAATGTTTTACATAAAAGAACCTCTTCTTGTTTTCTCTTAATGTCAAAGCTATGTGTACATGCTTTCCCTTTATTTTTTGTGATCTAGTAGATTTTGTTTAATTGTAAACAAACTTTACAGACATTACATTAATTTTTATAACTTTAATCAATTCTTAATTTTATATAAATGAAGTCATGATATACTTTAACAGAATACGATTATAATATTAAATACGGTCTAAATATTCTCTTGCAACTCTTTACTCTTAATAAAGCACTCGATCAAATAGAGAACACGGTAACAAACAACTCGAAAACCTCCAGGATATGTTTTACGACAACATTACAATAAAAATATTACAACACTTTCCCGCCGTCGTCTGATGATACTCAAAATAAAAATGTACTGAGGAAAAGGAGGAAAGTGCCTTAAAAAGCGCGTACTTAAAAATAGAATAAAAAAAAAAGAAAAAGCTTACAAAGTTTTGATGCTCCAGATTACAACACTTATTGTATAAAGTTAGAATTTATTTCGTCACTGGTACCAATATTTTTTATTATTATTAATTACAATTAATTAAGGTTTTTAGTTGAGATGAAAAAAAGGCAATGGCACGAGCGGGATTCGAACCCACATGTGGGTGTGGGTTGAGATAGGAAGTTGATGGCCGAGTGGATCGAGGTCACGATAGCTCAAGAGGTAGAGCAGCGGCGTATCAAGCCGAAGATCGTGGGTTCGAATCCCGCTCGCCATTGACTTTTTTTCATACCAACTAAAAATGTTAATTAATTGTAATATATTAATTGGTCAAGTTGACCACGAAATTAGTGAATTATTATTAATATTCATATTTACTTACTCGTGTGCGTATATAACTTGTATGAATTGATTTTTTTGTTTACCTGAATATTATCCTTCTTTCATTTTTCATTTATGTCATAGCTATGTGAATATAATTTTTCTCCCTTTATTGTTTTATGATCATGTATAAAGGGTGTTCGGCTAATCGTATTAATTTGCCAGTAGATTCTACATTCAAAATGGAACTAAAAAGTCCTAATTAACTATGGTCCGAATCTCAACAGTTTCGGAATTATCCCCTTTTTTCTGATTTTTTAAAGATTTAACGACCTTCCATCAAATAAACAATGATAATCAAAACTAAGAGGTTTTGGACAAATCCGTTGATGCCATTGAAAATTACTTAAATTTCCAATAAGATGTGATCAATACTAAACTTGCAAACGTGGATGAAATAACCATTTCAGTAGCCAGAACTTTGAAAAATATTATTTTTTTTCAAAGTTGAAAAACTTGTTATGGTGATTCTAAACTTTTATTTTCAAACCTAGAGGCGAGCAAATTTCAGAAAACGTACTCCATTTGATTTTCTTTCTAGAGTTGAAATTGGTTGTCTAATTACTGTTTCAAAGATGAAGAAATTGATAAAACAAAAGAAAAGATCGTGGTTGAAGGATTGGTAATGTGATAAGATTAGTAATAATAACAAAAAAAACACCTTAATAAAATTTTGAATGAATGAACTAAAACATTTTGAATCATAAACCTCTTTGATTTCGGGGAATAATAATACAATAATCCTTTAATCAAAGATGCAGTCGTGTTGATAGATAAGTAAACGCTAGCACTATTTCGGCTTCGAACCTAAATTGAACAACGTTTAATAAATTCATTCAAAATTTCCTTAAGTTTTTTTTATTATTTTTACCTTACCAATCCGTCAACCGCGGGTTTTTCCTTTCCTTCCTCAATTTCTGCATCTTTGAAAAAAGTAATTAAAAAGCAATTACACCACTAAAAAGGATATAAAATGGAGTACGTTTTCTGAAATTTGCTTGTCTCTACGTTTGGAATTAGTACTTTAGACTCACCATAGTAAGTTTTTCACTTTCAAAAAACAATATTTTTCAAAATTTACTAGCGTTTACAAGTTTCGTATTGATCACATCTTTTTGGAAATTTAACGTTGTTTTCAATAGTATCAACGGATTTTTCCTTTCAGTTTTGGAGTTATCATTATTTATTTGAAGCAAGGTCGTGAAATCTTAAAAAATCAGAAATAGGGAAATAACTTCAAAACTGTTGAGATTCGGACCATAGTTAGTGAGGACTTTTTGGTTCAATTTTGAATGTAGAATCTACTGGCAAGGTTTGTAACAGGAGTGGCCGAACACCCTATAAATGGTTTTAATTGTAAAAAAACTTTACAGATAACATTTTATAAAAACTATATTATCTTATGTTGATAATAAGGACTACTTATCTTATTTTTATCTTTTTGTACATAAATACTTATATTATTTTCCAAATTTATATACACATTCTCTAGCCAGAGTAGTTTTTTGTTGTTATTTTCTTTTTCTATTAATTTTACTTTTTCAGTATCCACTGAGTAGTCAGCCTCATTTTATATTTTGACAAACCTGTACGATCTTCTTTATTAATAATATTTCTTTTGTGTTGGTTAAACGATTTTTTAAGAATTTACAGTTTTTCCCACATAGGTTTGTATGTCTTCTTTTTATGAAAAAGTGTTTTTGGTGGTCTAAATCTGTGGAATAGAGTGGATCAAGATAAAAAAAAAATATTTTATTCTTATTCTCCTTATTAATTCTTAATTTTAGATGTACGAAATTTCAGATGAAACGGCCAATATCACGAATGAGATTTGAACCCAGTTTTTTCGGAACACGATCAAGTTACTGTCCTGAAGACCTGAGTTCGAATCCTATCTCTGACATTGGTATTTTATCCCAAATTTCGAGTATATAAAATAATAAATATATAAAAATATTATAGGAAAATGAAATCACTAAAAGTAATAGTCATTAATTAATGAATGTTCGAAGTAAACAAAATATTCAATTATAATTTTGCATTAAATAACATCTAACTCATGTCAGAATAACCGCGTTTGTATTAGGTAAAATTGATGAAATTTTCACCCAGGCGAATTATATACATACCCTTGACAATATGCATTGTCATAAGTTTTACATAGAACAGCACAAATACAGAACATCGAATTGAATAGTAGTTTTGTTTTCTCTCGGTTGTTAGCAGATTCTGAATGTAAAGTAACAGAATTGACAAATTTTCACAGGAAGTCGGGCATTTGGTCGCCATGCCGCAAAAGTCTACCAACATCGCCTTGGTCGGTGGAGAAAAAGTCACCTTGTTCGACATTAAAAATAAAAAGATTATAAGGACGATACCGAAATGGGGTGGAATCTGTACCAAAGACGGAAAATTCGGATTGTACGCTCCTTCCAGGTATCTTGACTGTAATTTATATTATAAAAATTTAGTCAAAAGGATAATAATATGTTGAAAAACAATTCAGAGGTGGATTGGAACTGCTAGAGCTTAAACGAGGTGCCTCGGTACGAACGTTCATTCCCAGAGTGGCCGAAGGCGTTTTCTCCGTAATTTGCATGTTTAACAAAACGGACGAGTACGTACTGTATTACCACAGTGGGAAAAAAACCATCCGCGTTTTCAGGTGATTATTTGTTTGCTTTTGTGCAAAATAATTCCTCGTTTAATTGTTTTGTTGTTTTTCTTCCAGAACAAACGACGCAAAAATGGTGGCAAATTACAGGGTTCAGGCAGAACTGACGGCAATCGAGAGCACGGATGATGGAAAATGTATCATCCTCGGCACGGTCGACGGATGTTTGTCTGTTCTGGCTATAGCTGACAACAACAAGCCGGAGATGAAAGAATTCCTTAGGGCTTTGCCTTCCAGAGATGAAACGGTAACATATTTTTTTCTTTTTTACCTGAAACTACGTGACGGTTTTGCATTAATATTCTAGAAACGTATTTCAGAAAAAGATTCGTGCTGATTAGTAAAACATCACATTTTTTCTGCGATATTTTCAAAAATAATTCATATAAATAAACTAAGCTCTTAAGTACAACAGTTGTCATTTTTAAGCACAATCAACCAATAATAAATTAAAATAATAAAGTTCCCTGTTTATTTTCAAAATTAACTTTTTAAGATAGTGTTTTAAAGTTGATCAGCGAACAACTATGCGATTATTATATCATTACAATTAAGTTATAATTAAGTTATTAAGATACGTCGCAGTAAGATTTTTACGTCGTATAAAAAAAAGTTTTCACGGCCGCAAAGAGGGATTATTAAAGTACATTGTTTACAACCCACAAATTTTAACTCAGATGTGTAATTTTTATGTGCTCACATATAAAAAACTAAAAAAACAATAACCAAACGAAAACAACACAAAACATTTACAATTAAATTTGTTTAAAATAATCTTATTCTAATTCAAAACTTTTCATTCAAATGTATTTTTGTTTCCTTATATCAAAAACGAACAATTAAATTGATTGTATTGTACTGGTTGGATTTATTTTGGAATGGGAACGTCGGGTCTTGATTGAAATTAAGTTTTTTTTGGTGGTGGACATAGGTAAAAAAATAGTCATTTGTCTTTTGTCTTTTTTGAAATGTCCCTATGAGCCGACAAAGTTTTCCTTAATTGTTTTCGCAGGATACATAAATGTATTGCAGTATTGCATAAATTGAGATTAGATGTTGCCAAATTTACAAAAATCAACTGAAACATTCAATAAATTAAAAAAAAAATCGTATTCTCCTCTGGATTTTATCCATACTCAACGTTGTTAGAACTGTGGCAAATCTGAATTTTCTTTTTCTTTCAGCTTATAGCATCAATGTTTATATTGAAAAAAATAAGGATGAAATCCACAAAACCTTACGAAACTTTATTCTGTGCCTCTAATTCTGATTAAATTACAGTAGCTAAGTTGTTTGAAGTTCGTTATATTTTTTCTACCCCTCTGCAACATTTCTGTGATTGGTGGTGTCATTTAAATGTTTTCACCACTTTTGTGATTTTCGAAAGTATTCAGAAGGCAAACATTTTGGACTTTACAGAAGCTATAGTAGTTGTAGAGACATTTGGCAACTAATTTAACAGCAAAACTTTACCCAATTATGTGAAGTACAAATAAACAAGACAGCAAACCTGATTTTTAAAAAAATTAATTGAAAAAAAAACACATAAAAACTAACACAAATCTAGAAAATAAAGATAACATAATTTTGACACAAAATATTGATATAAACCATAAAAAAACACTGATGTCACACAAAATTATAAACAAAAATTGAAGTAATGTAAATTTACAAGTACTACCAGCGTTGACTAGTGAAGTGATCAATGTTAATCAGTTCAAAATATGCACTTCTTGTCGCCTTGTTTGATAAAATCACTAATTACATATAAATCTTGTTTTAGTGGAAGAAAAAAATGGAAAAGATTAAGGCGACGAAAAGGTTCCGAGCGGCCGGGTCAATCGCTCAAGTCTGCATTCAGTTGTACGACAGCGTATCCCAGGGGGACAAAAAAGAACAACACCAAGCGGAGCAAGTTGAAGCTTAAATTACACTTTAAGTCTGATGTGAGATGCCAAGAAGTGAATAAATATTGTGATTAGTCCGAACGAGTTATATTTGGATGTATTATTTATTTAAAAAAATATATATATTGTAGAATTGATCGTTTTTTATTTTTTGTTTGAAAACATTGTTTATTTTGGAATACATTTCCCGTTTTTTAGCATTTTATAAATAGATTGATCTTTTGGATTTTCAATCTATTAAAATTTTCCGATTGTTTTGTCCGTCTGGACAACTTTGACCATGGAAAAGAATAACAAGCCTTAAAAATGTGATGTGACACCAGTACAAAAAACCACATAGATAATTTACAGAGGTGATTGAAATTTTGATAATAATCGACTATCCGTAAATATGAATTAGTCAATACACACATAATGTTGAATTCTTGTGTATAAAATTTAAGCATGTGTAATCGTAGTTTATTTACCTACCACTAGCTACACTACTGCTAATCGTAAATACTAATTTATCAATATACACATAAATGTGTGGTGAGTAGTGACCGTTAGTTATTATTCAGAAATCGTGAGATGCGGTCTGGTGTGATGTAGGTTTCAGAAAAATATTTTCTTTATTGTACCAACGTTTCGATCTTTATTGAGATCATCTTCAGGGCCTGGGATTTTTCAAACATTGTTTAAATTTAACAAATACATGTAGGATGTGGAAAAAAGTAAATTTATACAATGCAAAATATATTTTTTTTATATTCAATCAAAGTATTTCTACTCACTCAAAGTGTTTGTCTTCTGTGTAATTGTGCCATTATTGCGTGTCGTGTTGAGTAGAAATTGATTTGATTGAATATAAAAAAAATATATTTTTCATTGTATAAATTCGCTTTTTTCCATATCCTACATGTATTTGTTAAATTTAAACAATGTTTGTAAATCCCAGGCCCTGAAGATGATCTCGATATAGATCGAAACGTTGGCACGGTAAAGAAAATGTTTTTCTGAAACCTACATCACGCCAGACCGCATCTCACGATATCTGAATAATTATACACATAAAGTTGAATTTTTGTGTGTAAAATTTAACCATGAGTAATAGTAGTCGTTTTAGCTTTCTGAAGTGCAACTGTATGCAAAAGATAACAATGCCAATAATAATCATAATATTGGGTTGTCCGGAAAATAATGCAGGATTTTGGTATTAAACAAAAAAAAAGAAACTAGTTACTTTAAAGCAATGTTCTTTAATCAAANCATACAAATGAGTAATCCTGTAAACGTAAACAGAATATTTTATATAGATTTTTTTTAATGAAAACTTAAAATCCTGCATTATTTTCCGGACAACCCAATATTATTAATTTCCTACCTTTCTTTAAGTCGTTAGAGGGGTAGTTCTTTCAAAAGAACTTACTCCAATATTATTATTAAATTTACGAATGGTATTAAATATTTTACACATTGTGTTAGACTGAAATGATTTATTACTGTATGTGTGTTTGGTTCAAATTATCCTTATTTAATTGTTTATTCAAAATCAGGGATAAGAACTCAGTTCCTTCGTCGAAACATTGAGGAATGCATCTTTTTCAGGGAGATATTTAAACTACGCCTTGAAATGGAAACTGTCAAGGGGAAAAAAGAAAAAAAAACACTTCTAAGGCAATCAGCCGCTAGAAAAAGAACGTAAAGCAAAAAGATTTAACTTTTTACAAGTCAGCCAGGATTTAAAATTAGGACGGGACTGATTTAGAAGTAGGATGCTGGATTAGCCTAAATAAAATCCTAATGATTGTGGCAAAGTTTTTTTGTATAATTTTTATAAATGAAATCATTTAGCTTCTTATGAAATTTTATGTAAAGCTGAATTTACTCAAAAAGATGTTCAAACTTTGCCTTTAAGACAGTAACATTTTTTTGTTACATTGTTGGGATATATAATTCGTCCTATATATGGTACATATGTTTGTAGGTTATTCTTTATCAATATTTCAAAAATAGGCAGATTCCTAATATTGGGTAAAGAACGTGGCCTCAAATCATTGCGTCAAATGCAGATATGGTTGTAAATAAAAACTAAAGCGATAAGCGTTGCGTGTTCCACGAGCATACTGTTCAATATCACGGAAAGTGTCAAGTAAGCACTTTTGCGGGGGCGAGGGCCGCTGGGAGAAATAAGTCAACTAAAGAAAATTGCAAATTCGACTATCAGTAAGAGTTTCCTTTTTATTTCTGCTGCTTTTATGTGCAATTATTGGATCATTTTCTAAGTATAATTTTTTATTGTACCTTATTCTCAGGTAAATCTATAGCCTATGTGCTATACTAAGAAAAGCATCTTCAAGTCTGATTTAATCAAAAAGTAATTGAAAGAACTCAGTTGAACACAAACATTAATAACACACCCTATTTTATTTTTTATAAAATAATTTATAATAGTTTAAAATAGTATGTTATTATATGACAGCAGCAGATAAAGAGGTAAAATGATGTCAACAATTTATGATGATGATGAGGAGGAAGATTTAGTATTCCTCAAGCACCACAGCCTTCTGGGTTATTGTATTTTTCCTAGTTCTCAAGTTTAATTCAATCGACTCGATCCTTGTTTTACGAAGTACAATAAAACGACATTGACTGTCATTGCTTTTTCCCATGACTTTAATACCCCAATATCTTATAATCTATTGCAAACCAAACGGTAAGTGGTGACATAACATAGGGTACTAAAACAGGGAAAAAATAATAAGTCATTATATAAAATTTATACCTGGAATAATATTTGGCACCATTAAGCAAATTCTTCTTATAAAATATTATTATATTTATTCAATGTAAAACCCACACATTGCAATAGAATCTAGAAAGTAATCAATAACTTGAAAGATAAACTTAATTACATTAAAGTACACTCCTCTTTAGGAAACTTCTAATAAAGTTTAGCCCTTGGGAGATTGAAGATAAATTCCTGCGTTAAGTAGAATATATTTCTAAACTGAATTTTTTTAAAGTTTATAGTCATTGAATCGTTGGAACAATATAGTAGTCACATACGAACTAACTTAATTTAGAAAATACGTTTACACTAACTTGCAATAAAAGAATCATTCATTGTAAGGAAATAAATAGGAATTTTTATTTCTTTTTTGTCCTTTCAACGTAAAATACTTCAACTAAATGTTATGATAAGTAAATATTAATGTAATATGTGCTTCTGGAAAAAAAAACCATTGGAATAAAATTGTTTTAAGCTTAAAAATAATGAAAAGACGCTGGATGGGGCTGCAAGTTAATGTTCAGCTCATAATTGTTTGATGCCTTTTGGCAAAAATACAACGCTAAAAGAGAAAAAATTAGATTGATCTGAGACAATCAATATTTAAACGTGCCATTTCTATGAATTATTTTTGGTTAAGATCCATTATTCAAGAATAATAATTATACTGTACACAGTTCCTTAATTATTTTTCCTATTTATCATAGTATAACGTGAAATATATTATAAGTTGTGTATCGATTTTTAAAATTCGTTATATCAGTTTTTCCATGTAAACTGGTATATCGATTTTTAAAATTCGATATATCAGTTTTTCCATGTAAACTGGTCGTCGTAATAAAAATGGAAATAATTTACAATAATTGTTAAAACTCCTCTAAAATCACGGCTCGACGGTTATGCTAAACCATCTTGACTGGTAGCTCTTGCAAAACTGACAAACTGAACGCCGTGAAATAAGTGCATTCCGCTTATCATTGCACTCCACCTTACACTGTTTCCCTTTCTCTCTCTATCTCTCACTCTCTCTCACTTTTTCTTTGACACACATCCAAAATAATTAAATAAAGGATTAAAAATATAGTAGTTTACTTCAAACATTTCCGATTTAGAAGAGACATTCATTACAAGTGATTGTAGTATAGTAATAGAAAGTTAAAAAAAAATCTGTTGGATCAAAAGTATCTCCATTTCCCTAGTTCTCTTTTTTACATACAAAGCTAGTTAATAAGATGAAACAATTAGGAACATACAAGAATCAAACATCTAAGTAAATTAGTCACCCCGGAAAAAAGTAAATTATTTATATTAATAAAATACACCTGAATATAAAATTTTGCGTGTTAACTTCGTTTGTTTTCCAATTTTTATAAACATCTATACAGATCGTCGTGTTGGAAGGGTGTTTCACACTGATGGAAAGTTGAAAAAGAATTTTTTAACGCCACGACCCCCTCGGGGCAGCTTCGTCCCACATCGGTCCACAAAACGAGGAACGGTATTTGTCGATTGGCAAAAACAAAAACCTGTAACAGTAACAGTTCAATGGTATTGAGGGCAAAGCAAATTAATTTGAAAAGGAAAACGCTCAATTAAAATTAGTTCCTATAGTAAAAAATAACGTGTCAACAAGAAATTGTTCATCGAATCAACAATATTTGTGACTTTGCTGAAGGAGCACTTGAATTTTTAAATTCCTTTATATTAAAATTGTTCCTTACACTGGTTGTTATAAATTGTATATATTTTTAATGCATGGTCGAATGCAAACAAATTATATTTTCGATATAATGCTTAGACAACATTGGTGAATACAGTAACTAGAATTTGTTTGTTAGGAAGATTTGTACGACTTGAAAGTGACATCCCTAAAGTATTATAAGTTCAGCTATACGTTGAACATGTGCTTCTGGAAAAAGAAAAAGTTGGAATGAAGTTATTTTAAGTTTAAAAAAATATGAAAAGACGCTGGATGAGGCTGCATGTTAATGTTAAATTCATAATAGTTCGATACCTTTTGGTAAAAATACAACGCTATAATAGAAAAATCGGATTGATTTGAGACAATCCTGACATTTCTAAGAATTAATTTGGCTAAGATCCATTATTCAAGAATAATTATTATACTGTACACAGTTCCTTCATTATCTTTCCTATTTATCACAACATAACGTGAAATTATTATAAGTTGTGTATCGATTTTTAAAATTCGATATATCAGTTTTTCCATGTAAACTGGTAGTCGTAATAAAAATGGAAATAAATTACAATAATTACAGTTAAAACTCCTATAAAATCACGACACGACGGTTATGCTAAACCGACACGACTGGTAGCTCTTGAAAAAAATGATGAACTGTACGCCGT